GAAAGAATAATTTCATTCGGTGACAGATGAAATGTTCCATTCCACTTGGCTTCGCCTCGTGGAATGGAACATTTCATCTGTCACCACCTAGCTGTCAAGAAAAATCTTGGATCTGCCACTGAAGGTGTACTGTAGGCTACCCATGTCAGGAAATTAAATTGTTGTAACTGTATTTTAGCAGGTGCTAAAGTAATGATGCTTTAAACAAAATGAAATTGCTTCAGATTATTATACTCCTGCTCTTCTGGCCCATAAATCGTTCCCAGGATTTTTTCACCTCCGTGGTGGTATACGCCTGAGGCAGCTGTTTTGGTGCAAACAGCTTATTCAAACACAATACTATTTGCCTTCACACCTAAACATTTTCCTCCAAGTATTGAGAGTATATTGTGACAAAGTGTCCTGCCCAAGGACACCCCGTAACCTTCCTGTAGGCTAAACTGAGCCCCATGGTAGGCCAGATGTACAATGTATCAGCAGACCACCATAACACTCCAAAGTTTGTTTGCAGATAATTTCCTCTCTCAGTTCAAAATGTTTCTCTCTTCCCAACCCAACCAACTGAAAAAAAATGATTAAGTTTTCTGACATCCTATTTGTAAGAAGACAGTTGTTGTTTATTTTCTGCACTCGTTAGTCTAGTTTGGTCTATTTACTTTGGAGTCTGCAACCATTGCTGAAACCATACCGCTATGCTGAAACACTGAAGGTTTTCAATCTTCGGGCAGCATTTCTCGCTTGATTAAACACCATGCCTACAAGGTGTTGACTTCTCCTTGAGAAATTCCTGTTTGACAATCCTAAACCCAGACATCTCATCTCCAATGCCGCCCAAGGGTGGAAACCAAGAAAGCCTAAAGAAAGTCCACTAAATCCCCGGAGCTTTAGGAGGCCAAAACTGACAAACAAGGGCTTGCTTTTGTTGCCGAGTCTTTAATTGCCGATGCGCAACCAGCAGAGGCCCATTGTGGTTCCAGAAAATAATGCTCATTATCTGCCCCTGTTTGCATACACACACCAGTCTCAGCATACGCGCACCAGTCTTGGTGGCTCTGGGGCTATTTTCGTTCCCTTGTACTGCCCCTCTCAAAGCGTGGCAAGGGTTTTTGTTGTCCATTTGTGACATAAGACATGTTATGCTTGACTTGTGCTGAGAAATGCTAGCACAAAAGCTTGAAGATTGTGGATGACCAGCAAAAAAGAGTAAACAGCCATTTAGGAAAACGGTTAAAGCTATAGTCCATCATTTGCAGCCATCCAAAAAGTAACTGGCGTAATTATTGTTGAAAAACAAACTTGGTTGAAAGATAGTAAGGGAACTAAACTCCCTGTGAAATTATTCTTTCTGGGAAGCTGTCATTTTGAAGTAATCAACGAAAGAAGGCATTTGCAACGGTGATTCTTAAGAAGCACCGTAGGAAAATTTAAATTAGTAGTTCGTTTGTTATTCAGCGCAGCGCACACAAGTATTGGAACGACGCACATCCGCGCGCGGTTGTTATAATTCGTCGGATCAGTGCGCTACGTCGCGTATAACTGCATTTCAAAACATGATTCAGTAACTTTTGATTTGAAATTGAGATCTTAGAATGCTGTTTTTCTCGGAATGTACAGCTGAAGCTTAGCTGAAACTTCATCAGGTTAGTTGTTCAGTATCCTTCATTAGATTTTGAACTCTTTTGTTGCTTCAAACGAACAAAATGCACAAATTACAAATGATGGACTGTAGCTTTAAGTAGCAACAAAACGTTGAACAAGAAACTGAGTTATAAAACACAGTAATTATTCGGCTTGAAAATACACAAGCTTGCTTGCACTGTCCAGTGGATGTTCCAAGGACTAAAGCCCTCCTCCAGCATGCCACCCGTGGGTCTGGTGTCATTACAGTTGCCTTGACAACCACTGTCGTCCTTCCATCAGTGGGCAGCTTCACTCGGCCTCATCGCCAGTTCAATGACATTTTCTCATCATCCGGACAAACACCTTTTGTTTATTTTGCTGAAATATTAATGGCTATACAGACATGGTTCTTTGCTTAACATTGTCTAGGAGTAGGCCTACATGCGTATTGACAGTCTAATTACTGTGTGCACTTACATGTATACACGTGGAAACATGTACAGTACACATGTTTAATGTTTGTTTTGGACCGTGGCCATGGTTTGACCAATAGGAAAATATTTCCAGAAATCATTGATTCTTTTTGTTTTCCTTCTTCATTTTTGTGTAAATGTTGGTAGGGGGATTTGCTAACCATTTACACGTAGTCTCCAGGTAAAAAAAACGAACACAATCAGCAAAAATATAATCAGGGGGTTGAAATCAGAACCTTGCTCAAGTCGGTCACAAGCGGATCACTTGTGTAATCAAATGAAATCAAGTTCCGAGTATTAAGGGTATGAACGATGATAAGGCTCAGCTTTTATGATTTTATCACTGTTCATTTCGAAATTGAATAGGTAGCTTGTCACTAATAAGCCGGATGCTATTGATATCGAGGAATTTACCGGGGGACTTGATTAAGGGCCCATGTAATGTAATTATTATAATACAGTCCTTGAAATGCACCTTTGTGTCCGTTTTAACCTTATTTTCAATTTTCTTTTTTTTATTTTGCCATTTTTAAGGGCATTTTGGCTAATTTGTGCGAAATGTCCATATATTCATGAGCAAAAGTGTGATGTCATTTCAGCCAGAAACCTCAATGCTATTTCAGCACCAAAATTTGCCAGATATTTTGATGTCTTGAATTTTTTTTTCATTGGTTATTCGTCAGTAAGAACATTTTTGAGTTCATAATTTGATAAGAAAACCCCTAAATTGAACAGTGTCTTCCTGAAATGACTTCACAGCAACAGCGCCCTCGGTTGTCCGGAAAAGCTGGGAATTTCTTTGAAAATATTTTTAAAAAGTTCACTTTTCCATAAAATTAACCAAAAGAGATTGTAAATATTTTTATTACATTTAAGAGGAGAAGAAAGTTGCACAGAATATGTTTTTAAGAAAATTTCACTTCATTGCCTCTATAAATGAGAATGTGTATGCTGTACAAGTGTACGGATGTAATTCACATATTTTTTTTGGTGTGGGGGGGGGGGGGTGCATCAGGGAAGACCGAACAGAAGAATAATAAAGAATACATGTGCCGGTATCCCCCTCCCCCTTGCCTTCGAAATTTTGCACTTTTCCACAAATTTTCAATATTTATCATCATCTTCTTCCTACTTGTCACAACAGATTTACCCCTCGTAGCGCAGTAAGCCAGCCACAGTTACTTAAAATACCAGCCCCATATCCGATCAAACAAAAGTCCTGGCCATGAATATCAAAATGTTACTCTATAAATATAACAACCGCTGAAGATGTTGACATTGTTCAGTATCCAAAAGTGACCAACTGATAGTCCAGAAACCACAGGCACAGAAACCACATAAGCCTGGAATGAATGAGATGTGTGCTGGCGAAGCACAGCAAATCCCTCCAGTCATTGTATGGTGTGTACTTATGGGACTTCACTATTTGCTTAAGAATTGAATCACCAGTCGAAGTCGTGATTTGAGGATAGAGGATTCAGAGTTTCAGACTTTGACGCAGCGGCTCAGTATACTCAATACCAGACGATTTACAGGTGTGCTATTCGTAACAATGCACTTTGATAAATTGTAACGGTGTGCGGTGATAAAAAATCACAATACTTTCCACAGATTTATTGTCTGCCTTTATATGAGAGGCAATTGAATTGGGTCTGCAGTCCGGGTGATAGATTGTGTGACAACAGATGCACGTACAGCTGGGATATTAAAAATTCAATACCCAAGGAGTGAAGGAGTCATTTTTTTCAACTGTCAGCGTCAAATATGTAGCTGCTCATATGCTGATGCCTTCCTAGTATGTGTCTACTAGCTCGGGACGAATTCACACCTCTACCTAAAGCCAGATGGTTTTACTGTGAGGAGGATTGTTTAAGATTTTTGTCAGCAACAAGTTGTCAAAAAACAGCCAAGTTTTTATAGTTCCTCCGTGGGAACTTGACACCGTGTCGCTTGGGAAATTGCTGTATGTGTTGCCCTGGACTTACGTGGTGTTTGCTGTATTTGACGATTGTTCAGAATGAGAAATTAATCATCGCAGTTTTACCTCACATGAAGGTTTTTTTAATTTCATCACTGGGAACTTGACACTGAAGTGTGCTGCTTTTTTTCTTTTTTTCTTTTTTTTAACAATCGCTGTCTTGCCATGAACTGATGTGATGTTTGCAGTATTTGATGTGTTTGGGGGTCTCTGGATGAGAAAGTAATCATTGAGGTTTACAGCACGGATACTGGCTATCTCTGGTGATCATCGTGTCAAGAAATCGCTAAATTTTGTACTACAGTTCTCTACTGTACACACAGGAATTATCTGTGATTGATCTCAAAGTTTCTCCTTGTTGGAATAACTGTGATACTGGATGACTTATTTCACAATCCTTTATTATGTGCGACATACAGTACATAGTGTGCATTCATACATGTACTGGAGCTCATTTTTTATGTACTTAACAATTCTGTATGTATGCCCATTTGGTTGTTGTCAGTGTGAGATTTCACACCAGGGGGTCCAACATTGTATTATCTGCCGCAGGCAAACACGCTTGACATTTCTGGTTATTGCTTCTTGCCGGGTTAATGTACACCACACTGACATTGGAGTTATATTTGTCTCACTGTCACCTGCAGACCAGCGGAGTATCATGTTCAACATCTCTCAGAACATGAAAACCAGTGTTCATTCGCACTTCTGTCCCAGCTGTAACCGTATCGCTGCGATAAGTTAGCCTTGTTTGATGCAAACAAAAAACAAGATTCATTAACGAAAGTGGATGGAAGTACGCGTCGGGGAGGTCTGCCGTTATTAATAAACCAGCGTGTGGTCATATCTGAGTGTAATTACTTACATACCCTCTTAATCAGGCGGTCACGGAATTGGACGGGAACAAAACTACTGCCGGACGGGAGCAAAACAAACGTCATTATGACCAGACCTGTCCATTTCGTAACATGAATCGGAAGCTGCGGGTGTACGTGCCGTCTGTTTCTCAAAACCCCGGTACTGACGAGGCGAAGAAGACGCCGGGCAAATTCTCCCTGGATTCTCTGACCAGGAGAAGCAAGAACGTGTCTTCTTCCTTACTGCCTCAGCGTCTTGTGAAAAGATCTAATTTATCAAAGGGAACTGAGCCACAGACATCGCCAGAACACGAGCCGACCAATTTGGTGAGATTATCAAATGCGCTTGATTTTATACTCCTATCTTTTAATTTTGTTCTGTGAGAAAGGCTGAGGTAGTGTTTTACTTACTTTAAAGATGCAAACGGAACTTCATCAATAAAGTAAGTAAGTTGGAGAAAGAAGAAGTACCAGTAGTAACACTCTTAAAACAGGCTTCCATTTCTTGTGCTGAAATTTTATTTCAGTTAGAATATGACTTGTACAAATTTCTGGACACCCTATATATATCTCGTTTCAAAGAAAATCAAAGAAATTTAAATTTTTAAAATATGCACTTTTCTGTTTTTCATATGTTGATATGCATACATCCATGTACATGTAGGCCTGTTTACAACAGAAATTCAGCAAGATTTTTTACATCATTTTTCAAATACATTTAAAATGATAGTTAATTTGATGGCTTCTCTCTCTATCTCTCACACACAATACGTGCATGTTGCATTGAAGATTTTAATGCTTTAATCAACGATTTTATAGTGTTTTTACCTAAAAGTTGTAAATTACAAAAATGTATCGGTGCTATCGGAGGATCTGCATGCTTGGCCGATCATGCTGTCTTTTCCTTCTAATTCATTGCTCTGGAGAATTGTTTTGCAAAAGTAAAATCTCAGATTTCCTACAGGATTGACCAGCCAGGCAAGTGTACCGGTATTTCCGAGTGATAGCGTAGATTTCTTCCTACGTGTACTTTTGAAGAAAAAATCTTGGTTTCATTCCCAGAAAGGATTATTAAAATAAAATAACGTATCGTGTTCTCGCGAGCTGATGTATTCAGCACCATGAAATTCTCTTCATGTAAGCAGAAGTTTTCTGTTGTAGTTTAAATTGACAGAATTTGTCACCTACTGCAAAACAGTGTTTAAATGCAGCCGAAAATCACGGGACAAAGTTGGGATTTTTCCTTTGTGAGCCGAAGTGCCAATTGGCAAAGAAATCAAGAGATACGCACAATCGGGGAGATAAAATTGCAATTGTTTCCGAATCTCGAGTGCTTACATTCAAAGATCAATGACGGGCTGATCGGGTCGACGAAAATAACAACCTTTGGTCAGAACAAAACCACCTGCCGACAACACCCCCCCCCCCCAAAAAAAATATTATCACAGAGGGAAAGAGTGTCTGTTAATGTTATTACAAGAAGAAACATAAAGACACACATGAAATTCAATTAGTCGAGCGGGATGCGATAGGCAAGATGATGTTTTGTGGTTGTGCAAAAACACCAGGTGCTTTACTCTGCAGCTGAAAGGAAAATATTGATCTCCGATCCGCTGATTTGTTATTTTCAGCCCAGAGTAGTTAATTAACGGAAGACATGGCTAGCTGAAGATGTGATGTCCTTGTCTATTTTCAGGTTCATTACAGAGAATAGATTTCTATTTCACTAAATTTCTAAAATCTACCCATGTTTAGTTATGGAATAGTAGGATGCTCTTACTGACCCACGGGAGCTGGCCTTCATCTGCTACTGGAAAGTTGTCATCACCATTTAAAGTTAGCAAAGACCTACACGTACATGTACAGCATCTTTTTTGGTTAAACCAAACCGAGGGCGGATCCAGAACACACATTTTTTTGGGGGGGGGGGGGGAGGGGGGAGCAAAAACAAATTTTAGGGCCCCAAATTTGTTTTGGATTCTAGATGCTCTGTGGTGCAATCTGAGGCAATTTCTGACCACTCTGACCAACTTGTTTTGAGTAAAAGATGGTGTTGTATGCAGTGCCTGCCTTTATTGTGGCGTCACTTAAAAAAAAAGGGGGGGGGGGGCAACGCCCGGGATCCGCCCTTGAACCAAACTTGTGCTTTGTAGGATGAAAAGTTTGTTAGTACAAATAAAAGCAGGCCGAAGCTTCATTACTAGGACGTCATCAAACGCCATCTCAATTCTGCCAACATTTCGACCAACTACAGTGTACTGGGAAAATCTGGCCATGGACCGTCCTACATCGGGTGGCAAGCCGCGACAAAAGATGGCGTAAAAACTGCAACTACGGATACTGAGCAGCGAAATGCTGAAGCCAGACGCCGATGTCACGAACGGCAGCAACAACAGGGCAACTGATCGACTGTACCCCCGACCTCTTTGATGACGAAGATCTGCCACACTCATCGGTTTCCCCTAGAAAATTCGTCCGGAATTTTCCTCCAAAAACCGTCATTTCTTCTTCATTGTCTTCTCTCTACAGGTTTCTTAAGGCTTACGGGCTACTGTGCCTTGGATTGGGCACTTTTGAGGAATCGTTAGTCTTATGTCCAGAAATGATTTAGTTGTTTTCAAAACAACACAAAGTCTTTGCATATCTTTAATTGCTGCTTTCATGTGTTTTTTTACTTCAAAACCCCCCATGTAGGTTATTAACAGGAACGTCTATCGAACCCATGGCTTTTAAAAAATTCCTGATAAAAACAAAATCTAAAATCTTGTTAGGATGCTCGGTCATTTTTTAAGATGGCAAGCATTCTTTGTGGCTATCTGTCGTCGCCGCTCTGATGTATTTTTTATACTTCCATCCCCTGAGAATAACAGCTCATAAAAATTTTGCTCATAGAGCTCTAGTACCCCGGTAATTTGTCTCTGTCTCTGTACATTACATATTATCGTCTCTCAGAGCGTGTTAATAAGATGGACAGACGGTACATGGAGACTTTACTTTGTGTAAAGGGTACATGTCTGTTTGAAATGAACCTTTTCATTGATTTGATCATGGAGCTATATATTGACGTATGTTCTGTACAGTGTACTGTATGTGTATGTACAGTGCATGGTTTATTGAAACAGTCAACATCTGAACAAATTTGAGTTTGGACAAGTGTAGGTGTATGGTGCAGCACCACAAACTGTGTTTTTTTTTTCACTATGAATTTGGTTTTGCATTGTGCAGAACAAAATTAGAAAATTTGAAAGATGCTCACTTTAGATTTCCAAATAGTTTGTGAGGGCACTTGTGCATGGAAAGCAAATTAACAAAAATACAAATAAACAAGTGAGGAGTGTCTTCCTTTAGTTTCTTAACTTTTTCACTGTTGAACTGGGCCGTACAGATAATGAAAATGTGAACATAATCAAATTTAACGGAATTGAAAAGTCAGTTTGTTCGAACAGTATTCTTCATTTGGTCTGTACATTGATACACATTCAGGGTTATGTTGTGCATCGGGTAGGGTTGACCAGGCCAAACTGACCCGAAACATTATTGAACCAAATCTGAACCAAAACCGATCTGAACTCCCCTATAATCTGTTCTGACCCGACCCGACCCGACCAAAATCAAGCAAAAACTGACCCGAACCGACGCGAAATTGAACTGACCCAAAAAAACCCTAAATATCTAGCTTGGGCAACTCGGTATGTTTTTTTTTTGTGCCTGAACTTATTACTTGCGTCGCATGAAAGCGTCTTCTCTCAGTAAAGAATCATACCGTAGGATACGGTGAAGCCTCATAACTTTTCCCACCGGTGGGCCTACCCGATATGGATTGTGCGTTGTTGGTCGTACCGGACACAGTAGGCCTAACTCTGCAATAATATTGCACCGCGTGAATTTCAAAAGTGTGCGATTTTTTTTGTGGTTTATTTCGGGCTTTTAGTTAACAGACAGTGTGGCTTAATTGGCCCAACCCGAACCGAAAAGCGCAAATATGCAAAACCGAAACCGTCCCAACCCAACTAAAATGATGGTAAAACCGACCCGACCCGACCCCGAAGTCGGTTGGTTTCGGTTTCAGGTCGGGTTTGCACAACATTAATTGGGGGTAGTAATGAAACTATGGACATAAACTTAGCTTTTCCACCCTTTTCTATTTTTTATTAAATGCTTGCACCTTTTAGCATAATGCACAGACTGTCATGTACACGTGATTTACCCGTGTATTTCTGCAGTTGAAATTACATTGACAGAGCTTGACATGTGTTGCACGCACGAGTTATCTTCTTAATGTAAGAGGGAGCCACTGTCGTCATAGAAACGGTCTGCAAATACAAGTAATCGGCTTAACCGGACTTTGTCAAATGTCACTATTGAATGTCATAGAGATACCGGTATCTCATTGGAAGAACCGAGTAATAAACCAAGCGCATATCAAACTAATAAATGACCTGTACAATGGACATTTTAGATTCAGTGACCATTAAAGCAAATTAGCTCGCAGCAAGCTGGACATAATTCATGTAATTAATTTTGCAACAACCTTGTTGTAAATTTTTGTGACAAGCTTGAATAATAAACTTGGTGGGTTTTTTTCTGCAAAGCGATCACATGGTCACTGCAAGCTTGAATAATTGCTCCAATAATTGTTTAATTTTGCCGACGCACATGGCTACGGTGACGCGCGTGCAGACCAGAAACTGGAGCCTTTTTTGGGGGCCTAAGGGAAGTGGGTTTTAATTTGTTGTCCGGTTGGCAGAAATATTCCTGAAAAAGGTATCACTTTTGAAGGCATTACTAATGAGATGAATCAGTAACTGATCAATTACTTGTAAACTTTGTAACTCAGACTTTACGTACACTGAAGGTGGTTCTTATTAGATTAACAAATACATGTAAATTAAGGAAAAGTCTGTGCTTGCATTGAACAAAAAAATATGGCAATGTACTTAGTCTAATTTAAACCCTTTGTACATGTACATGTGCATTGAAAAGGTATAGAACTCAAACCGTGCTCTACAAAGTCGTCTCATTTTGTCGAAACAGGTCACTAAATGAAATTTAACTGAACATGTGAAACACTTAACCTTAAAATCGTGAGGAAGAAATATCTATCTTCATCAACAGGCATACTGTATGTACCGTATCTACCTGCGTGTATGTCTTGACCCCATAGTTGCTTGGCACACCTTTTTTTATCCAACCAATAATGTATGTTTGCAGTCAGATTTTGCATTTGGCACGTATGCTCAGCCTCGTAAAAATGTGAGACTTCATGTAACAGCGCAAAATTGTATTACACTGTGTACATACATGTACATTTCTCTTCTTGTTTTCAAATTTAATCCTCTGAACATATTGCATCATACTGGTATTATACATGTACAAGTCCTGCTCAGAAGAACATGCAATATTTCTGATCGATTGAAAACAAATCTTCCCAAAGATAATTTCATTACACAAATTAGGTTGGGGAGTTGCATAGTGAAATGCTTGATCGCGAATGACTGTGCCCGGTACAGGTCCAGCAATATGCAAAGTTTTGTTCCCAAGTTACCAATGCTCTGCAAATAAGTTCTATAAAAATTGTACAGGTAGTCATTTTCTTTTTTCTCTCTCGTTCTTTTTTTCTTGCAGCCTGGCAGGGACACCAAAGGTCACCTTGCTGCAGACACCATGAAGTACGGCAGCAGCAAGAACCAACCGCTGCAGATCAACGGCATGGTGGGCAGGAAGACGTCAGGCACACACGGGGAGGTAAGATTTCAGAAGACAACCATAAATGTCTTTCATTAACATTCCATATACATTCCCTGCCCAAATGTACCCCAAATTGATCAAAATTCAATTTTTGCAAAATTTTGCTGAGTTCAGGACTCAGTAGCCCAAGAATTGTTGTTTAAGGTTGCATCACTTGTGCTGTTCAACAAATGTCCCTTTTTTTCCATAATAAATTTTGAACTTGTATGTTTTATTCCAACCCCCCGAAAGTTTCTTTTTTAAAATTTTACTGGGCCTCTGCAACCCTCCGAAATAAAGGTTTTATTTTGGCCACAAAAAGAGCCACCTTACGAGCAGACTGGTCACCACCCGTACACTATCGATACTGATTGTGGGGCGGGAACCAGCCTACCCCACGAGAATAGATTTTTTTTGGAAAATAAAAAGTTCAAATTGAAAATTAATTAAGAGAGAGAAAGAAAATCAAATTTTTTAAAGAGCACAGAAGAACAACTTTAACCACAAATGGTGCTTTATCCTGTATCAAGGAAACGGGAGGATCACAAGAATTTACCCCGCCCCAAACTGCCCTGTTTATTACTCATTTAACTGCCTGAAACTGCCCAAACACTCCATGGTTTTAATATTTTTTCAGTAATATTTTTTTTTTAAGTAAATACAATCCAAGACAATATACAAGTGCTAATAGGCTAATTGCAATTTTCTCTTCATTTTTTTCTTTCCTTTTAAAAAAAAAATTCCTGGGATAGAAGTTGACATCGTCCAGCCTGCCCCCGGCCATGACCATGAGCAACACCAGCTTCCCTCAGCTTAGCCTCGGCCCCAGGGGCATCAGCAACGTGGAGACGCTACCCCAGCTCAGTAACCTGCATGGGAACCTGGTGTCCACGCACACGGCTAGCGAGCAGGCTAGGTTACATCGGCAGAAGACACACATGTGAGTGTCTTAGTTTTAGTTAGATCCATCGCAAGTCAGTCCCAATTCGGTCACAAGTCCTCATAAGACCGTCACATGTCCATCACAAGACCATCACATGTCCATCACAAGACCATCACATGTCCATCACAAGACCATCACATGTCCATCACAAGACCATCACATGTCCATCACAAGACCATCACATGTCCATCACAAGACCGTCACATGTCCATCACAGGTCTATTTAACAGTCTATCACAAGTTGCTTAGGATTACATGTAAGTTAATCACACGCCGATCCCAAGTCCATTACAACTCAATCGCAAGTTGATCACAAGACGATTGCAACTCTATCGCAAGTCATTCACAAATCCATCAGAAGTCAATCTCAAGTCCTTCACAAGATCAAGACCACATCAAGTCCATTACAAGTCCATCATGGTTCCATCCCTAATGAATCACAGGTTGATCACAAGTCCATCATAAGACAGTCACAAGACCATTACAAGTTGTCACAAGTCCCTAACAAGTCAATCACCATACAAGTCAATCACAAGACCATCATATGTCCATCCAAGTGTCTCGTGAGATCAAGTCCCTCACAAGTCAATCACAAGTCCATCACAAGTCAATCACAAGTCCATCACAAGTCCATCACAAGTCCATCACAAGTCCATCACAAGCCCATCACAAGTCAATCACAAGTCCATCACAAGTCCATCACAAGTCAATCACAAGTCCATCACAAGTCAACCACAAGTCTAGCACAAGACCATCATAAGTCCATTACAACGTTTTCACAAGTCCATCACAAGTCTTTCACAAGCCCATCACAAATCCAATGCAAGGCCATCACAAAACCAATGTGAGTCTATCATAAGACCGTAACAAGTCCACCACAAGTCAGTTACAAGTCAATCACAAGTTAAGTCTAAGTAACAAAGACAAAGAAATGCCTTGGAATGGCTTGTTACCGGTAGTTGACTTGAAACTGAATTAATTGTGATGACGTGTGATGACTTGTGATGTTTTGACTACAACTCTGGGTACGTCACTACTCGCAAAAGGTATGCTTCCCCCTCACGCAACTAATTTTCATCAGGAATGGCACAAAAATACCAGTCCGTGCGTGCCACTACGAGCCCAACGGCAACGACGTTCAAGTGTTTGTCACATATTTCTCTTCATTGACATGTACATTATGTACTCAGTCTAAGAAGGTCAACAAGTTCTAAAACCCTTCAGGCCGTAAAAAATAAAAATTGCCCATCCACTCTCAAATAATATCTGATGTTTGTAAATGCTCTCCCTTCTCTCTCATGTGAAAGCCTCTTTTCTGTTTTTACTTCACCACGTCAGATTTTGAACATTCCACAATGAATATGTTGGACCTTGCAGGTGCGTCTCTCAACTTTGATGAATGATAAGTGCTTTTTGTCGTCGTGTTTTTTGTGTTCCTGTAGAGATCGTGATCAGGGTAAATCCGACAGTCCTAAGAAGGATGCAATGGGCCACAGATTACCACTCACGCCTGGAGGTCAGTGACGTGCATCTCACCAATCTTTTTTTGTTACTTTCATGTATTTATTTATTTTTTTCTTCTGATGACGCACTTGAATGTGATATTGAGGGGAATGTTGTTTATTACAACATTTTGTGACGTGTGTCAAAATCAGGGGGAACCGAGCAGAGATTTAAAGGGAATGTACAACATTTGCTTTTGCTTCAATTTTCAGAAATAAATGGATTTGGAGGATTAGTATGCTATAGCAAATATTGTTAAAATGACTTGTTTCACGATTTGGGCTTGTAGATGCTGGAAAAACCAAGAAAAACCAATCAGTTCTTGTAGTCTGGTTCCCTGACCCCACTTAAGATGAAACGAAGCAATTAATACACTTTGGGGAATTGTAAGGTCAAAGAATTAGTCAAGCAGGCTTGTATCCCTTAACAGGTGTGTGATCAATTGCAAAGAAAAGTCAGAATAACTAAATATGAAAAATTAAGAACAGTTTTTGAAAAAAGCCAGTTTTCTCCAACGCTGGTCGGCCGACCAGCATCGGAAAAATACAGTTTTTCTTGAAAATGTCAGCACGCCATGATTTTAAGGATGCTTTAGATTGTTAGTCCCTATCAACTCAGTAAGGTATTTCGTGATAATTGGATTGTTTCGTTTTTTGATGTTTGCAAATGTTGTATCTTCCCTTTAAAGGTAGAGTACATTATTTGCAGCTATCCAAAAAGTAACTGACAAAATTATTGTTGAAAAGCATATTTGGTTTAATTATAGTTATGGGACTAAACTCCCTGTGAAATTATTCTTTCTGGCATGACGTCATTTGAAGAAAACACTAAAGAAGGCAATGTGAACAATTTTTCTAGTATGAAATGTATAATTTTATAAATAAGTTTAAGTGCTGGTACCAAATTAATTGCTGTTGGAATATAAATTATTTGAATATGAAATCAGGTTGGAATTTGTTGATGATATTTTACAGAAGCCCTCAAATTCTACCGGGACCGACTGACGGCCTACGAGCAATCGGAGATTTTAGACCACACCGACATCTGGTTCCTAGGAGCTGAGGCTAAGAAGATAGAAGGCGTGCAGGGAGCGGCGCAGAATAACGGATATGATGATGAGAATGGCTCCTACACAAAGGTACCCCCCCAAAAAAAATTATTTCAAAATCAGTATTTGTTGATATGAGGATGGTTCAGGCACAGTAGACCCCTTTCTCAAAAACCTGGGAAAGGAAAATAAATCAGTGAATATCCATTCTTCCGGTCAGAATTTTTTTCGGAGCGTTAGGGCCGATTCGTTCTTCATGCGAATGCTACTGTGATGTCGCAAAACATTAACTACAAAATTTGCCCGAGTTGAAATGTGTTCAACGTTTACGAATTAATAGTGCAAAAACTTGACATGTCGTCACAAAATTGCATTTGCATTCGTTATTTCGCACCGAGTATAAACTGGCCTTTACGTGTAAATACTGGTAGTTTGCACGTTTATTCTCTAAGCGAATACGAAGGCGGCGCAAATCTGACGTCATGAAACATTTACTGTGAAATTCGCCAGATTTGAAATATTTTCAACTTTTTCAAATTCTCAGCGTCAAAACTTAATGCAATGTCACAAATTCTTGTTCGTGTTTGTTTTTGTACTGAAATATAAACTGGCCTCATGTATGTAAATAACTTGCACATCAGTTTTTTGCTTGAAAAAGCCTTAGGCATCAATTTGTTGTCTAAATAGCAAATTCAAATGCGAAAGTCCTAAGGCAGAGTCAGTCAACGGAAGGATGCTTTTAGAAGCATCGAGCTGATTTGTCTCCGGGAAACGGAATAATTTCCCGCTAATGGGAATGGACTGTAGTGCCTTGCCAATGCTTGCATTACTACGTAAATATAGGCTGGTCAACTCGCATACATGTATCGCAGGTACAATTGTAAATTGTACACGTTTTGACAAATGAGTTCGTATTGTCTTTTTTGCCTTAGCTTTTAAAGGTAGAGTATATCATTGTCATTTGTTCATTTTTTTTGTTCAAAGCAACAAAAGTGCTCAAAATCTAAAGAAGGATGCTTAACAACTAACCTGATGAAGTTTTAGCTCTGTGAATGCTGAATATTCCGAGGAAACAAAATTCTAGGATCTCGATTTCAATTCAAAAGTTGCCGTGTCATGTTGTTAATTGCGCCCGAAATCAGCATCCGGGACACGTTCTCATTCAGATGCATCTTTGGAAATGGCCTTTTTTTATTGTTTTCTTCAAAATGACAGCATGCCAGAGAGAATAATTTCACAGGGAGTTTAGTGCCATTACTATCTTTAAACCAAGTATGCTTTTCAACAATAATTTCGTCAGTTAGTTTTTGGATAGCTGCAAGTGATATACTCTACTTTTAAGATCTCTGTATCACACACAACAAATAATCGTGACTGTTTGTATTTTAATACATTGTGCACATGCTCTGAATTTTTCAGCTCAAAAAAAATCAAAATGATGCGACAAATATCAGCGACTTTTTCCTACTTGAGAATTAAAAATTTAGCTTCAGGCAATCATGCGCGCTCATGCCTGAAATCAAGCAATCAATTTTGATGGGAATTAGAATTAATTAATTACTGAACCCAAGGGCATGAACGATTGCAGGCATTAGCTTCTGTGTTAATGAAAATTTAATTGTGACCATGAAGGTGCACTTGCTCAGAGAAAACAGACTCTAAGGCTCTGATGATTTTTTTTGTCCCCTTAGGTGCTTCATGACCATCTAACCTACAGATACGAGATTCTGGAGGTCATCGGCAAAGGGTCGTTTGGCCAGGTGGTCCGAGCTATGGACTACAAGACGGGAGACATAGTGGCAATCAAAATCATCCGAAACAAAAAGAGGTAAAAAAAGATATTCTTTTTTACTTTCCCTTGTTGGATTTCTTTGGCATGATTGTCCAGTCCAACACAAGTCCTCATAAGTCAATTGTACAGAATGTAGTATGCATTTCTAGAAAATTTGATACCATTTTAGACCAGTTTCTTTCCTTGCGAGCCTGTCATGTCACACAGGAATCGTTACAAGAAAATGTCTCCCTGAACAACCAAATTCATTTTTCAGATCTTAAATATGTACTGTACAAGCAGTTTTACAAAACAGCGACAAGCAATTGTATTTTTGTTCTCATTTTGTTATTTTACATTTAATCTGTGGGGCCTTATTATGTATATTGATCTGTTGATCATCATTAAGTAGAAAGCTAGGAAATATCTAAAAAGATTAAAAATGACATTATTTTTCCTTATCTAAATACATTCACAAAATTCAAATTTAGAACTTCTCATAGGCCCTATATATTTTGTAATTCTTAAACTCCGCATGTACATTGAAGTTTAATCAAATATACCTATAGAGCCAATAAAAAAAGATTACAATAATTCACTGTCATGGTTTTCATAAGTCAAGGTCTGATCTTGAAACGGATTGCATATATTATGTTCCAACTATAGCAGTGGCTCCAACTATCGTTGAGACTACCCCAACGATAGTTAGGCAAGTCCCAAGTAAGTTGGGTCCGTCCTAAATATGGACGATGCTTAGTTGGTGCGTAACCAAATAATAATTTTATTTATTTGAAGGTTTCATCATCAAGCACTCATCGAGGTGAAGATACTGGACGCACTGAGGAGGAAAGACAAAGACAACTCAAACAACGTCATCCACATGTTGGAATACTTCTACTTCAGGAATCACTTATGCATCACGTTTGAACTACTAGGGTGAGTGTATATTAGACATAACTCAATTTTTGAAGAGAGCGGGGTGTGCAACTTTAATCATGCGTATATTTTTTTAAATTTTAATTACGAAAAATAACCCACAATAATTAAACTGATATAGAAATATCAGGCATGAGATTTTTCAGACTTTTGTCTGAAATCACGACTTTTGGAATCTGATAGAAAGACATTATTAGTATAGAAATATGCATTTTTGGACATTTCGTCAATTTTCAGCTTTTTTTTTTTCATTATTTTTTTTCCAATTTTTTTTCACTTGACAATTTTATCCCTAAAATAATATTTTTAAAAAAATATCAAATATCAAAATAATAAAAAAAAAATGTGAAAAAAAATATTCTGAATTTGTTTGGTCCAACAGGATGAATTTGTACGAGCTGATCAAGAAGAACAACTTCCAGGGTTTCAGCATCGCCCTGATCCGACGCTTCGCCTACGCCCTCCTGGGCTGCCTCAAGCTCCTGCACCAGGAACGCATCATCCACTGCGACCTCAAACCCGAGAACATCCTCCTCAAGCAGAAATATCAGAACTCCATCAAAGTGATTGACTTCGGCAGCAGTTGCTACGTCAACCAGAGAGGTCAGTCACATCATGGGTGAATCTGTTTTGGAGATAATAACGGAGTCTTATATAGCGATGAATGGGATTGTAATGAGTTTTTCCCCTGGAAGGGAGGGGTGGGGTGACCATCTGTTTTTTGATTAGTAGCTGTTGTGGACAAAATGAAATGGATGGCCTTCTGACGTGTAGTGGTCAATTAGAGTGATTTTGTTGAAATTTCGAGCAAATTATGGTCACAGACCTTGCTCAAGGACACAGCCCTTTGTGTCCAAGGCTGGAGACCTGATCTCCCATGTGTGTAGGGACAGTATCTTTTATGTGTCTGAGGTTCAATGGTTAATTAGAGTGATTGCGTAGGATTTGATTGAATTTACTAGCAATTGTGGTCAAGCACCTTGCTCTCTTGGACACACTGGCATGGGAGATGAAATTGTATTGGTAGCTGCATGTATCTACTGCCTTGGCATGAAATTATATCACACAAAAAGGATAATGGAAAAATTGCCTGAGGATTTAAGAACAGGAAAAAACCTTGCTCAAAGAGAAGACAGGACTGGTATAAATAAGGCCAAAAAAAAAAAATATTCGGTCTCTGGTCAGACCACAGTTCCGGAATTGACGTGGGGACGCGGCTTTTTTTTTTTTTTTGCTTTTTTTTTTTTTCTTCAAGCTTGGATTTTACAGACAAGGTGGGATATTTTTCTGCTTTTTTGGTGTCCTCATGTACATTGGTGTCCTCCATAATTTGCCTTGGTGCTCTCGATCATTTGCCTTGGTGCAATTTCCCATTCCTTGGTGCTCCTTGGTAAAAAAAATTTGAGGAGGTGCGGCAATAGAGGGCGCTGTTGGAGCTACCGCGGAACATTTTTGGAAAAAAGATTGACGTGCATGATTAAAATCGATGCGTGCGCTGACCAGAGACCAACTTATTTTTTTTTTTTTGCCTTACCCTGTAAAATTATTCCTCCTGAAATGGATCGTTTGGAAGTAAACCAACATTGAAGGTGGCTTCAAAATGGGTACCCATGGGGACACTTAACGGAATCAGTTAGGAGACCCCAAAAAGATGCACACGTTTTCTCCGTTTGTTCAATACGTACAGGTTAGTTCATTGTTATGCACCCTACTTAAGATTTTGAGCAATTTTGCTGTAACAAAATAGCACGCAAAAGAAGTATACGATCCTGCATACCTTTTAAACAAGTATTTCAATTTTTCCTCCCAGTGTACACCTACATCCAGTCGCGTTTCTACCGATCACCAGAGGTCATTCTAGGTCTGCCCTACGGGATGCCCATTGACATGTGGAGCTTTGGCTGCATCTTGGCTGAACTCTACACGGGGTACCCGTTGTTCCCGGGAGAAAATGAGGTTGAACAGCTTGCCTGCATCATGGAGGTAAGATGTCAGAAATGTATTTGTTAGATATTTGTAAAAACGCCTCTGTACGCAGATTTCATGGTCGTCATGAAATGAAATCACTTGCAAAATAAAGGAAAAGTGCTGTTCATTCTTTTTTCCTGCAAGAGCTGGGACTTCTGTCCCAGAATTTTTAACTGGAAGTTTTTGAAAAGTCCCAAGAGGTTTTTGGGCAAGATGTCAGAAATGTATTTGTTAGATATTTGTAAAAACGACTCTGTACTCAGATTTCATGGTCGTCATAAATGAAATCACTTGCAAAATAAAGGAAAAGTGCTGTTCATTCTTTTTTTCCTGGAAGAGCTGGGACTTCTGTCCCAGAATTTTTTGCTAGAAGTTTTTGAAAAGTCCCAAGAGGTTTTTGGGCAGGATCCACTGTGAATCCTAGGCCATTGTGAATTCTGTGGTTGAGTACATGTAGCTCTTCACGAGTCAACAGGTCACGTTTGAAATCCATTTCAAGTAAACCACTTGTTTGTGTGTCGGCGTGAAATGAGCGCACATTAATGGACAGACAATACTTTTGATTTTGTTTAAAAAGGCATCGACATCATTCAGTTTGCATTTTTGTTTTTGTGACTTGTGTTGGTCAGGTTCTAGGAATGCCACCGTCAAACATCATAGATGAAGCACAAAGGAGGAGGCTATTTTTCGGTGAGTGTCATGTAAAACCTTGTCAGTGTTTTTTTTCCAAGTACAAAGTATTCCGGTCATTACAGTCATTAGCAAGTCATGCATTTTGTTTGACATAGGTGAAGTCTAAGGCATCTTGTTTCAAACCATTCGTAATTTCAAATGTTAACACATTGTACATAGTGAAATCAATATCTTCGGTCAAACTAAATAGAGTGCAGACTGTTGAAAGTCTTTTTCTCATTTATTTACAGTTTCTTTATGATCTACTAGCACAAAAAATATAACAATGTGGGTTTTTATATTTAAGAGAATAGATTGTAAGGCTGTTTGAGGCATTTGAAAATTTTAGTTTTGACTTTTCCAATTTGTTTTTAGACTCCAAGGGAAATCCCAGATGCATCACCAACAGCAAAGGGAAGAAGCGACGACCGAACTCCAAGGATCTCAGCTACGCTATCAAGACCAACAACACGCTGTTCCTGGATTTCATTGAGAGATGTCTAGCGTGAGTATATTGCAGCACATGTAGCAATGAGCAATTAAGAAACAAGAACAATGTTGACAGCCGAGGCATGAAACCTTTCAGAAAGAAAGAAAGAATTTTGACTCATTTGCAAATGGGACTAAACTTAAGTCATGCAAAATGTCATGGATCAGAAAGCAAAACAATTATTTGCTGAGCAAAAACTGGCTAACAACGAAAATCTCATTCAATGTAAGTGGTTTACAACTGGTTTTCTGGATGACGTAGATTGAAGCCTTGCTGTACACGTAGCATACGTTAGTACAGAATTGATAAGGAACCCTCTCGTTTATCCTGCCCATTTAGAGATGGGACCTAAATTTGTATGTACATGTAATGCAGAATGCATTGCAGAAAGTTAAGAAATTCCACGTAACTCATCTTGTGTCTGGATGAAATCAATTGAAGCCTTGTAAAGAACTAAAAACTCTCCGATCATCCTGCCCATTTGAAGATGGAACCCAAATTGGTACCTTATGCAGGAAGCCTAAATAGGAGAATGAGGCCACGTCTTAACATGTTGTCTAGATCTTTGCCCAGAGCTATTGTCTGTTGTTGAGAGCTATTGTCTAAATCTTTGCCCATTACAACCTCATGGGCACAAACTCCTAATAGACATATTGGTAAAAGAATGGGCACAAACTCTAGAAGCATAGCTCTAGAAGCATGTTTTGGACACGACCTAAGTCTAAGGCTTTCTTTAACCCTTTTGCCCATTCCCAGATGGGACCCAAGTCAGCGGATGACGCCGGACGAAGCCCTTCAACACGAGTGGGTCCAAGAGGACAAGCTCTACAAGTCCCACGCCAGAGAGCTCACGCAGCAGCAAATCACCCGGACGTCTACCACAAAACCCAAGCATCACTATCACCACCACCGTCATCCACACCATCACCACCATCATCATCAACCTAAGGCTGAGACGGAACAGCAGTCCGGGGAGCCGGACCCCGTCGCTGCAGCCTCGCATCAGCACCAGGAGGTGCAGCAGCAACTGCAGCAGCAGCATAAGAATGAAGAGGGCGTGCAGCAGCGACACGCCAAAGCCAGCAAGCATCAAGTGCAGAACAACTCAGACAGTGAAACAGTCCACAGAGGTGAGATTTTCATTTGATCAACCCTCTTTTGTGCCTTACACCAGACATTTGAGAAAAAAAATCTGTTTTCATATTATTGTGTGACACTCCTGTCAAATTTCTTGCCACTTTTTTGAAATTCAGGTAAAGAGACTCTAGAACGCAAGGTATCCATGAAGAAAAAGAGTGCAAAGGCGAAAGAATCTTCCCACATAAACCCACCGAAAGAAGCTCATCAACTCACTGAAACCACAGAGAAGCCCGTCAACAAAGTAAGTCTCAGTTCACGCGTTCAACCAGTCATTCTCCATGTGCAAGCTTATAAGGGTCATCTCAAAAATATAGACAAGTTGCAGAGAAAGGGTCCATGATTTTCTCTAATTATTAAATTACCACTCGTGAAACCTTGTGGGGAAAACTTTATTGTAACAACTATTTGATTGAGCCGAACAGATTACACATAACACGTCTATGATAAGAAAGCATCTCATAACTTGGAACATTCCCATTCCTGTTGGAAAATTCCATTTTGACTGCACTCGCTTTTATTATGCTGCTTTAACCATGTCTTTAATCTTTTAACACAATAGTTATCCTCGTTGATTTGCAGGTAAAACCCCTGGTAGTTGATGCCGACGAATTTTTAGAAAAGGCACCATCAATCACAACTGAGGACCTCAAGGACTCAGTTAAAGACTGCAAAGAGAGAGACTCTGAGAAAACAGAGGACCTGCCTACTAAGCAGTTCCTGCCACCGATCGTATAGCAGTTGGATAACGATGGACAAACCAAATGTGGCTTTGTGGATATTGCACCGTCAATCACAACCGAGGACCTCGCACTTGTAATCACAACCGAGGACTTCAATACTCAAAAACTGAAAGGAGAGACTCAGAGAAAACAGAGGACCTGCCTACGAAGCAGTTCCTGCCACCGAACGTATAGCAATTGGATATACAGATGGGCAAGCCAAGATGGACATTGCACTGTCAATCACAACTGAGGACCTTGAGCTGTCAATCACAACCAAGGACCTTGCACTGGCAATCACAACCGAGGACTTCAATACTCAATCAAAGACTGAAAGTAGAGACTCAGAGAAAACAGAGGACCTGCCTACTCAGCAGTTCCTGCCGCCGATCCTTTAGCAATTGGATACAGATGGACAAACCAAGATGGACAGTGCACTGTCAAACACAACTGAGGACCTTGAGCTGTCAATCACAACTGAGGACCTCGCACTGTTTATCACAACTGTGGACCTCAAAGACTCGGTCAACGACTGCGATGAGCGACTTGGAGAAAAAAGAGGACCAACCAACCAAGTAGTTCCTACTACCGATTGTCTAGCGTGTGGATGTATGCGATGCACATGGAAAACCACGGTACGGACGTAACGTTGCGCGCAAGTACGCCCTCATTGGTGACCGAGATAGAAGTGTTGAAGGTCAAGCAGCGCCGGCCATCTACTGATCATGGTCACAGTCCATATGTACGAGAACCAGTGTGGTAGTGTAAGCAAGCCTTGTGCTCCTCCAGTGCTCGCTTGAGTTAGCCAAAAAGCTCCTCTAATGATCCTGGTTTAACTCGTTCATTGACAGTTGCCAGTCCGGTATTCCAACTGTGCATGTTCACATCAAAATTGGACAAGTTTCCTCTTGGGATAAACAGTTTGTCGTATGCGTGCGAAATCATAACGGTTACCAGCAAAATTTTAAAGGCATTGTCTTGTTCTAAAGAAATTTGTTAGCGAAGTGTTTAAGGTGTTTTGTATGCCCACCTTTTGTGCGAACAAAAGTTTCCATTGTCTTTTTTATTGCATGAGAAATTGCAGAATGTTCGGTTACCATGTCCGCCATAGACTTGTATGCAATTATCTGCCACGTTTATCCCTAGTAAAAATCGTCGCCAATCTTGTTATGCACGTGCGTAGTTGGAATACCGATTTGGCTTATTGCAGTTCTTTGTGAAAAACCTACCTTAATGCAAGTGTCCCTTCTAAGACGGCATAATCCTCGGATATATATCCGTCCCCAGAGTTGTTGCAGGTTCAGCGTCTATTGGTACTAATCAAGAACTATTTAGCCTTACCCAGGATAGCCAAGAGAGGGCGCTGTTATTTGGAATGTCACCAGTTGTGCACTTTTACTCAAGGGACTTTGTGTCCATAAGAAGATGAGATTAATAAGCATGCGTTGTGTGCTGTTTGCACCACATAAAGTTCGCGTACATTAGAACATAACAGTGTACTGCCCTCAGTTTATTGTGAAATTGTCCCTATTTGACCACAAGAGGGCAGTATAGGGGTGGAGTCCATTACTGCAGGCCACCACCATTGCAGTCATCAAAAACTTCCATCTAAGCAAGAAAGTTAACGAAGAAAACGTGCAAAGAAAAAGCTCTAGCAGCATGTTTTGTGTGGCTTTTATAAAAGGAAAAAAATATTTATCTTGTTGATATTGTTCACATTGTTTCGAGGTTCTGATATCATGTGCCTGTTCTCTGTAAATACAAATTGTACATTTTTAACAGCGCATTTACTAAAAAGGAAAAAAAACATTGTGTTCGGTCTGTACATATCGCACATTATATATTTTTTGAATAAGAATAATTCAAGAAGTATTCCTTCTTATACTGTGCATTTTAATGTTCAAATGTTTCTTATAAATTAACACCCCTGTACATAGACATTCCAAAGGTTTTAAAATATTGTTTATTTGTACTTTTGCCAATTTTTATTTTTTATCGTATTCCACCTTTGCTCACCAATGTAAAATTTCTGTGCAGTCAGTTTTTTATTTAAACGTGTTAATGTGCTAATTGTATGGCTGCTCAATTTACATTTACTGGAAGGTTTTGCTTTGAAAAAAATATTAATGTTTGCTTACTTTGTTCGTTCACTAAGAAAAAAGGTATTGATTCAAATTATGCAAAGGCTCGTATTGGGAACAATCAGAAAAACAAATCTCTGTATTCACTTCAGCAATACAAACTTGTCGATTCCAATAATGTGCAAGTTGTGTTTACAGTTCAAAGTGGGGTGATACCACTCTGTCATTGCCATTGATCGACCAATCAGGATTAAGGATACACGTTTGCTTGAAAAAAAAAAAAACGAGATATAGGGTCCTTTCATTTTGAAAGTACATGTTCATGTATATGGTGTTATGTGACTTCATAATGTTTACACTGTCAGTGTAACAAACCAAAAATAGCGCAGGCAAGTTTGTTTCTGGTTCGATCACCCCCAGCAAGGTTTTGTTTTGTTAAATTATTATTTGGTATCGCCAGATCTGTTCACGGTGATTTCAATTATTATGTCAATTTTTTTGCATGCAATATTTCTGTACGTGTGTGTTATATTCGCTTCACAAAGCTATGGGAATATCCAAATGTTCTATCTGCAAATTTGCTGAAAAAAAGCTTTGTATTCGTCATGCATTTTACTTTGAATACTGAGACTTAAATGTCCATTGGACATATCAAAAACAGGCAGTTTCCTTATTGGGCAATCGTCAAGTTTTGGATGCGTTTCATATATTCCATATCTCCAACTGCTAAAACTGGTACTACTGTTGCATTTTCTTCTAAAGTATGGTTCAAAATGAAGACAATCTTGATCTCAGTTGGTAGAGCACTGGAACGGCACTCTGGAGGGCGCACCTTCAAATCCATGCTCGTCAATTTCAGTCCCGTCAACTTTCAAAAAAAAAGAAGAAAGCTGCTTGAGGCTGCAAGGGTTTTTTTTTTACTGATAAACAATGTGTAAGAAGTAAAAATAGAGCGGAGATATAGAGGGGTCCCCAACTTGACGTGTGCTCCTTATGTGTTAATTAATAGTCTGTTGCCCCATACATCCAAGGAATGTTCAGTGTTGAATTTGTACCTTTGAAGTTGTTAAAAAGGTCCAGTGTTCGTTGTTTTATCTTCAGTGCACACATCACTACACTTCAATTGCAAACAAATAAATACCACAAAATGTACCTAACTTTCTACTACTGTGAATGCATTATTTTGTGAAAGTTCACTTTTGCTGTTTTGTATAAGATTTAAATATTGTGCAAGATACCCGGCACTTCGTTATATTATATCGTGTTCCAGCGAGTTTGTACCCGCCTTCAAATCTTGTTATCCATTTATTCCTTGTCCAAAATTTACCTTCCCGTCAGATCATGTACCATCAATATATATCCCTAACCCATGATCCCAAGCTTATGATAAAGTCCCGAACCCATGATATATATCGCCCAATCCCCATACCAATTCTCCCCAGACCAATTGTATTTGGCTACTTACCTTGGCAGATGAACACGTGCCAGTTGGGTCCCCGAGTTGAAATTTTGATTTTATTACTAAGTACAAAACGATGCTTGATATATTTTAAAAATTCGAAAATTCGAAGTCAAAGGTGATGGCCCAGCGGTAACGCTCAGAAATTTTGGATCCGGGGATTCGGGTTCGAATCCTGAGGGCGTTTCTATTTTATTATTTCCTTATGTGATCCTAAGGGTTTTAATTATAGGAAGTGTGATTTTCACTGGGGGACCCAGGTAGCGCACCCGGTAGAGGTGCCGCCGGGTAAGCCGGCGCCCCTGGTTCGAGTCCCGGCCGCGGCAACTCGGACTGGCTGCAGGGAAACCTGCGGCCAGTCCGAGTTTTGTATCGCGTGTCTACCCCAACTATATAAAATAAAATAAAATAAAACAGAATTTTACTCTTTTTAAATATAAATAAGTATAAGTAAAATTAAGTAAAAGGTCCTGATGTGACATCAGCGGGAATCGAACCCGCAACCTTCTGGTTGAGCGCTAGGGTGCCTTCCACTAGGCCAACGCGCTCTTCTTACTTGATGTATTCGGAAGTAATATATAAAGACTCGGATTGGAATTACGCAAATAAAAAAAAAAGTACAGTCTGATGTAGACTGGTTCTGACTAAAAATATTTTAAGTCCGCGCGCATGCGCTCTTCTTGTGACAAGGTTTTTGGGCAAGTTAGCGCGCATGTCAACTCGCGCCTACGTCTGTGAATTCAAGTTCTATGGCTACAAATTCAACAACTATTATTTTTCCGCAAAGAGAAAAAATATAGGTCTTCTGCATCTTCCAGTTAGTAAAAATGGGCAGAAATGAGATAACAGCGTGCATCATTGTTTTTTTGGTTGGGAAACGATTTTACGGTCAAGTCGACCGTTCTTTTAATTTTACATCAGTGTTTTGTGCAGTTATTTCTGATGTACAAGTTTTGTCTAAACACAATTTCCAGTCGAGCGTCGCATTGCATTCGCATTGTGTTTCTTCACTTTTATACCGTCGCATTTCTAGATTTGTTTTTGGCGTCTTATTTTCAAATGTCTTATGTCACTGAAATTTCGCTTTAAATTTGCCTTTTTATGCCGCCGCATTTCGCATCACATTTTAAAAAAATCTCATGTATTGCTTTTGTTTTAGTGAGGTCGCATTTCAGATTTCGTTTCGCATTTTTATGCCCTATATATAATTATGGCATGGATATTTTGAGCCGCGTTTAGAATGCCGTCGTATTTTATATTTCGCGTCAAATGTTTTTGTTTGCAGTCGCATTTCTAAATTTCGCGCCGCATTTTTAGGCGCATACCGTTATAATTTGGTTGTTTCTAATATATAACTCTTTGTGAATCGAAGAGTGAAATCATCACTTTTTAATACCATTTTCACTTCGTGAATTCATAAAATTTCTCGCCTGTGCTACGTTTAATAAAATTTCACTTCGAATACAGAAAAGTTTGGAATGCTAGTTTTCTATGTAAACAAGACGTGACATCATAATGTCTTAGGTTGTTTCGTGCATAAGATCAAGAGGGGGCAAAACGACCCAAAATAAAAGCTTTGTTTAATAGGATTAATTCGAGAGGCAAGAAATATGTTTTTCCCGTTAAAATAAAATATACATATAATTATTTGGAGATTCGATATGCAAATCAAAAAATAAAATATGCTGAGAAGCATGGGAGGCCAACTCATAATTATTTCACTAGTGATGACCAATTTAAAGGGGTCATGCGATGAGGAACACATTTTGTACAACTTTCTACTCCCCTTAAATGTGTGAATATTGTTTGACATCCCTTTTAGTTCATTTTATTTAAAAGTGCACGTCTTTAAACATTTTTAAAATGTCCATGCTTTTTCCGGACAACTGAGGGCGCTGTTGCTGTGATGCCTTTTCAAGGAGACACTTTCAGTTTAGGTGTTTTTTGTCCAAATTGTTAACCCAAAATTTGCTCATTGAAAACATTTGTGAGAAAGGGTTGCTCGTTGGCTTACTGCCATGTACTTACACAACAACGAATCACCAAAGAATAGAAACTGTATAACAGCAAAATATTCAAAATTTCAGTAACTTTTTCTGCTGAAATAGCTGTAACATGGAGGTTTCTGCCCGAACACGTCACAGTTTTGCTCATGAATATGGAAATTTGCATTAGCATAAAAACCACAAAAACCACGTTCAGTTAAGGTAGGTGTATTTTCTTTTCAAATTTAGAATTATTTTGCGGCCCATCAATAATTAAGGTGTATTTTTATGTGCGTTTAATAGGTGCCGAAAAACCAAGCCAAACAAAAGCCTTGTTTCGCACCACAAACGATTTGAAATATCAAGAAAATAGTTTGAATTTTTTTTTTGCAATCTTATTTTTTTATTTCCACATATAAAATCTTCTACTTCGCTTGATTCTTTTATATTAACTTCTGCGCATTTGGTTGACATTTGAAATTCAGAGGCAACAGCTTTGCCCACGATTTGCAGAATAAACCAATCGGTTGGATACTTTTCGTAACTTTTATCGGGGGTAAAGTCCGGTAAACATGGTACCAAAACGAAAAATTCGGTATTTTAAGTGTTTTTTAAAACAAATTTTTCATTTTTTTTTTTTATAAAACATGCATTTTTAAAGTTGGCATGATAAAAGTGCTTTTTCGAAATTTCGATGTTCTTTTCAATACGAAATTTGAAGGAATATATAATGTCCTGTAACAAATAAAGTTGTTTGTTTTTGCAGGCCTTTATACAGTTATAAAAAGTGCTTATAAATGGCGCGCTCCAGTTCAGAAATTGCGCACACTTTTCAGAACGAATTAGGAGCGTCCCGCTTTTAATTCAAAAGTTGAAATAAATTTATTTATTACTTGTCATGGGCCGATTTTTTTGGTGCGATGTCTCATTGGAAAGCTTATAACTAATGTAATGCTGAAAATTATCAATTCTTACTATTTAAAAAAAACTTTAGACTTACGTTAATTGTCACGTGACCATTTCCAATGCATGTTGAGAATCCCATATGGCCAAGCGGCGTGATAAGCCAATTGTAATGTTATCTTTTCGGCACAATATTTTTGTTTTGGGGTAAGTTTTGACATTTCTATCACACAGGCCTACGTCACGAACAAGGCTAAATATTTATTTATAACATCACCTTGAATACTTCATTCATACAAAAGTTTGATTGAAAAAATACAAATTTTGGACAGAAAAACTGGATAGCGTCCTTTTTTCTTTTCTTTTTTTAGAATGCTAGAGGTTAATTAATCATTTGGATGGATTTATTTTAAAACGGGGAAAAAATAAAAGGGGGCCCTCTTGTGGTTACCGCCGCACAACCCAATGACGTCATCTTGTAGATTAACGTTCAACCAACTGCAACCCAAATGCCAACCGAACCCGAAGACCCAAAATATCCTGGTCCATAAGTAATGATACATACGAAATGGTGAAAAAAAAATGTCACTTGATAAATGTCGAATTTGGGACTGAGCGACAGTAAAAAATATTGGGAGGCTCACACGTTGCACTATGCATAAACATAACGCTAGGATCATCCTAGCTAACGTTGCACTTAAACAAACGGCGTCTGGTGGCTTATTTTTCCTTAGGAGTAAAACACATACACACAACGCTCAACATAATTATACACAGTTTTAATATACACCTTTATTTCAATAGGCCTAATACATAATATGAAACAGTAAATCCCATAAAACATACTGGAGTTGCAGCTCCATATGCTCCATGATGCTTCGAACCAGCTTTCTGATCACAACTAAACGCATTCACACGTCTCTGCATGAGTGAACCACGGCGCTATCTCGCCAAGAATACAACACTGAGCTACGCACGCAACGAAAAAAATTCAAAACGTACACCGTAACACGTGTATGTCGTCACGCTTGAGTACATGCACAAACATGCCAAACTCACCGCACTCGTTTTTCTTGCCATTAGTAGACACAAATTCCTCCCCAGTTTCCCCTTATCACAAGTTATTAGGAGACATGAGTTGTTCAACAACTCATTACTGTATAAACCTAAACAGAAAGACAACGTTTGTAATGATTTATTTGCTTTCGAAGCAACACACCCCAAAATGCAAACTTACCGCGCCATCTTTTCTGCAGGATATGAATAAAGTGTATGTCGCCCTCTTGTGCCATCAAGACGTTTGCACTGGTGCCCATCCGTTTCTGTCAACTTTTGTTCCAGTGCCGGGTACCAGCTCCTTTTACACGACCTTTGCAATGCATTATTTATCAGGCACATTTCGCCAAACTTAATTCGTCTTTCGTACCAGTCCAGTGTAAAAAAAATAAAAAATAAAATAATCTATTTATAGTTCTAAAAATAACTGTAACTGATATTATTAAGATTTTTTTAATTGGTTGCCAAGCAAGGCACCATGGAAAACCCACAAAACGGGTTTCTGTAATTTAATTAATTCACGACCCCCAATTAAGAGTTACTGTTGAATACGAGGATAAGGTCCAGGCCACATCTCCGAGAAACATTTTCAAGAAATTTGAAAGGCCTTATAGGCCCCCTCCGATCATACGATCATACCTCTCAAAATACAATGCATTAATAAAAAAAAATCCAGAAACACATTACAAGACCAAACACAGAGAAACACAATTAAATAAAACCCAAACTTTTTTTAAAGTTTATAATCAGCATTTTATTGGCCAACCGATCACCACCAACCAAAATCCCCAATTAAAATCGTTACACATACCTACTGGGAGTATTGGGCCTATGGTAATGATTACATGCAAGAAGAAAAGGGAAAGGATTTAAACATCATCTGGGAACGAGTTCTTTAGTGATTTTTGAAGACAACGTTCAGACAGGGGGCGCCTTAACACCATTCGTTCAGATGGTAAAGGCTTATTGACTCCAGTAATGAAGTTCTACGTATAGAAAAACTGAATGGGCCGTTGGAATATAACTAGTAATGATATAGTGCTTAACTCATTCAATTTGGTGTACCAGAGGATGGTTCATTGCTTGAATCTTCTTAAGTTTTTTGCAAAGATGTGATAAAACTTGATTACAAAGGCGGAGTCATATGTGGAATTAAAACAGGGGCTAAAATGTTAAAACATCCCGACAATTCCATCCCCACATTTTTGTTGCAGTAAATATTGCTCAGCGAACCGATGTGCTTAGCATAAATCAACTGAGAAGTAGTCTCATTCCACGCAAGTAACTAGCTTCAACTCACTGCTAAGCAATATTTACCGTCCAGTAAATCAAGCACAAATCCATGAAAATTGGCCCCTTTTGGTCACTATATATATATGTCACTTGGTGACTATCATCCGCCATCAACAATCATATTATTCAATTTTCTAGATTTCAGTTTGATTTCAGTTATTAAAAGAAGAATTCCCAAGCAAATTACAGTTCTTAATCTCTGTTGTTGTTTTTCCAGAGGAATATCGAAACTTGTTTACATTTTCTTGGGTATGCCGGCATTGATGTCATCTTCGATGCCGCATTCGTCAACCCCACGCTTGATCTTGAAGTAGCCTAAGTGCGAATAAAATACATAAATGTTGTCAATTCGAGAACACAGTCAAAGCATTTACCAATTCAGTGGGCGGACACACACGCCGCTAGCTTCAGTATGAAAACGTTCATGGTTCCAAATACAGACGCTGCATGATTAAAGACTGCATGCTTATTAAAGGCAAAAAAATCTAAGCCGTTAGCCATTTTATCCACACACAAAAAATAGTCACTTAATAATTATAGGACCTACCATTGGCACCCCAGGTTGGGTTCCACGAGTTGGCAACCAGCCAATAGTCCACACCGCCCTCAACGCCCCATCCCAGAATCTTGACTGCGTGTCCTCCCAGAAATCCTCCACTGTTGTGCTGGTATACACCTGTTGGTCAAAATGTGTATACTTTGTTGGATCATAAACCGCTTGACACCGGAGGGCGCTGTGACTACAAGAAGTCAGCTTGCAGGTATTCCAAATGCGCATGTGCAGAACAAGACTCGACGATTTATTTTACTTCGGGATAAACGTGGCAGAAAAAATTTGCAGTCGAGGGACGTGGTAAACGAATCTGTATTCTGCACATTTTCGTGCAATCAAAAGACGATGGTGACTTTCGTTCGCACAAAATTTAGAGCACAGGATAACACTGTGCTGTTCAAACCTTTTAGATTTGGTACTTACTTTAGAACAAGAGCATTTCTTGAATTTTGCTGGTACCCGCTATGATTTTGCACGCTTAAGGCGAAACATTTATCCCGGAAGGAAAATTGCCAAATGTTGATGCGCGCACGCGCAACAGAAATACCAAACTGGCTCATAACAATATAATGCACAAAACTGGTGTTTGTAGAACACAAGAATATACCAACATTTTCGTCATTCAAACCCTGCCTGAAATTACACAAACTGGGACACACTGAGAAGTTGCAAAAAGTACACAGAGGTGGAAAAAGAGGATAAGCGAAGACTGGCCCACTACATGTATTCGCTGCATGGTCGACACATTTCAGGATTCTATATTATACTACAGTCCTCCAATTTTTTTTTTGCATCACCACTAAAACACAGCCAACATCAGAACCCGCTTCCAAAACTAAATAGCACGATAAACCACCGAGTCCTAACCGATGCAAAGGTAACATGGGCTCGCAGATAGTCGACTTCTTCCCATAATGCGTTACAAAAAGGGCCTTACATAGCCTCTTGGTGGTGCATGTCTTGTGAATTTTTAAAAACAAATTGGGGTGGTGTGACGTCATTTTCTGGGTATACAAACCAGTCGAAATAGCGTTTACTAGGCATACCTATATAACCTAACTTAAATCTTAATTGTAATAAATAAATGTAATGTTTGAATCAGAGAAACGACGTACGTCAATTTTGGATTAACGCCCGTTCAAATTTAACCCCAAAATGGCGTCCGTTACGGCAGCGCCCTCATTCGTTCAAAAATATGGCTAAACATACCTGATCGGTAGGTGGGGAAGTCGGCGTAAACAGTGAAATCTGCCTCCACGGGCCCATTCGTCATGATCTCTTTCTGTATCTGCATGACATTTGAGGAAATAGTGTACACACTCCCTCCTGTATAGAACAAAACAAATATAAAGCATGAATTCGAGCAATGCAGTTTGTCGACTTCCGACTACACTCAACCAAAAAAGAAAGTCCCCCCTAATGCTTTTTGTCTCACTCAAAATCTACTGGGCACATCTTGCTCAAATAACGACTGATCAGTACAGAAATTCCTTAGCGATCCAGCCATGCTCTTTATTTGGCCCAAAACAGTGATAATGACTTGTGTACAAAATAATTTTGCAATTTATGACGAATGGTACCGAAAAAGTTGCACTTTTGTATACGTGCAAGGTGAGTGTGAACCACAATTTGCACGTATATAAATGTGCAACTGTTTTCGGTATCATTTGTCATAATTGCACAATTTCGTACACATTATCACTGTTTTGGGCCAAATAAAGAGTATGGCTGGATTGCTAAGGAATTTCTGTACTTATTAGTCGTTATTTGAGCGAGAGGTGCTCAGTAGTGTTTGAGTTAGACAAAAAAGTATTGGAAGGGGGACTTTCTTTTTTTGGTTGAGTGTAGTTGGCTGCCTCTTGCAAGGACAGGGCTATCCTATCCGGCCCCGGAACAAGTTGGTATTATTTACCATAGTGTCGGTCCTTGTCGAAGGCGACGCTGTAGCCAGGTATGCAGGTCTTCATGCATTTCGGTGTAGGGACTTCGGCACCGCACGGCTTAAGGTGACCGGGTTCGTGGTGGTCACAGCTGGGGATGGTGTAGGGCTGGCACCCGCTCTTGCTTTTGTACAGACCGCCGGTGACTAGGCCGTTGGTCTTCCAGAAACTCCAGGCTTCGTTGGGATATCCCCCACCACATCTTGGCGCAAACAAAGGTAGAAACAGATTAAGGTCATTTTGCTAAAACAGCGCTTCGTAGCAAAGTCTCAAAGCGCTTCACAATTTAGTAATACCATTGTTTATTAGGCTAGGGGACAAGTTTTCTGTAGAAGCTCAGAATCAGTGCGATCTGGTCTCTACTCTCTGCCCAATTGATACTCCCAGAGGGGCAATTGCAGTAAAGTGTCCTGCCCAAGAACACCGTGCGCCATATCAGGGTTTGAGCCTACGAACCGTAGTCGGACATCATAACCACCGTACAGGTTTCCCAATGTAATGTATTCAATTCCTTAAATTTGACACTTGGGTCTATAACGTATTTTGCAACCAACACCCTTCAAGCCGTTATGTTTACTTTTAGCCGTGGAGGCTCCCTTACCTACGATTCGGTAGAAATAGTGAGAAACATTTGGTCTGGTAACCAGACTACACTCACCCGTCACCACATTCCATACAGCAGTCATTCAGTTCCTCAGCCGAGATGTTCACCTGGACCATGTTGTGAATACACTCACGATCCGACATGGACTCGACTGCACCAAAAGCCTAAAACGACAAAACGTTAAATATTTAATAAGGAAGGGGATAGTTTACTGTATGATCACAACATTTTCCTTTCCTTTTTTTTGGACACCGTGCCAATTCGGGCGATTCACAATGCAGTGCGCCACCAAGAGTTTGCCATGGAGAGTCCACTTTTCAGGTTTACGGTCGACAAAACAATTGGTCCATTTGAATGAGTGTCAGAAGACAACTTAAGCTAATATGTCATAGATTGGGGCATAGCGTTCTGCTGCCTTACAAAAAACACCATATTGATAAGAAGAAAGGAAAAGGGCAAACAGATCCTCGAATCATACGCTTACGAAACTACTGACCGGAAAAAAACTAACAATTTCAAATGTCCCGCGCTGCGAATTTGTCGACCATCTCCCACAATGCACTGGGAAAAACTAACTCTCTGTGGCCAACTTTTGGTGGCGCACTGCATTGTGAATCGCCCAAATTGCATTTGATAGTAATCTACGCAAAAAAACCTTATCACCCATACGGTCACCAATTTCAACGACAATGTCGTCGTCATCGTTATTGCCACTAGGCTATTGGGCTTGTCATTGTCATCAGGAGGTGCATCTGTCGAGACAAAGCCCTCGCAATTCCTCTCATTTATTTCTGTGTGGCGTTTCTTCAGTCTGAACTTTGGTTTAATAAGAAATCGGCTACCGTACTCATGACCAGAGGAGTGACGCGCGTCATGAATCACCCTAATTTGAATATACACGCGTCATTTTCTTGACAGCCCGGCCAATCAAAACGAAGGGAAATTTTAAAGAGGCTTATCAACCAGTAGCCTTTTGACAAGGCTTTCGTGCTTTTTGTAATTCGACAAAGTCATCAGGCCTTTTGACTTTCGATTAATTGGCTCGGTCGCTATTGAGTTTTTTTCATCATAAGGTATCGTGGCAGACAATTTGCCATCATAGGAAGTCTGTGCAGCGCGCTGAAAAGCAGCATTTGGCGTCACCCTGGGAGCAACGAACTATGGGTGCACACCTGTAAATAGGCCTAAACCCATCCGCCGAGCTCACGAATAAAAGTTATACCCTCAAAATATTCTATTAGAGAGTTCTGAGAGCCATAAAACTGGGGAATTGAGGAGATATGGCAATGAACCTGTGGCCCGGATTTTGGGCTTCCAAGTCTGAGCATTTTGGATGCAATTAGGCCCGAAAGAATTTCTCGAAGATCAATGGTCAACCGACCAAAACATTAAAGGAAAATGAAAGATGACAATGTTAATCATCATTTTTTCGTGCAGCTTAAATGCCTGTGAGAGTTCCAAGTATTTTTAAAAGAGTTTTGAAGTGTGGGCATTAAGCACTGGTGTCTGGGAATTTTAATACAGGGGTGTGCATCCCTATGGCCTTGTCAACTGAAGCAACCGTGATGGACTGTCACGTGACCCAAGCACGTGTCCTTACCCAGCAAGAGCCGCAGGCTGCTTGGTCTCTGATCAGCGGAATGGTGGTGCACTGCGGCCATTTCATGCGCGCATCGAAAGTCATCGGGATGTCGCTGACGTCCTCGTGGAAGTACAACGGCAGCTTCTTGTCCACTGGCAGCGGGTACTTGACTCCGAGTCGGGCAATGACGGACTCCAGGGTCTCGCCCACGAAATTGGGTCCGGCCTGGGTGGAGGAAAAAGACACTGCGGTAATGCAACTTCGTTCCCAAAGCCTGCCTTAAGTTCAATTCCAATCGCAATATGGTCGTTCGTTATAGTGATTGTGCATTATAACATTAATGTAATAGGCGGGAGGAAAACGGATGTTCTTTACAGCCAAATGTTCGTTATAGCGGTGTTCGTTATAGCGGCGTTAGTAGTAGACTCCGAGATACTAAACTATAGCTTCCCGTATCTGAATGTGTGTTAAGCATTTCGAGCTCAAGAAGATGTGGCATTTGATGTAACGTGGGAATGTTCCTCTTATTCGTTCTTAATCTTAAGGCCCGAGCTTCAAATATGACTCGCCACTTCACTATTTACTATACATGTAGTTGCGAGTCTAGTTGCGTCTCTATATCGACCGAGATTTTCAAATACAGATTCATTCTTTCAAAGAAAACTTGAAGTTGGGAAATGGATTTTAGAAGGCCGGTTGTGTCCCTTCTCCGTGTGCCCTTGACCCCCGAAAAATACAAAGTTGCCCACCAATATCCAAGATAAAGAACTAACGACAACCTGTTCTTACACAGTAATACTGATATGACCTGGCCCCTAATTATCTTCCCACACAAGAAAAAGTAAAAAATTGTCACCGAAACGAACCAATATGAAAACAAAATTGGTCAAAGTCTTGACTCGAGACTGATAGCGCACTACCAGCAACTTGCTTTATAGTGATATTGAGCATGTATAATGTGATTTAGGTTAAGATAAGAAAAACAAATTTAAATCCCTGGCTGGAATTAAGCTGGTACCATTTGTCGATGGGGGCGCTGTTCGAAACCGACGATTATGCACACTATGTACACTAATAGACAATATATGGTGCTTTTCGGGGCGATACAGGCGTGAAATTAAAAAAAAAAAGGCACACGTACGGAACGGCCAATGGCACAAAAGAGGGCACAACTTTTTTTTTTTAAAAGGGCACTTGTTCAGAAAAAAAGGGCACTTGTTCAGAAAAAAGGGGACTCTTTACAAAATATGGGGGGGGGGGTAACGCTGGTGAAAAAAAGGCATTTGAATGGAAAAGGGCAGTCTTTACAAAATATTGGGGGATACCCCCTTACCCCTCTACCCCCCCCCCCCCCCCCCCCCCCCCCCCGCTGGCTACGCCTTTGTCATGCTACAATTTTCTTCCAAGTGATACCATTACAGGCGGAATAATTTTACAGGGAAGGCCTATTTGAAAACCAGTCCTATCTTCACTTTGAACAAGATTTCTGTCATTAAATCGGTAGGTATACTTTCCAAGTGATTACAAATTATCCTGCGTGGCTTTAAGTAAACAGCTAGGATGACATTGAAAAAAGTGATTGTTAAAACATCGTTTTATGCCTAGTTAGGCCAAAAAAGTCTCTAGTTTCTGGTATGCGCGCGCGTCGCCGTAGCCATGCGCTTCGGCAAAATGAAAAAGTTTTTTTTTCAAAGATGATGTCTCAAAACCGTCAAACTCACTGGTTTGACTGGAATCCTGCTGCTGCACAATTTTAACGTGTCTCTGGACTCCCATATATTTGCACTAGTAGGGCACCATTTGCAGTCATCAGCCGACATTTGAAGCAAAAAAGTCAGAAAAAAAGCCGCGTCGCCGCACCACTTTTTGGGCAAGCTCCATACCAGAAACCGGAGACTTTTTTGGGGCCTTAGAGTAACCCCAATAATAGTTCGAACTTTGCCATTGCCATTTTTTGTTTTCAGTTTGGTATCCCCCCCAAAAAAATTCCACACGGAAAGGTTGAAGGACAGTTTTCCTTTAATACACGTCCTACCACAAAACACTCAAGCCCATTCTAGTTCTGTTCAATGACCCGGAACATACCGCCCACACATGAGCCGCTGAAGTTGTTTTGATGCCGAGGGTTTTATGCCGAACAGGATATCATTGTGAATATTGGTGCTTAGTTTGCAACACATTTCCTCTTTCCTTATTTATCAAATAACAAACACGTGTTTATAAATACTGATACCAAGTCACGGTTGTGCACTATTAAATATATTGGACTATACAGCTTGGTACTGCTTTTTACATTTTAGTTCAATTTCGTATTTTTCCTACATGGTCTTAAACATGTTGAATACGACAAGAAATTGTGACTTGTCAATGCAAGGAATTTTAGAAAAATTAAAAAATCCGATATGTAACAGTCGTTGACTAGACCTACCTTCCATGTTGTGTCCATGGAGTTAATGTGCTGGATCATATTGGCAGAATACTCCAGGAAGTCAGTTTTGGCCGTAGCCACCGCCAGAACGCTGGCAAGAAACACCGCAAAACGCATCTTGATTGCTGAAAGTGAAGAACAACGAATAATTTGTTTACAATCCCAAATGTAAGTGTTTTCAAACTATTTTTAAATGATCCAAAAATGACTTTGGTCATGAAGCACGAGGAGTATTAAACGCACCCCGACATCATGAACAATCAGCTAACTAAAATTTGACCAAACGTTTACTTGTTTTGTCAGTTCACCTACCCGTGCTCATGCCTGTTACTGGTATATGTTTTGAATAACATTTTATGTATAAATCTGTCTTTTTTGTAAATATTTGTAAAGTATATACTTGTACGTATTTGTAAGTATTACTGTTCTACAGTCTGTTTCACCAATGTACATTTTTTCCTTGTGATTTTTACTTTACTTAACTTTATTTAATAATTTGTAATGTACGCAGGGCCCCAATGGAAACCAGGTTTAAACTGTTTGGGCATACTCTTGGTAAAGAAATGTAATACATAAATAAATAAATTTAATAAACTATCGATTTTACGGGAAAATGACAAAACCATGATGCATTCAGTTGAGTTCCAAACCTCTTCGGCACTAGGTCTATACACCCCCAATACCCGGAAGAAGTACTGTTAAAACTTGAAAAGTTACATGAATGGAATGCCATGCTATTAAAGTAGACGTGTGCGCGCAAGATCAAATAACTGTGACATTTTGACATGTAGGAATCAATGTTTTGGATAGATGTCAGGAAGAATACACCCAAAAGTCCCAGACCCCCACCCCTTACTACATACTAACTAAACAGTCTCAACAAACATTTCAATGCAAAAATGTACATGATTTACCTTGTTTGAGCTTCCGTTTACTGTCGAAACCAGTACCACCGATCGCCAAGTCCGATGTGCGTCAGACACCGCACACACCCCCTAGCTTTATATACCGACCCACACTGATAACAATACCCAGTCACCTGATTCTGAACTCGTGATGTGCTGGAGTCCAATAGGTCTTGTGATGGAGACATAAAATAGATCCAGGGGCGACACTACAAATACCCTTTGTTGGGCACTCAAGTGTCCAGTTCAATATTTGTGGTTTCAGCAAACACTTCAAATAGTTGTCGTGGGACATGGGTTTGGCGGGCGATACAGTGACGGGTGTAAAGGTTGACGTTTGATTACTCTTCGATGGACTTGGACCAGACTAGGACTTTGAAGTGAAAAAATACATGCTAAACAAAACTAGGCCAACTTCACCCGCCCGGCCCTTCAGCCGACAAAACTCTCTAACTTTCCTGAGGCAAAGAAATACAATTATGCTATCACTTCTTTAACATGTTTAGAAGCTGAACGTTATGTGTTCACTTCAGTTTCAACTGCTTAACACTTTCCACCCTTGCTATAAACATGTTTAGTATTTAAACATGTTTACAACCTGATGGCAAGAAAGTGTTTAGAAAAGTGTTTAATTGCTAAACAGTTTTTGAAGCGTAGCCAAGTTTCAGGTCTCAATATGAGAAGACATTTCTTCTACAGTTTGCACCTGAGGCTAATGCAAAAGTAATTCAATTTGAAAGCTAAGATAAAAGCATGGTACATATATGTGACCCGCTCCGCAAAAATGAGTCTGTTGTGGCAAAACTGACATTTTGGGTTAACTACATTAATGAAATGGGAATGAAATAAGCTTTCATTTGGTATATCATGGACCTCTCTGGGATATTTGGTTGCATTGTTGTGCTTGTTTAATTCTGTAAAGTTTTTGCAAAGCTAGAAGTGTCTCAATGGAGAAAAAAGGCTTTGAAAAATGACAAATACACTGTAACTAACCAAGAAAAGCACCAAAGATTCATATTTTTTTTCTTTTTCTTACAATATTTACATTTCTGTGTAAGATATTTGAACTAAAACTATCAAACAACCAAAATAAAACAAAAACAAAAAAATCAAAATTTTGAGCAAATTTTTACTGTTTCCATTTCAAAATGACAAAAGCTTGAATTCAAATTATGCGACATCAGACTCATTTTTGCAGAGCGGGTCACATATATCCAACTTTTTGAAAAGATTGACCCGTCAGTAGTCTGGTGGCATGACTACGGAAAGAAACTGCAGAAGTAGAGACTAGGAACCAGATGTTTTATTTGACACATTTAATTGATGCAGTATGTATACTGAAGAGGTGTGGGACTGGTTGACAAGGTGGGACAAGGTTCCTGTCTTAGATTGTTGACATTTTGTTTAAAAGCCAATTTAGAACTTTTCTAACAAGCTGAAGCCAGTTATTTGACATTGTTTTACACGTGACATCCTGATATTTCATGGGATGAAAAGATTAGGACCCTGGATTTTCATTCAGGGTGAGTCAAGAAGCGGAACCCAAACCCCCAAAAATGTATTTCATATTTAAAAATATGTAGCACACAAATTCATAATGACTGGAAAGCAAATATCATAAGCTACTTTTAGATGAAAAAAAATACTGAAATTGCTTAATTCGTTCAAAGAATATCACCGTTTTATCGCAATGACTTGCCCACCTTGCCCAACGCCACAAAATGCACCACGGACTGTTAACTATGACACTGAAATAATAATTTTAAAAAACAGTCTGTATTTCATACTGACCGTTTTGCTGTTTTGCAAAGTTATTTGTGTAAAACTGTAAAACCAAAATCATTGATCGTTATGCTGTAATGAATTTCACTAAACTGCTAAAACAGAATAACCACATTTAACGTAATATCGTTTGACCGTTTTTCAAAAGTGTAAACGACATAACGGTCATGGTTCGTTTACTGTTTTTCAGTTGACGAAATCCAAAACGGTAAAGCGAAATAACTGTATGTACCGGGATTCTTATATCAGGGCATTGACGGCATCCTTGGGGTAGGCTGGTCCCCGGCACTCCATATCGTACCACTGCGTGGGACCTGTTAGAAAACATCGGCAAAAAAAGAAGAAAGACAACTGCTACACCTCTGTCTTGAATACTGTATTTTAATTGGCCTAGAACGATCACGTGTTAAGTTTATAAAAATTCCGATAGCACACTCCCGGTGGGATACATCACGTACAGGCTTTGTGCGTACAGTACGATGTGAAACGCTTGTATCGTTGGTACCCACGCTACTTTCACCATGTGTTCACATAAGGAGTGGGAGCAGCGAACTAGCAGACGATCAGCTGTGTCGAGCACGCGACATTTGAGTTGACGTTCGATTGTCATGATTGCTGTGTTTACTGCTGTTTTTTTGTGATTTTTACACAAAAATCCAAAGAATCCAAGACAGAGGTATAACAAAACAATATGATTGTTGACTGCCATGATGAGGGATATGACATTTTGAACACCTCGGGCGCACATCACCCTCGGCTTTGCCTCGGGTGTTACGCGCCCCTCGGTCGGGTGTTCAAAACGTCATGTCCCACATCCAGTCAACAATTGTTAATTATATTCAAGTTGTATCTCTTCACTTACACAGATTTTGATCAGCAGGGGAACCAGACTATATACATGCCTCGATTCTCCCACTATTTCTTGTGATTTGAAGTTTAACGTACCTAGTTGGGAGACGTCCGAGGGCCCGACGTATGTAAATCCCAGTTGCTTGTAAAACGGTATCAGCTCGTCCTCGCATATGAAGCACATTTTAGTCACATCTTTGTGGTTCTCCTCGATATACGTTACCCAATGCTTCACCAAAAGCGAACCAATACCCTGTGTGAACAAACAGGCAGGTATATAAAGAAAGAAAAGGCCTGCCTGTTATTTTGGTCGTATAAAGTATTCGCAAGAGTTAACTTAGTTAAGTTTAAGCAGAAAGACATCGACTTGATACTTGATCAAAGTGACTTAAGGCGTGTCCAGTATGACTTGAGACTTGCCCAGAGTGACTTGAGACTTGACCAGAGTGACACGAGACTTGACCAGAGTGACTCGAGACTTGATCAGAGTGACTTGTGTCTTGACCAAAGTGACTTGAGACTTGACCAGAGCGACTTGCGACTTAACAATTGACCAGAGTGACTTAGATGACTTTAATGACTCGAGTGACTTGAGACTTGCCCAGAGTGTCTTGAGACTTGCCCAGAGTGACGTGAGACTTGACCAGTGACACGAGACAGCCAAAGTGGCATGAAACTTGACTAGAGTGACTTGAGACTTGACCACAGTGACTTGAGACTTGACAAAAGTGGCTTGATACTTTGACTAGAGTGACACGAGACTTGATCAGAGTGACTTGAGACTTGACCAGAGTAATGGCTTGATACTTGACCAGAGTGACTTGAGACTTTTTGTGATTCATTTGAGGTATCTATCCTCGATCGTTTCGAGTGCGCCAATTTATAATGCTATATTGTAATTGCTCCGAATGTAACCTTTCTAGAGATTTCTATGCCGTTGCAGAGCACGTTTTACATGACCTAAAAAAGTTTTAATCTGTCAAGCAAGATGAACTTACCTTTCTTCTTAACTCGGGGTAGACGCACACCAGGTTCAGATAAGCAACAGCGCCCTCTGAGTCATGCTTGAACATGGAATCATATTTCCATTTACTGCCAGCACCACGAGTTCCAAAGATAAACTAAAGGAAAAATCGTGTCGAACTACAACATGTTATCCTGACCAAAGCAAAGATTTAGTGTTATAATATTATGTAAGAATAATGTAAGAACATGACACTCCACATTCTGAGTGTATGGTAAGGAACTTATTTAGGCCTAATCTTACGTAAGGCCAAAAAAAAAAATCGGTCTCTGGTCAGACCAAAGTTCCGGAATTGATGCGGCGACGTTTTTTTTTTTTTTTTTTGGTGGCTTTTTTTTTCAAGCTTGAATATGTACATTCAAGGTGGGTACTATTTTGCTTTTTTGTGTCCTCATTATACATTGGTGTCCTCCATGATTTGCCTTGGTGCCCTTTATCATTTGCCTTGGTGCAATCTCCCCATTCCTTGGTGCTCCTTGGTACAAAAATTTGAGGAGGTGCGACAATAGGGGGCGCTGTTGTAGCTTCCGTGCTAATTTGAATAAAAAAGGTTGACGCGCATGATTAAAATCGACGCGCGCGCTGACCAGAGACCGAGTATTTTTATCTTTTTTTGGCCTAAGCCAGATTCTAACATTACCTTCATACTGTGTTCTAATAAAGCACAATTTAATAACACTCATGCAATAATTAAAGTACTTTTCAAGTTATCTGATGGATACCACAGGAGGGCGCTATTCTGAGTGGGTAAATTTGGCCAACCTCGTCCTCACGGCGTTGAGCAGTGCGCTCCCACCACCTGCTCTCTCACCCTGGTAGTGGATCATTTTCATGTTAAAAAAAAATCGTGCATGTGCAGTTTAGCCTGGAGTAGTCTGGTGCCTGGCCAAATACTTTCAATCGTCAGTGTTTTTGTACGCGGCGTCTATGTTACAGACGAAATAAATTCTTCACGACGTGTGATCGGAAGCAAGTTATAATTCTTAATTACCCATCTAAATTACACTACATATTATTATAAGCACAATTAATAGAAAATGAAGGATTGATTTTGAGCACGATTGGACGTGAGTTCACAATAAACGAATTATAACACATACGTAAGTCTAATAAAATCACTAAACACGATATAAATCCATCACACATTCTGTTGCGGTATCGAGCCAGAATACAGGAAGCAAGGGATAACCTCAGTCCCAGGGTCTCAGAAATTATCTCGACGTTGAAAGTGGAACTAGTCGAACGAGGTTGAAATCGGGTATAACCATTGATCTCCATATGATCAATGGGTATAACACAAGTTTTACTCACTCCAAAATATCGCCCTCTTAGGCCTATATATTGTGTCCACCATTTCCCCAAAAGGCTAATAAATACAGGGTGCGTCAAAAATAGCACGAAACCCAAATGTCGGGACCATGAGTTCTGAATGTAGCACTTTCAAAATCTAGGATATGAAAGCCCAATCCATAAGCTTTCTTTTAGTGCCAGAATCATTCAAATCACTTATGTACTTTTCAAGTTACGGAGTTTTAAACACAACCGCCGTTTTAAGGTTCTGTATAGACGGATCACAAAAAGGTCAAGGTTCTTTCAGCAAAACGAAAACAAATCACATAGGGATGTGTGTCACGGTGAATTGCCGTTTTCGTTTTGCTGAACGAACGCACACCTTTTTTTGTGATCCGTGGACATAACTTTAAAACGGTGGTTGTGTTTAAAACTCCGTAACTTAAAAAGTACATGAGTGATTTGAATGATTCTTGTACTGAAATAAGCTTATGAATATGGCTTTCTTATCCTAGATTTTGAAAGTGCTACATGCAGAACTTCACTAAAACAATGGTCCCTACATTTGGGTTTCGTTGTTTTTTTAAATAAAATAAACTCACTCCAGTCATCTTCCCGTTTCCAAAGTGTCCCCAGAAAAGCTCCGGGGCGTCTCTCTGGGCACGAGTGTATCTTTCTATCGGCAGATGCTCTGCTGGGATCTCAGGGTAACCTTGGAAATGGCAAATTCAAATTCCATCTCTGCGATCGATATCAAAATTAGCCTTCTTTTTTTAATAAAATGTACATTGACACAAACAAATCCATCCTGCAGAATTTGAGTTTTGCAATCTACCGTTTGGTTTGATTATTCACCTGGTTGAGCAAACTGCATTTCAATTGGGGGAAAGTAGGGAATTGTTTGATCCAATATTAAATAAATCATTTTTTTTCTCTTGCAAATTCTTACCATTTAGAACATCTTGTGTAAAGGTAATTGCTTTTAGAGAAACCATTTTTCTCCTCAAAAAGGTGAACATAAAGGCCGGTTTAAACTTCACGAAGCAAATAATTTTCATGACTAAAATTTTCAGATTGAAATAATTCAAAATATCAAAACCAAGTAGAATCTGTGGGTAAAGTGTTATAAAACAAATATTGAATGCTTTATCTCGTGGAGAAGTAAAACTAGCCTCCCTCGATGATCCATGGAGCATTCTAGTTTCGCTCGGCTTCGTCGCGGGAAAATAGAATGTCCATGGATAACCTCGAGAGGATTATATTATTATTTTCGTTATCTATTCGGCCAAAATACAAGATACAACAAGTAATTCACAAAAGTAAACAAGACTAAACAAAAACAGTCCAATCCGAGCTGGCCAGGATTGACAAAAGTATATAACGAAACACTGTGACTCGAAAGCATGTCAACCCTAACTAACATGTAACATACAAATTTGTAGATACAAAGTTCACCACTCGAAGCATTCAATATTTGTATAATATAGCACGGCCGGAGAGGGGTACATCTCATGATCAAAGTACATGTATAAAGTACGAGTACGAGTTCAAAAAATGTGTACTTTAATACAACACTACAGCTTACAAGAGTTCCATAGTTTTCCAAATAGTGGGCCGGCCAATATGGAATTTTACATTCTTTTGGGGCCATTTTTTTGGGTAATACCAATGTTACGTCAATATACAAGCTAGTAGGTACATAATAAAAATCATTGAAGGTTAGACCGATCCATTTAGGTATAACCAAAATCATTATTAAACAACCAACCCATCAAAATGAGGCCGGTCTATATGTGACCTCGAAAATAACCTTCAAATTCATATAGCACTCGGTCCATATTTTATTTAACCTACATGTACATGTATAAATGACTGATTCCGTAAGCATGTCATGCTACTGCTGAAAACAAATACCAGAAGAACAAAATCTAGCCTGAGACTTTTCAGTATTTGCTGGTCACATTGAACCCTCTCCACTCAAAGAGAAATCTGAGACCTTGAAACAGACTTACTCTGAGCCTCTAGCGACCACACTTCATGGACCTCCTCAGCCTTGATCTTCCGTATGCAACTTGATTCAAAGTTGACTTTTAATCCTGCACTTGACGATTTCATTATTTCACGCAAGGAGGACGGTGTGTAGAGTATCTAATGTTCGGGAATGAAGGCAGACACACACACACCGACACACCCAGACATGTAGTTCTCGGCTGACTGTTTGCTGTTAAGTGTATTCAACATTGGAGGTCAATCCGTGACCTGTGGTGTAATCATGCATGGAGTGCCTATATTATACCGTGCAAAGCTAATTAAGGCCCTCTGACTTTTTTCTCTAAATTTTGATTTGTATAATTCTAGGTCAATCCAGTCGGTAAGCAGTATGCAGCATGCATTTTTATTCATTTTTATCGTTTTTTATTTTGCCTTTGGCAAAGGTCAGTGCTAGGACTCGAAAAAGTTAGACCCCTTAACTTTCTTATTGATGTTATATTTCACGTCAATCCACTCAGGTTTTGCGGCAGTTTTATTTATGTTCACAAACATTGTTTTCAAAAATTCAGAAGACTCGTGCAGGTCGCACAATCGGTAAGTCTACATTCACTCTGACTCCTTGGGCGAGGCTGGTACTTGGTACTCCATATCATACCACTGCGTGGGACCTGTTAAAACAACGGCAAAAAAAGAAGAAAGACATTCACATACAAAAAGTTGTATCCTTTCATGTATCCCTTCGCTATGTGTCCCGTCCGCGGAGCTCAGGCCTATAGTCTAGTTCCCAGACCAAAAGGTTCTGACTTTTCTGACAAATCATGGAGCTATGGAAAAAAAATCTGAGGTCAGGTAGGCGCCACTGTCACGTGACCAGGCAGAATCCTACCGTTTCAGAACCTGTCTGAAGGCTGGACACGTTTTCATCAACCTCATTCCCCATGGGTACGATCTTGCTGCGCCATGTTGTTTCCCATCATGCCTTGCGCGATACGCGCTCGCGCCCGGTGGAGTCGAGGCTGCGTTTTCATTGACCGTCCTCTCGGATATCCGGTTCGTTAGTAAAAGCGTCATCATGACACGCGCGCGCACCACTGATTACGAGCGCCCATTGGATAAACACTCAAGTTGCGTTTGCTTCCGGTTCCAATGGTTCCAACGCTACTTAATGGCCAGTGGGCGTGGTTTAAAACGAAATGACGTCATACTAACGAACCTGATAATCGCGTAAGCTCTGGCATTTACACATGAAGCTTGTTTTTTTTTTACAAAAACATAATATACTTTCTTTGCTCATTGTATAGTTCAGAGAATATAGTTTGGAGTAAATCGAAACTTAAAGCAAATTGTTAAGCCATGCGGGTGTAATGCCCACTATTTGTACCTCAGGTACGCACTTGGGCTTTGCCGTCTCATGTTCCATTCTGTTGATTCCGAGTCGCCGGTTACCTGACCTGCAATCTATAGCTACAGACGTCACATAAACAGCACGTCAAGGAACCAGACTGTAACCACGCCTCGATTCTCCCACTATTTCATGTGATTTGGAATTTAACGTACCTAGTTGGGTGACGTCTGAGGGCCCGACGTATGTAAATCCCATGTGCTTGTAAGCCGGTATCAGCTCGGCCTCGCATATGAAGCACATTTTAGTCACATCTTTGTGGTTCTCTTCGATATGCCTTACCAAATGCTTCATCAAAAGCGAACCAATACCCTGTGTGAACAAAAGCAGCAGGTATTAGAAAGAAAAGTTCAACCGTTATTTTTGGTCTTAGGACATCGACTTAATTATAAGACTTGATCAAAGTGACTTGAGATCTTACCAGAGTGACTTGAGACTTAAAATTGACCAGTGACTTAGATGACTTAAATGACCGCAGAGTGACTTGTGACTTGACCAGAATGACTTGAGACTTCACCAGAGTGACTTAAGACTGTACAAGAGTGACTTGAGGCTTGACTAGAGTGACTTGATGCTTGACCAGAGTGACTTGAGACTTGACCAGAGTGACTTGAGACTTGACCAGAGTGACTTGAGACTTGACCAGAGTGACTTAGGACTGTACCAGAGTGACTTGAGGCTTGACTAGAGTGACTTGAGACTTGACCAGAGAGACTTGAGACTTGACCAGAGAGACTTGAGACTTGACCAGAGAGACTTGAGACTTGACCAGAGTGACTTGAGACCTGACCAGAGAGACTTGAGACCTGACCAGAGTGACTTGAGACTTGACCAGAGTGCCAGACTTGAACAGAGAGACTTGAGACTTGAACAGAGTGACTTGAGACTTGACGTGAGTGACTTGAGACTTGACCAGAGTGACCTGAGACTTGACCAGAGTGATTTGAGACTTGACCAGAGAGACTTGAGACTTGACCAGAGTGACTTGAGACTTGACCAGAGTGACTTGAGACTTGACCAGAGTGACTCGAGACTTGACCAGACTGACTTAAGTCTTCACCAGAGTGACTTGAGACTTGACCAGAGTGACTTGAGACTTGACCAGAGTGACTTGAGACTTGACAAGCGTGACTTTAAACTTGACCAGCGTGACTTGAGACTTGATCAGAGTGACTTGAGACTTCACCAAAGTGACCGTGTACCAGAGTGATATGATGACTTGACCAGAGTGACTTGAAACTTGACCAGAGTGACTTGAGACTTGACCAGAGTGACTTGTACCAGAGTGATATGATGACTTGACCAGATGAATTGAGACTTGACCAGAGTGACTTGAGACTTGACCAGAGTGACTTCGATGACTTGAATGACGTAGTGACGTGAGACTTGACCAGAGTGACGTACTGGAGACTTTATCAGAGCGACTTGAGACTTGATCAATATTGCCGATTATGCAAGATATCCTAAACTAGAATCAACAAGAGTAATATTATGCGACCGCCATTTTTTGACGGTCGTTGACATGACAATAGTTCGACTAGAGTCGCTTGCACTTCACCTTCAGTGCGCATGCACTAGATACGTCATGAACCAACCGCTAGTTAACCACTGGTCCTTGCCCACACTTTTCAACTTACCATTTTTCTGAACTCGGGGTAGATACACAGCAGATTCACAAAAGCAACAGCGCCCTCTGAGTCGTGTTTGAACATGGAATCGTAGGTCCATTTACTGCCACCACCACGAGTCCCAAATATGAACTATGAACAAATCACCAATTTTCTCATCAAAAAAATAGGCAACATTTTTATAACAATTTAAAGTACATGCTTGTCTACAACAAACCAGAGATATCACAGCTCTTAAAATGTTATCTTAGCTAATTTTGCCCAGTTCCATGTTGTTTTTTTCATATTTAAATCCCAAAGGGTTTAGGTCACTCGCAAATGGCTTAGTCTCGACGTTGAAAGTGGAACTATATAGTCGAATGAAGTTGAAATTGGGTTTATTACAAAAGTGTAACTCACTTGAAAGTATCGCCTTCATATACTGTATCCACCATTTCCCCAAAACACTAAAAAAGTATACACTGCAAAAACTGTAGTGTAAATTTAACACCATTCGGTATTCATATAGGACAACACCAGTAAAATTTAACACCAGATGGTCCTATATACACTTAATTTCGGTTGTATACTATATGAACCTAGCAACCAGTTGTGTAAATAAAAAATGAACAACTTGTGTAATATTTTACACAAGTTGTGTAAACAACAGTTTACACAACGGGTTGCTAGGTTCATATAGTACACAACCGTTTGATTTTTACACAACCGAAATAACAGTGTATAGATACCAATGGTGTAAATTTAACACTGCAGTTTTTGCAGTGTACATCTGAAATTTCTATAATTAGTCGAACTCTGATAACTCAATACAACTTAAGTCGTAAAACAATGATATACATTAAACAACCCTGCTTAACTCAAAAGTCTGCTTAAGTCTAATTTCGAACCGGTTCCCTTGAAAGTTTGTCTTATCGAGATTTCACTCATGCAATTCCTTATTCGACCAACGATAAAATAGACTCACTCCAGTCATCTTCTCGTCTGCAAAGTGTCCCCAGAAAAGCTCCGGGGCGTCTCTCTGGGCACGAGTGAATCTCTCTATCGGCAGATGCTCTGCCGGGATCTCAGGGAAAGCTGGGAAATGGCAAATTCAAATTCCATCTCTCATTTCATTTCATTTCATTTATTTCATTTTTTTCGGGATACATTTGTTACAACAAACAAATATTAAATACTCAGAAATACACATGAACATTTTAGACAAAACATACACAATATATTTAACCAGCTCCCGCTGGATTACCCAAAAGAGACACGGTTTCTGTCGAGGGACTCTCCAACTGATTAAATATGACACACTGAAAACAATGTTAATAAATTATATATACGTAAAACTTTAAAGAAATAAAATAATAAAACAAGTCCTTTCGTGAATAAAACCATATGAATAAAACGAAACACTGCATTGTGTTTTAAATTGTTATGTATACTGTAAATGAGTAAACATAATAAAATGATTTGTTATAGAACAGGCCAAAAATGGACTACTTCAGAATAAATAAATAGATAGATAAGAGTAAATAATAGTGAAAACAAACAACAAACACCCCACTGACCAACAAACAAACAAACAAACACCCCAACACCCCAAACAAACAAAAAAACAGACAAACAACCGAACAAACAAATGTTGACCTATAGTATAATAATTGAGGTTGGGAAATACATGTACGGAAATACATGTACGGTCGAACACCCTTATAACAATTAGGTCCCTGGGTTTTCACCTTGCTACAAGGTGATTTGCGATATCGAATTCACCACTACGGATTACCTCCTTTTTATAAGAGCTACAATGACACATAATATAGAAACCCAAATTGCATGATTTGAATAAGCCACTGTACTGATGCTTTTACATCACATCTCTTGGTGTTCCGACTTCCATAATTTTTGAACTAAAGATGGTATCTGCATGCAGTTTTCACATCAGTATATAAATACATGTAGCGAGATTGTGCTGTTTTCAAAACTGTTTTAAAAATGACCAGGGTCGACAAACGACTCATTTAGCTTGATCGCATCACATATTTATATCAGGTACGACTACGAATGATACACTATAATAGGACCTTCATAGTTTTCAAAATAGCGGGTCGGCCAATACGTACGGAATGTTAACAATTTTTCAGGCATTTTTTTTGTAATAGCAGGAAACCAATGTTACGTCACACAAGCTACAACCAAATGATACCAAAATAAAGGCGAGATCGATCAAGTTAGGTATAACAGGGGTGTACCCGACGTTCCCCAATACCCCAATCCTCGATGTTCCCCAATCCTTAGGGTTAGAGTTAGGATTAGGGTGGGGGAACCTAGGTATTGGGGAACATAGATATGCACCCGGTATAGTATGCGCCATTTGTGACGGCAACAGTGACCCAACCCTTCAAAATGAGGCTTGTCTTTGTGACCTTGAAAATGGCCTTCAAATTCAAATCAAGGGTGGCATCCACATTTCATTTATTATCCAGGGAGTGGATGATTTAGCATGCATGTCTGCTATTACTAAAAAAAGTGATACCAGAAGAATAAATATTTTAAAAGACTTTTCAGTATTTGGCTGGTCATATTCACACAAAGAGAAATCTGCGACCTTGATAAAGACTTACTCTGAGCCTCCAGCATCCACACCTCGTGAACCTCATCAGCCTTGATCTTCCGTATGCAACTTGATTCAAAGTTGACCTTGGATCCTGCCCTTGACGATTTCATTATTTCATGCAAGGAGGACCGTGCAAAGCTTCGGTTTTGGCCCAGCAACACAGAGCGGAACATTCGCCTGCATGCAAACATTTCTGCAAAAACATGGACGCCCTCGACTTCTTCCAAGCAATTTTAGAGCGAGCAAGTCTCGCCAGTTCACGTTCACTTTTTATACGCGCACGTCTGGGTACCAAACACTGGCTAGTCAGTATTTAAATGACTGAACAGCTGCTTGATCGATTTAACAGAAGTTGAGTTTAAAAAAAGAATCATTTAATGATGTAGTCATCAATTTGCAATATTTTCAATATGTTGTAAATTGGTATGATTTCTTTTCTTTCACTGAACTCATTCGTTGCCCTTGACTGGCTATACCGGTAAGTCTAGTCAGGGCACAAAATAAATGCAACATACGTTGCAGGTCCTAAACATGGTGCCTGGATATCCAATATATTCTCAGCCCTCAAAATCTAGCACTGCAGGTGTTTGATCGAGGTCCAGTTACACGTACGCCATAACGTTCTTATTGTTGTTTCACAATTAAGTATAGGCCTATACAATCTTATTGTATAGGGAAACGCCGAAGGACGGGAGGTCACAGTGGTTAAGTCTCCAATTGTACCGTAATAGAAAACAAGTCTGAGTGCACATAGCTCTGGTTGCGCTGCAGGAAGTCGGGCATTGAAAGTCTTGCATGCCGAGTCGATCAAAATGATCCCTGCCAGAGCTTAAATGCGAAGGCGATATGGCACATTATGGAACAACATACTTTTGTTTAATTTTCGTAACAGGCAGACCGGCCGACCACTAAGTGATATGCATAAGCTCCTGCCACAACTTAAAAACGGTACACGACCAAAGCATACTCTGTTATTTCCAAAGAGAGTAATTTCAACCCTATAGACCGTTATGTGGCGGCCATTTTGATTTTTAATCAACGTAACCAAAGCGAGACTGGAAGTAAAAATAGTCTGGTTCCTTATTGCAAAAAAATAAAAATAAAAAAAACCCAATTCAGTACTGTTATAGAACTACGGAACAGTACTGTTATTGAGAACATATGACTGAAATGGTGGCAGCATGCATAAAGGTTTGTTCCCACTGACAAAAACTAGGTACCAGACGTGTTAAAGTGAAATTCAATCGAATAGATCGATTTCCACTGTTCGGTTCTTTTTTTTCAGTGTAGTTTTCACTACTGGTCTTAAGTTTGACTCTTTAATTTAGAGAGCATAGATCATGAGGTAATATTGATACTGCTGCCTTTACGAGGTGCACAGTAACAGCTAGGCATAATTATACACAAAAATGTATATGAACTGGACCAATACCTTTCTAGAAACTGATACTACTACTTCATGCCTTGTGACTTTAATGCGAGGTGTCAACCATGAAGACACACTGCAGCTTTAAATCAGCGTTAGTGAAGCCAACTATTAACGTTAATTAATAAACTAGCAATGCCCCTTGATTACAATCATAGTTTTGTGACATGTGTACATACATTAAACTTTTGGAATGAATTTGCTCAGTGTTACCAAGCGATAACAAAACATTGTTTTGAATTGCCAAAAATGTTTAATTTAGTAACAAGCCTTGATTTCGAATTTGAAATAAATTTGATTATAACAATAGCAATGTATTCCATTTTCAAAGTAAGATTAGAGACATATCAAGACAATAAGTGGATCAACACTTTTGACACTTTCATTCGAGAACTTTATTGGAGAGCTAAATTACAGAAGAAAAACAAAGTCTTCTGGAATAAGTTTTTGTAACAACTTATTTTAATTAATGTAATATAATGTAACTATGTAATAAGGTTTTTCTCAAAAATGTAAACAATGTTGCGAGAAATAAAAGCGCTAGACGCAATAAATGAAAAAAAAAAACCAACGATGCCCCTACTTGAATTTATCAATGCCCATATTTTTCCCCAAAGCTACCTAAATCTTTAAAAACAAACATAATTTCTCAGTAGCGTGTAATACCAGTAAGATTAAGATTCCAACGCCAAAATTTGATGTAACTTTATAACAGTGCAGCATGCGCATGAAACGTGTTAACGTCCGCGAATCATTCGAACCTACCTACCTGAGCTCCCCAATTCGTTAGTCGGTACAACTAAATATGGTCCTGTATATTGACCCAAGGTTTGGCTAAATTTAACCAGAAGTTTTAACCCAAAGGGGTAGGCACAGCCCTATTTTGGCCAGTTGCAGTTTTTACCCTATCGTTGGGTAAAATTTTAACCCAGGCAATTGTTCAGTGTAGGCATGTTTGAAAACGCTGATCACCATTATTAAGATGAAAGTTGGAACAGCCGAAACAGATTCCCCTATAGTGAAATGTCCCCCCCCCCCCCCAAAAAAAAACACAACAAAGGTGCCCTACACACTAAAAAAATGATATCTATTTCTTACAACCCCGGCCCAAGTCCATGGGAACCAATAAACATTAATACCATATTGCATTTGCACATCTTGGTGAGAAAGAAATGTACATACATGTAAATGCAGTTTATTTCGGGATATCTCATATCCACGCATATTTATAAAGGGCGAGTAAAAAAAAAAGAAACCCAAATGTCGGGACTATTGTTTATTGAAGTTCTGCATGTAGCACTTTCAAAATCTACGACATGAAAGCCCAATTCATAAGCTTTCTTTTAGTACAAGAATCATTCAAATCACTCATGTACTTTTCAAGTAACGGAGTTTTAAACACAACCACTGTTTCTGTCCACAAGGTTCTGTCCACGGATCACAAAAAAAGGTGTACGTTCTTTCAGCAAAACGAAAACAATTCACACACACCCCTATGTGATTTCCTTTCGTTTTGCTGAAAGAACACTGGACTTTTTGTGTGTATTTATATATTCAAACTGTGCAACACTTCCGGGTAAAACAAACTCAGTTTAAGCTTCATCGTGTTCAGATTTGGTACATTTGTCCTTCAAAAGCAGGCTACGAAATAGAGTCGGCAATGTAAATAACTGCAATGTGCTGTTTTAAACATTATTTTGCCTTTGATAAAAGGTCCTGCTAGGATAAAAAAAATATTTAAAAAATTAGACCCCCATTTGTATATCCCTGGTCAATCCAGTCAGTTTGTTTGCAGCGTGCAGTTTTGTTCAGTTTTATTTATTTTTTCCCCTCATTTTTAATTCGTTGACGAAGGTCAATGCTTGGATTGAAACCTTAAGCCCGCTATAACTTTTCTGATTGAGATATTATTTCGGGTCAAAATATAATGGATTATATTTACTGTAAAAGTTGTATGGGTTGATCGTCAAGGAACAGAACCACTTTCCTAGTAATGAAGCACATCTAAGGAATGGCCAGTTAAGCCACAAGGTCCGCGTGGGTGGATGCTGGGCTGCATCGGAAGGCCACAGTGATTCAGCCCACGGACTTATAAGGAAATCCGATTGTTCTATTCATTTGCCTAGCCCTGCCCCCAGATACAAGTTGACCAAACACCTTCAATCTTGTATTATTAATATTCAATAGTTACTGAACAATTCCTAATAAGGCAAGAACACCTGTAATATAGCTGTAAGATTGGAATGTCCGTTTACTGTATAAAAACCAGTAAAATCTAGAAATCAGACAGAGAGCGTCACAGCCAACCGAATAAACCACATCAGCTCAAGTACTACTTCGTCTCTTACTGTCTTCCTTTGTCTATTATAACCTCCCAGGTTATATAATCCACTCAGTAGGCAGTTGGCGGCAGTTTTATTCAATTTAACAAACATTATTTTCATTAATTCAGAAGACTCTGGCAGGTTGGTCTACGTTCACTCTGAATCCTTGGGCGAGGCCGGTACTCGGTACTCCATATCATACCACTGCGAGGATTCTGTTAGAGAACATCGGCAAAACAAAAAAGACATTCATTCTCCTGTTTTTCGTAACTACAGAATACAAAGGAATGTCCACGGTAGGTATGCAAGATAAGGCTGTGTGCAAGTACCGCGTTCGGTTATGGTGTAAATCGAGGACGTGCAACACCGTCGATAAATCGAGGACAGAAACCGAATTGAGGACCCAAATGTCGGGACGATTGTTTTAGTGAAGTTCCGCATGTAGCACTTTCAAAATCTAGGATATGAAAGCCCAATTCATAAGCTTTCTTTTAGTACAAGAGTCATTCAAATCACTCATGTACTTTTCAAGTTACTGAATTTTATACACAACCACCGTTTAAAGTTCTGTCCACGGATCACAAAAGAGTAAGTTCTTTCAGCAAAACGAAATCGAATCGCATAGGGATGTGTGTGAATTGTGTACGTTTTGCTGAAAGAACGCACACCTTTTTGAGACTTTAAAACAGTGTTAAAAACTTCATAACTTAAAAAGTGTTCGAGTGATTTGAATGATTCGTGTACTAAAAGAAAGCTTATGAATTGGGCTTTCATATCTTAGATTTTGAAAGTGCTACATGCAGAACTTCACTAAAACAATAGTCCCGACATTTGGGTTTCTTTCATTTTTTTACTCACACTGTATTTCTTGTGATTTGAATTTTAACGTAGGCCTACCTTCACCCGATAGGCAGGAAGGATCTGCGGGCCCCACGTATGTGAAGCCCATGCGCCTGTAAGCCGGTATGAGGTGGGCTTCGCATACGAAGCACATGTTAGTTACACCATTGTGGTTGTCCTCGATGTGTTTTACAAGATGCTTTACAAGTGCCTTTGCAATACCCTGTGTAAACAAAGGTACACGGGGTTTAATATTTATTGCGAGAAATAAATATCACAAACTAAGGTGAATCGACTTTGATTAGCATGAGACTTGACCAGAGGAACGTAAGACTTGATCAGAGTGGCTCGAGACTTGACCAGAGCGACTTGAGACTTGACCAGAGGAACTTAAGACCGTGACCAAAGTGACTTGAGACTTGTAATTGAGACTTGACCAGATTGACTCGAGACTTGACCAGAGTGACTTGAGATTTGACCAGAGTGACTTGATAGAATAATGAGGCGAAACTTGACAAGGTTCAGCGACGAATTTGGCTTAAATCAAGCCTCAGTCAAGAACTTACCATTTTTCTGAACTCGGGGTAGACACACAGTGACTGCAAACAAGCAACAGCGCCCTCTGGCTCATGGTTGAACAAGGAATCGTGGGTCCATTTACTGCCGGAACTGAGAGTTGCACAGGCAAACTAAAACGGAAAAGAATCATGGCGAGGTGGATCTTTATTTTATTTCCTGCAAATATCCACTCGTAAGCATAATGTCTTTAATGTCTAAAACGGAATGCCAGACTAAAATAAGACATCAAACGTCCAAATCTGATAATGTTTGACAGAGTTTTGAGTATTTTTCCAAGAGAGGTCAAATTCACGGTCGGACCACTTTTTTTCAATTTTAGGCATTGGGACAAAGGTAGCCTTATTGCCTCTGTGTGGATATTGCCCGGCCTACAAAACGAGAAAACACTATTCTAAATACTTTCTTACTATCACCTAATGCTAAAAAAATGTTAAGCAAAACTGACAGCAAGAATATACACGCCAGGCAAATATCCATAAAGGGTCATATACGACTACATTTGTCTCAATGCCTTAACTCGAAAACTTGGTCCTATATGGTCAATTTGACCTCTCTTGGAAAATTACACATAACTCTGTCAAATATTAACAGATTTGGACGTTTGATGTCTCATTTTAAAGTGCGAAGGCGTATCTTTCAAACCATACTGTGACGACCTGCAGTCGTCTCTGTTTATGATGTCATTGTTTATAAATAATCTTGGCATTAAGCGCCGTGGAGAGCTCCTACTGCGCATGTATTTTTGTGAGAGTCACGCCCATTTTCCACAGGTGGAAAATGAGTGCGCCCTCTCGTGACTCGACCGTGCAGTGACCACGCTCACGAAACTTGCAGCCAATCAGGGATAAGGGAAGGGTAAAACAATCCAATCACAATTAAGGGGGCGGGGTTTAGGACAACTAATTGTAAGCATCCTTGATTGTAAGTGAGTTATAAAGTATGTGTTGAGTTAAATAAACGAGGAGAACTGGTTTAGAGCTGAAACCATACAGACGTGTCTGTGTCTCTCTCTTGCTGTTGTAGGCTAATCAAATACATGCAGTGATTCTTGTCTGCACTATTAAGCAGGGAGATTGGAATCGGCATCGCCACGCTACCTAATGACAGACCAGTGCCGATTCCAATCTGATAAGACAACAAATACCCGCTAATAAACCGCTCGGATGACAGCAAAGGTCCGTTACAATACCTTTATTATCTACGTCTAGCATTCCGCTGTATTTTGTTTGCATTTTTTTATACACACTGAGTAATTAGAAGCATGAAGAAACCTGTACATAAGGAGGAAAGTGTGTTTTCTATAAAAAAAAAAATCGAAACAATAAAATGGACTCACTCCAGTCATCCTCCCGTTTGCGAAGTGTCCCCAAAAAAGGTCGGGTGCGGCTCTCTGGGCACGAGTTAATATCTCTATTGGCTGTGTCGGATAATCAGGGTAACCTGGGAAAACATATGATGGGGAATTCAAACTCCTTTTTCAGCGATTTCAAGTGAGACTTAAAGCTATAGTCCATCATTTGCAGCCATCCGAAAAGTAACTGGCGTAATTATTGTTGAAAAGCAAACTTAGTTGAAAGATAGTAAGAAACTAAACTCCCTGTGAAATTATTCTTTCTGGGAAGCTGTCATTTTGAAGTAATCAACGAAAGAAGGCATTTCCAACGGTGATTCTTAAGAAGCACCGTAGGAAAATTTAAATTAGTAGTTCGTTTTGTTATTCAGTGCAGCGCGCACAAGTATTGGAACGACGCACACGCGCGCGCGGTTGTTGTAATTCGTCGGGTCAGTGCGCGACGTCGCGTATAGCTGCAATTCAAAACAATTCAAAACATGATTCAGTAACTTTTGATTTGAAATTGAGATCTTAGAATGCTGTTTTTCTCGGAATGTACAGCTGAAGCTTAGCTGAAACTTCATCAGGTTAGTTGCTCAGTATCCTTCATTGGATTTTGAACACTTTTGTTGCTTCAAACGAACAAAATGCACAAATTACAAATGATGGACTATAGCTTTAAGATGCTTGGTGGCAGCTAACAGCTAGATGACAGTATCATACTTTTGTTTATCCTTGACAGCCCCTGTTCATATATATCACTTTATGTATTATATTTTTAAATTTTTGTTTGATGTCCAAAGATGTAAAAAAAATATATAATAAAATTATCTTTTATAATGTACATGAAAAAGTCATGCCAACTCTTCTGAGCCCTTGAACATGTTTTGTCCAACATCTTTTGTAAATGGCCTACTCCATACCCGGATTTTACGGCCGAACGTCCAGCCACCCAGGGTTTAATAATAATAATAATAATGTAAATTTCCATAGCGCCGAATCCATCAAAAAAATGCTCCAAGGCGCTTTACAATCAAACAATTTATATAAATAAAAGGAATATATATATTACATTAAAAAATGTGATTTTATATCTCAAAAATTGATAACATAACGACTATAGTAATTAAAAAGTCTGAACCACAAGTCGACACCCCCGGACAGAGCAGAAAACAACCCCCTCCCCACAAGCTTGACCAAATCAAACAAATTATACAAGTAAAAAAAGGAGTTTCAATTAAAATTCAAAATGTGATAAAAACACCGAAATGTAAATGTAAACTAAACATAGTCAAATAGTCATTAAAAAACCAGAAACCACATGTAGACATCCCTGGACAGAACAGAAACAAAAATCCCCTCCCCACCCCCACCCCCTCCCCCATCCTTCTAGTTAGACCAAATCAAACAAATTATAAAAATAAAATAGGAATATTAATTAAATTAAGATTAAGATTAAAAATGTGATTATTTAAAAACTCTAAAAATGGAAAACAAACCACTAGAGAAATTCAAAAGCCTGATCGAACAACATGTGGAACACCCCAGGATAGAACAGGAAAACAACGACCTCCCCCAGCTAGACTTGGCCAAGTCTGGGTTGCGCTCGGTCTGTGCCTATTGTAAATCCACTCACACGCATGTCGCATCCTTACAGTACATAACGCGCGCCCTCATGCGCCATCATGTTAAAAAAGTACATGTACATGTACATGTTATTTTCAAGTGATACAGCATTACAGCAACCCATAGTAAAAGACAAATACACATGGTCCGTGGTTTGCGTTAATCCAATCATGGAGGAAGGAATAACCATGATCTAATTTATCACCCTGGCCCACCGTTCAATTAGACAGAGCGCAGCAGATTTTTTTTAAACTGTGAAATTAGGTGAACAAAAGTGGGACCGGGGAAATGCTCATGATGCCACATCACACATGTTTCTTTTGGCACAGTTGACTGATGCATGCAGTAGTGAATCGGTGTTGGACTGCAGTCAAACACTGTGCCCTCGTATTGCACGTATTAGAGTTCAATACTGGGACTGTAATAATATTATTTAATTGCGAGTCCCACCTTTTCGGACTACCCAAGTACCCACACATCATCAGGCATGCAACTTTTCCTCGGATCCGCTGATTTCCTTGTTTTTTTACTTCTCATGAATGCCATTACAAATTAAAAAACAGTGTACAAAGTCACAAGATCTTGTGTGGTTTGGAATTTCCTCGTTTTTTCTAAATTCCCAGTTGCATACCTGATTCATGGATTTCCCAACGAACTCGGCATGATTGCACAGTAATGCATGGCAGCGAACTTACTCTGGGCATCCAACTGCCACACTTCGTGCACTTCCTCGGCCTTAATCTGCCTTATGCAACTCGATCCATCTGGGCTGGTCCTGGCATGCCTGGACTCGGATGACACCAGCCTTTTCGTGTCACCCAACCGGTATATCAAGGCACGTTTGCAACGGAGGCGCTGACCGGCGATGTTTGTAATTGTAGGGCGGTACATGCATGTAAACAAACGTGCATTAGGCCTACATACAAGACCTTGACTTCTCGCAAACATGTTGTTACACGGTTAACCATGAAGGTAGAAATAATACACGCACGGATAGGCCTACACCTTCAAGTTCAACATCAACACACACGATACCGTCAACAAGTAGTCAACACCTACACATACCAAATTGGCACGAGAGGACCATAACGATATTTTGGCTTAAAATTTTAAGGTTCAACGACTGAAAATTGCATTTTTGGGAGGATAAAGAACATGTGCTTCTCGAGCTCTCCGTCCAGCTCCAAAATTGGCGGCCATTTTGCCTCAGCGGCAGAGTGTAAGGTCATGGCCAAATTCTGCTAAATGCACTTCAAAAATCTGTCAGACTTATCAAAAATCTGCCAATTCCCCAGAATTACTCGCAGTACGACATAAACACTTAAAATCATGCAGATATTGTAGTATTGCCTTAATTAAAGGGAATGTACATGATTGGTTTTTGCTGTAATTTTCATAAATGAACTATTTGAGGGGTTAGTGTAATAGATCAAATATTGTTACACCGACATATTTGAAATTTTGTGTTCAAAAATGCTGGAAAAACCAAGCAAAGCAAAATTGTTCACGTAGTCTGGTTCCCTGACTCCACTTAAGATAAAATGGATCAATTTATAAATGCCAGAAAATTGTAAGGTAAGGGAACCAGTCTAGCTGGCCTGCACCCGTTCATGAACATGTCACCAATAGCAAACAAAATTTGGACTGAAAAAAGGGTAAATTTGGAGCAGTAGTTGAAAAATAGTTAGGTTTTTCCAACGGTGGTCGGCCGACCACCGTTGGAAATGTATAAAAAATACAATTAAAAAAAAAATGACTTCACACCAGGTGCCATAATTTTACAGGATGCTTTAGACTGTCATTTACCAACATCCTAGGTATTTCGTAAAATCTTGGTAGTTTTATTTTTCGATGTTTGCAAATGTTGTATATTCCCTTTAAGGTTAAAGTTATATCATAAACAATCTATAGTCACATGAAAGATGTTATGGATTTGCATAGATTTCAGGCAAAATCCGGTTGCGTCAGCCAGTGAACCTTCGCACCTAGACCCTGCAACCAATCTGTCCATTACGCAAGGGTTTGTTTGAAAAGATTGAAGATTTTTTTCAAACAAATGTACCATCATAAGTAAAAAATAAAATTCCATGTTTTTCTGTCCGAATAACCATTTTGCAGAATTCTACCAGAAATCTGCCCCCCCCCCCAAAAAAAATCCATTCTGTCAAATTTTCTGTCAAACTCGTTTTTTTTTAACAAAAGTTCTGTCAAAGTTAGCCGAAAATCGGCTAAAACGGTCACCAATAAGGATACATTATGCTTAAGGGGTGTACCCGGAAACGCACCTACTAACTACTTATACCTTAGGCCAAAAAAAATAAGTCTCCGGTTTCTGGTATGGAGCTTGTCCAAAAAGTGGTGCGGCGACGCGGCTTTTTTTTTTTTTACCTGACTTTTTTGCTTCAAATGTCGGCTGATGACTGCAAATGGTGCCCGACTAAACTTAGTGCAAATATATGGGAGTCCAGAGAGGCCACATAAAGCTTATTCTCGATCATAACCCCATCTAAAAACACGTTAAAATTGTGCAGTAACAGAATTCCAGTCAAACCAGTGAGTTTGGCGGTTTTGAGACATCATCTTTCATTGAAACAACAACTTTTTCATTTTGCCGACGCGCATGGCTACGGCGACGCGCGCGCATACCAGAAACCGGAGACTTTTTTTTTTGGCCTTAACGTACAAACAAGCTCGAAATGATCTCGGAAGATACGGGCCAACGCACGTGTGTTCATTCATGTGTGACATGGTTGTAGTGTTACAAACATGAGACTTTTGACTCTAGTGACCCCATTTTCCAGGACTGCTATAAATTGGTAGACTGTCAGTGGAGATCATTGAAACATTGAAAAAGAGCTGCAGTTCCGAAGCGTTTACAAAAGAAAAAGAAAAAGTAATACTTTGTGATATTTCGTCATGAGACATACATGTATGTCGACATGAGACACCATGATTCACATGGCCACCACTGGCGTGTAAAAAGGTGGTACCGTTAATAAAAAGGATACTCCTAGTCCTATACGCATCAAAGAGGGCTCTGTACAATCTAGCCGGCTAAATATCGTTTAATACTAGCAGAAAGTCGGCGCCGGCAAAATATACACCTCTAATGGATTTTGTGGTATCCTTACCAATATAGGACTCCGTTCCTATTATAAGGTTAAGACTCACCAAAACAGCTGACTAATGACACTTAAAAGTGACATATAGTCTAATATTTCTTGACACATCTTGAAAGTTGCAGTAACACCTTCTTGAACATCAGCAGGTTTAGTTTTGTGGAAAAAGGGCAGGGCTTTGAATTATGAGGGAAATTAAGGTGTAAAACTTTTAAAGGGAAAATACAACATTTGCAAACATCCACAAACGAAATGATCAAATTATAACGAAATATCTTACTGGATTGTTTGTAAGTAAATGACATTCTAAAGCATTCTGTAAAATCGTGGCTCCTGGTATGCTGACATTTTCAAGAAAACTTGTATTTTTCCAACACTGGTCGGCCGACCAGTGTTGGAGAAAACTGGCTTTTTTTCAAAAATTGCTTTTAATTTTTTATATTTAGTTATTCCGCATTTTTCTTTGCAATTGATTACACACCTGTGAAGGGGTACAAGCCTGCTAGACTGATTCTCTGACCTTACAATTCCCTAAAGTCTGTAAATTGCTCCGTTTCATCTTAAGTGGGGTCAGGGAGCCAGACTTCAAGAACAAAATTGGTTTACTTGCTTTTCCCAGCATACTAATCTTCCAAATCCATTTATTTCTGAAAATTAGAGCAAAACCAAATGTTGTATATTCCCTTTAAGACAAAGATGACAAACAGAAAAACAGACTCAAAACCAAGATTGCACTAGAGTGAGGTTTTGAGAATCCCCAGAAAAGAACCAGATTATCAAAGCCCTTGATGTTTCAGTGATGTTATTTAATCACGAATGACTAAATTTCACATATGACCAATTAATTTTGTGCATAAAGTCTTTAATGACACGTAATGTAAATCCCTTCATGAATAAACATGAGTGACAAAGGTTTGGACATTGTTTCGTAAAATAACCACAAATGCATGTAGACTTGCTTCACATTTTGTCACTTTTTCAAATGCACAATTTGCTGGAAAGTCACTTAAATGCAACATGTTTGCATGGATGGCACATAGGCATTAAGCCAAATAAGGGTCACATGAGACCTGCTCTATCAAAATGGGGAATAAGTCTGTCCTCAAAAGCTTTGGAGGTTTTTCTGCGTTTCAGTTCGATTGACATTATTGTGAATCATAAACTGGATTCCATGATTGGTGAAATGATTTTTATTCGAATGAGCGTTAAATTTGCTTTGTAGTTTTTAAGTTCAAGTTACTGTGTAACTAAGGGCCCTGTTCAGGGAACTGATGAAAAAATTTTAAAAAAATTCTTTTTCTTCTTCGAAGTTTTGATTTTTTTAAAAGCTAACATTTATGCTGTCGTCGACAGCAGTCATATAATGTACAATGTAACTTATTTTTTAAAAATATGAATTTTGGACTTATTCCTCATTTTGATGAAGCCGTCACACTTGCAACAAGTTCACATTTTTAGCGGGTCATTTTCAAATAACTTTGTTATCACACTGCACACAAATTTGTACAAAAAAAGAAACTTTGACTCCACAGCTTATAAGACAGATATAAAAGAAAAACACTCATAGTTCTGTTTAGAACACATTACCTTAAACTTTTTTTCTTAACTTACAAGTACACTCAAATTTTATAAAGACTTTAGTGGACTCCGTGGATGGACACTTGAGTGCGCTTTGTCGACACTCATGAGAGCTACATTGAAAGGGACACAATGCGTACTTCGCGCAATATGCACGCACCCATGGCTTATTTTATACTGAATGCGCTCAAACTCGTGGCGTCTATACTTATAAAGCGTCATCAATGGCCGTCCATCTGCTCTTTCTCCTCCGGCGCCAGTTTGATCATGTCGTCTATTCTCAAGATGGTGATGGCCGCCTCTGTGGCGAATTTCAGACACTTGATCTTGCAGATGCCCGGCTCGAAGACGCCGGCCTTCTTGTTGTCCCGGACGATGCCCTCGACCAGGTCCAGACCGACCCTGTGTGGAGAGAAGAGTTCGGAAACCAGACTGTCATAAAATAACAACTTGGGAATAAATCCTCTGTGCTTGTTTTAAAGGGAATATACATCATTTGCTTTTGCTGTAATTTTCAGAAATGGATGGAATTGGGGGGTTGGAAATATATAGCAAATATAGTTACACTGACTTTTTTGAGGTTTTGGGTTCAAAAACGCTATAAAACCCAAGAAAAACAATCATTTTCCTGTAGTCTGGTTCCCTGACTCCATTTAAGAAGAAACAGAGCAGTTTACATACATTGGGGAATTGTAAGGTCAGGGAACCAGTCTAGCTGGCTTGTACCCGTTCATAGGTGTGTAATCGATTGCAAACAAGTGCGATGGTCAATTAGGGCCAGTATTTGAAAAAAAGCCAGTTTTTTCCAACGCTGATCGGCCGATCAGCGTTGGAAATTGATACAAAAATACCACTTTTCTTGAAAATGACAGTATACCAGGTGCCATGATTTTACAGGATGCTTTATACTGTCATTCACTAACAGTCCAGCAAGGTATTTCTAAACGATTTGGTAGTTTTATTTTTTGATGTTTGCAAATGTTGTATTTTCCCTTCAACTGCCACTTTTAGAGTAATCTACAGAGGTCTACTAATACACGTTCTCTACATACAGATTTTCTGACTTCTTCAAAATACCAGTTATCGAGTGAGGTTAACTACTTGTAACTTAAGTTTATTTCTTCTTGTAACAAGGATAAAGAAATTTGAATTCACCAATCATTATACTGCTGCCTACTCTGAAATTTTAATCTTTACGAAGGTTGAATAAGATTTTTTCAAATATCAAAATAGAGCTTCTTGGCCCTAGCTCCCTCCTTACGATGTGCAAGGCTATTTGTAACCTGCTAGGCGCATTGCAAACCGTCGACTAGAATAGCCCAACTGTCCTCAACTAGTGTGAATTGGTAGACTAGTGCAAGTTCAAGACAACTAGTCAAACTATGGTTTTTCCAAGTTTTTAACTTAACTAGTTCTTAGATGCTTTTTTTTGCATTCTTGAACATTTTTGACTATGAGCTCCGTGCGCTAACAAAGAGGGCGCCCTTTTACCTAACAACAACGTCCCATGGGCGGGACATTTAGCTGGTTGACGCGCACCGTTCCTTGTGTGTGACGCACGTACACCAGGGGATTTGTACTATGCACACGCAGTGGCCGCGCTTTGCGGCAAATGAATTGCAGTCAGGCAAGATGGCGTCGGTCGGTCAACCCCAACTGTACTTCCTTTGCCGGTGACGGGGTACTTGTGAACGGAGCAGATAGGAGTTCAGGCGATGTGTTATGATGTTCAGGCCAGTATAATTAGCGGCTCATCTCCGAAAGGTGCCATTTTGATCCAATACATAAGCACGAGGAGTTAGCTGATGTTTTGAAACCCTTTCCAAAAGATCAGAAACTTATTTCTTAAAAAAATTGGGCATTCCGTACCATTTGAGCTCGGCCCTGTCAGCCTGCATCTGTGATGTGTTGTGGTAGGCCCGCAGCTTGGCTACTAGGTCCACCGAGTCCTTGGCAGCATTGACAGCCAGGGTCTTGGGGATGACCAGCAGGGAGTTGGCAAACTCCGCGATGGCCAACTGCTCCCTAGAACTCTGTTTTGAAAGAAAAAAAAGTAAAATATATTAATATTGGCTTTTCTGTTCTTCACTTATGTCTGAGATGTTACGATTAAAATCTCCAAGCTTACTCAAATTGACCTATCGTGTTAAGATCGCGTCAACGCAGCTTGTGAAATATTATCTTATTACATGAAATACAAATGGACGCGGAACGCGCAAAATCTGAGACAAACAAAACTGAACATACAAAATTCCATAGGGTTGTCTAAGGCGCAAACGGCGATAGGTCAATTGGAATTGAACCCGTGATATCTTACTTACAAGTGCAGACGTCTAACCAACTACTTTTGACCACGCACAGAAATCCATTTGGAAAAAAAATAAGCAAATAAGGCCAAAAACAAAAAATACTTCTGCTTCCGATTACATGGCATTTGAAAATAGGGTAGGAAGGTATGAATTTTTTTCCCCCAATTTTTTTGTGAGTGTACGGTCAAATAGAGGTGTCTGCGTGTAGTCAAGGGTAAAAGGTAGTAATTGATGATTTTGGGTTTTTTCCTTCATTTTTCCAAAAAGAATTAGGGAAGGGTTGTCTAAATAGGGTAGGTAGGGTAACCGGAAGCAGAACTATTTCACTCCTTAGTCTTGCACAAATGGAGAACTTTTGTTTTCAAAACAGAAAACTTTGCTTGAAAACCATGATGAAACAATACAGCTGCTGGGGCCAATTTCATAGAGCTGCTTAAGCACAAAATTTGCTTAAGCACAAAAAATCTCCAAGCTTAATATAATCAGGTTACCTGCCAAAACTCCATGCGATTGTTATGCTAAGTTAACAACAGCTGAATACCAGTCGCAAGCAATGTACATCGCATGGAGTTTTGGCCGGTAACCTGATTATATTAAGCTTGTTTTTTTTTGTGCTTAAGCAAATTTTGTGCTTAAGCAGCTCTATGAAATTGGCCGTGCAGGCAGAAGAGAGGGTTAGGGTTAGGGCACATCACTGACTCACCAGGGACGTAGCCAGATTCTCCAGGTAGATGGACAGTGCCGCCTCCACGGCCCCACCCCCGGGCACCACCGACTTGCTCTCTAGGACACGCTTGACCACACACAGGGCGTCGTGCATGGAGCGTTCCATCTCGTCGCACTGGAAGTCATTGGCACCGCGCAGGATGATGGAGGCTGCGTTACGCACCTTGGGCCTACAATGGAACAAAACAAAATGGGGGCATTACGTCCAGAGTCTGACTCTAGCAGAATTTGAACCTGTCATCTCCAGAACACAGTACCCGGCTCTACCAACTGAGCTATCCAGTCCTAGGTAGGTTGCCGCAATTAGTCAATGTCTTTGCTCGAGGAGCACAAGTCAGAAGCCCCAAAAAGTATAGAGTCAGGTTGGTATTTTCCTCGCCTTCCACCGCTGTGACCCGGGTTCGAATCCCGCCCGGGCCAATATTTGGATTGGGTTTTCAGTCCCTACCTGATTCCGTGGGTTTTCCCCAGAATATTCTTCTGGGCTTTTCCTCCCACCTTTTAAACTGCGATTTCTTCATTGTCTTCTCTTTTCACAGGTTTCTTCAGGCTTGCGAGCTTACAGTGCCTGGGGCGCTTTTGGGGAATCCTTGGTTTCATTGCCAGAAATAATTAATAAAAACAATAATAATAATAATAGATCATGAGTGCACGTGGTGTTCAGGTTTGCGGAGTGTTGAAGACTTCCGGTTCGGGAATCAATTTGTTTCACCAATACTAGGTTCAAAAATTTTTAGCGGAAAATTTGCCATATAAAACTTTACAAATTTCTCCAAGTCTATACGTTAATAGTCTACAGACCAACAGGCAAAAAGGGTCTTGGGCCTTTAACATGGCTGTGCATCCTCCTTATGTTAATAGTAATGACACAGAAGGTCATTAAATTTGACTTTAAAACTGTGGTAACAAGGAAAATGCCCCAACAGAAGAGACGCATAGAACATAATTGAGAAATTGCCAAGCTGAAAAAAAAAATGGCTTATCAAATTTGATAACATGTTGGCCGGTAAGCTTATTTCATAAGAGAATAAGTTTCCACGCTTAGCAGATTCCCGCGTGTAGCAATGGAGCCTGGTCTTACCCTTTGATGAGGATGAGCTCATCGTCACAGACGCGTTCCACGCAGACCTCCTCCGCCTGACCCAACATGGTAGCATCAAACGTCTCCTCTCCCTCCAGATTGGCCAGGGTGACTAACAGCTGGGCTGTAGGGGAGACAAGTCAAATTATTGGATCTCAAGAACTGTGGTTTGTCAAAAAATGCAATAAATTTAACGACTGAATTTAAATTTAAATAGATAAAAACACTGGGTATTTTAAGAAGGCCAAAGGTTATGACGAAATGCCCTTCAAAACAAAGCGACATCTTGCAGATCCCCCAATGAGTCTTCCTTTGTTTCATAGAGCAGATCCGAGGAAAAGTTGCACGCCTGAGTTACAAAAGATGTTACAATCACTTGTACCTACCGACAGCTAAATGCTGATAACTGGAGTAAAAAAATAAAGCCTGTTACGAGCCAATGTGGCCCATCAGGCCGGTGTTTATCTCCGATTTCCTTGGCATGAAATGACTGAGAATATTTCTATTCCCCCTGGACGGGATGCTAGTCCATCGCAGATTATTTCACAGCTAATGCCAGTACCCATTTATACTCCTGGGTGGAGAGAGGCAAGTGAGGATGAAGTGGCTTGCCCAAGGACACAACACATGGCCAGCGGTTGGATTCGAACCCACGACCCTCTGATCATGAGTCACGAACCCTTACCACTATAGGCCACACTCCCCCACTGATAACTGTATCAGGTCAAATTCTTGGAGTGTATTTTTTAAGAATCATATCTCCCAATTGAAATCAACCTCAAGTAGTTTTGCTGTTCGAGATCAGCTCGTTCTTCAAGCACCACTTATCAAGGCGTTGGAGTGATTTTGATCTCGGAAGTCTTGCTCGGCACAGAAGATATTTTCACACTCCAAAGTCTCTGTTCTGGACTTGGGTTAGACCCCAAGAATTTTTTACTACGTACCTCCGGTTGCCTTGGAGATCCTCCTCAAGTCCTGCTTCTTGCATCGTCTGACGGCCATGGCCCCAGCTTCTACAAAGTACTTGAGACAGAGGTCATCGATGCCTCCGGTGGTCAGGATCACATTGGCTCCGGCTCCGACGATCTTCTGTATTCTCTCCTTGGTGATGTCAGACTCCCTGCAAAGCATTATTCGTTTACTACTTTCACTAGAACATCATTTCATGTAAACCTACTGTGGCCCTAACTCCCTAGCTTTCTCAACTCTCCAGCCTCGGGTCATCCTGTGACTTGCTTGTGCCGCGACGAAACCATCGGCATTAAGTATCATCTGTTAATTTTTAAAATTTGTTCAGTGGAGGGACGACCATTGCCTCAATCCTTCAAAATTTCTCCAACAATCACTGTTAATGGGTTCAGGCAGTGCCGATGACATTCAGAAGCAGTGCGGATGATATCGAGCATAATGCAGTGCTCAATTATGCATGGCTGAACATAAACAATGCTGGGTACAGCCTACGTACTCGACACAATGCATCCTCCAAAACCAACCGACACTTTCTTGCCATTCAGCCTCAATCCTCTAAAATTCTCCAACACCGGCTGCAGGATTTTGGAGGATTGAGGAGGGGTAGGGTTTTTTTCCACACACCTTTGCCTGATGGCATCTAGTTTGGTGGGATCTTCCACGATGACGTGAACGCCCAGATGCATCTTGGCTTTCTGCAGGCTGAAATCCAGGCAGGCGATCTTAACGTTGGTGACACGCTTCACCATGGCTGCAAGACATGATAAAAGCACAGGGCAGTCAGTCAGTCAGTCAGAATATTTTCTTACATGAATTTGTAAATAATAAACCCTAACCCAGTGTTTCCCCTGTCCATTCAAACGTGAGGTGGCCCACCTCGCTACTTTCAGTGACCACCTCGCTCAATTTTTGCCAATATCACCACCTCACTGTGAAGATTGGCAAAAAGGAAATATCAATTGAAAAATTTTCATTTTGTGTAATATATGAGCATTTTCCTTTACCTCCATGCATCAAGAACTCACAATTTTGATGTGTTTTTGGAATCATCGCGCATTTTTGTGAGCGCTGCATTCTTTTCAGTTTGCAGACTGCGTAAATTTCGTTTCAATCATCAACTTGAATTGTTACCACCTCGCTCAGTTCATTAGCCAGGGAAAACACTGCCCTAACCCCATTAACCCTAACCCCATACTCTTTTTCCCAAGTACTGGACTAAGTCTGCCAAAATCCATCAATCGCACTGCTTCCAATGCATGCTTTGCCTTAGGCCTCCAGGCCCAAGTCCATCATACTCCATCAATATTTAGTCACACCAGGCCTGTAGGACCAAGTCCCCCAAAATCCACCAAAAGAGGCGGATGCATTTTGATGGAGTTGGGGAGGTTAGTGTTGATAAAAGAATCTACCAAGGATTTGGGGCTTAGAATCCACTTATTTCATGACTTATTTGATGAAATAATTTATAGTGTTAGATTTTAGTTCCTTGAGAACAAAGGTAGCTCCAAACAATTTTGAATATGGAGTTCAAACATCAAGAAACTAGAACATGTGGCACATCACAAAGCAGGCTGATCAGGTTTTTTTTTCTTCCCATGACTGTGAATTTGGTACAAATTTAAGTTGGTACATGTGGATAATCTTGTTTAGGAGAGCGATTCTAAATTCGTTGGTTGATCTTATGGAGGGAGTTTCCTAATCATGATCATCAGTGTATCAACCCTAACCTCCCCAACTCCATCAACCCCCCCCCCCCCCATTTTCGTGGATTTCGATAGTCAAGTCACAAGTCCATCAAAATCCACCTATAGCAGTGGTGGTCTTGTGGTGGATTTCAGCAGATTTGGTCCTAAAGCATTATGTGAAGCAGGGTCAGTGTTGGAGTTTGGTGGACTTGGTCCAGTACAGTCGAGTCTCGTTATAACAAACTCGTTCGGACCTGGCCAAATTGTTTGTTATATCAGAATTTTGTATTAAGAGGAACATCAGTCCCATTCATTGTGCGCATAAATGCACAGTCGGGACTAAGGCTTTAGTTTGTTATAACCAGAAATTTGTATTAACAGAGTTTGTACTAATGAGATTCGACTGTACTTAGCAAACGACACTAGGGAGTTAGGGTTGAGGTTTCCCGATGCATTGGCAGGAGAATTTGGAGTTGATACTGAAACAGAACTGCAACTCTTGGAGTTCAAGCAAATGATGCAGTCACCAACACCCAGACAGTTAAATGCTGACAAGTGTATCAGGTCAAATTCTGGGAGGATATTTTGTTTAAGAATTAATCTCCCAATTGAACTCGACCTGAAATTGCTGTTCGAGATCTGCTCGTTCTTCAAGCACCACTTATCAAGGCGTTGGAGTGATTTTGATCTCGGAAGTTTTGCTCGGCACAGAAAATATTTGCACAATTTCAAAAACCCTAGATTTCAGGAACCACTTTCACACTGGTAACGATACAACACAAATACATGATTTCAAGCTCTACACGGGTAAAAAACAACCCCGGTTTTGACCAGGGCTGAGAGGCTGTACCTAGGTAGAAAATCCACAATCTACAGCCGAACTATATGCACGCTGGAATAAGTGTGAACGGTGTGCCTTGTTAGCCCCTGTACGATCGGACTTGGTTGAAGTCACTGAGGACCCATGATGATTTTGAAACGGTTAAGTGAGGTTGAGAGGCTGTACCTAGGTAGAAAATCCAAAATCTACATCCGAACGATGTGCACGCTGGAGTAAGTGTGAACGGTGTGCCTTGTTAGCCCCTGTACGATCAGACTTGGTTGAAGTCACAGTGGACCCATGATGATTTTGAAACGGTTAAGTGAGGTTGAGAGGCTGTACCTAGGTAGAAAATCCAAAATCTACATCCGAACGATGTGCACGCTGGAGTAAGTGTGAACGGTGTGCCCTGTTAGCCCCTGTACGATCGGACTTGGTTAAAGTCACAGTGGACCCATGATGATTTTGAAATGGTTAAGTGAGGTTGAGAGGCTGTACCTAGGTAGAAAATCCAAAATCTACATCCGAACGATGTGCACGCTGGAGTAAGTGTGAACGGTGTGCCTTGTTAGCCCCTGTACGATCAGACTTGGTTGAAGTCACAGTGGACCCATGATGATTTTGAAACGGTTAAGTGAGGTTGAGAGGCTGTACCTAGGTAGAAAATCCAAAATCTACATCCGAACGATGTGCACGCTGGAGTAAGTGTGAACGGTGTGCCCTGTTAGCCCCTGTACGATCGGACTTGGTTAAAGTCACAGTGGACCCATGATGATTTTGAAATGGTTAAGTGAGGTTGAGAGGCTGTACCTAGGTAGAAAATCCAAAATCTACATCCGAACGATGTGCACGCTGGAGTAAGTGTGAACAGTGTGCCTTGTTAGCACTTGTCTGATCGGACTTGGTTGAAGTCACCCTGGACTCATGATGATTTCGAAACGGGTAAGTGAGACGATAGTGTGAAAAGACTTTTAGGGGACCAACTCACCCTGGGATGCTGGCATGCAGTTCAGCGCGTAGCCATTGACCAGGACGCTCTCCTTGGCGCTGCGTCCGTGAGCCTTCAGCACGTTGATTGCCTTGATGGGGTACCTCACGATACCCTTAGGGTCTGTCAGCTTGACCGCGTTGACGGCGTCCACAATCATGTTTGCAAAGAAGTCGGAATCACTGTAGACATTTGGTATTAAGGAACAAACATTTTCTCGACCAAACATGAACGATAACGAAGCTCTGTGTTTTCGTATACAGCAGCGATGTAGTCAAGATTTTTGTGAGACCTCACACATATGTGATGCGATCAAGCTAAATGAGTCGTTTGTTGACCCTGGTCAATTTTTTTTTTTTTTTTTACAGATTTGAAAAGAGCACAATCTCAGCATTACTGCTGTGAAAACTGCTTGCTGGTACCATCTTAAGTTAAAAAATTATGGAAGTCGGAACACCAAGAGATGTGATGAAGTGGCCCTATTTTGGCCTGAATCTCCAAACGAAAGTTCCCGACAAACGACTCATTTAGCTTGATCGCATCACATATGCTCACAATGTCCAATATGATTGAGCAAGGCTCGTAATAATGTCACTTTCGACAAACAAATCAGTTGGGTTGTTTCAATTTTAAAGTGGGATTTAAATTTGTCATTTTATTCAGGCCATGGATCTCTACGAGGTCGCAATGGTCGCTGAAAGGTCTCTGTGGGATTTTGGATCTGGGAAAAAAAAATGTCGACTCAAATATCAGTATTCTTTTCAACAAATAATGAACATCTATAGGCTACATATTTGAATATTTCTCTGAAAATTTTACAAATTTATAAAAGTTTTAAAAAAATTAAGTGGGATTTAAAATTGGCATTTTATTTGGGCCATGGATCTCTACGAGGTCACAATGGTCACTGAAAGGACTTGGTGATATTTTGGATCAGGAAATTTTTTTTTTACTCAAATATCATTATTCTTTTCAACAAATAATGAAAATCTATAAGCTACTTATTTGACCAATTTCTCCGAATTTTTTTTACAAATTTATAACAATAAATAAAAAGCTTCTGAAAATCTCAGAAACGTCTTGACTGCAACGTTTTGATTTTCATTGTTACTAATGGCAGACTAACACCACTATCTACACCTTATATGCAAATGAGGTCAAGGATACCGTCCAATCAGCTTGGAGGACATGGAGGTCTTGGCAGCGTTGATGATGCAGTCTTTGCCCAGCTCCTCCACGCCAATGGTCAGATGCTCCTGTATGTACTTACACGCCTCCCTATCATGACAAAAAAAACAACAGTTCAGTGAATATTCATTTAGTGATGAAAGACCAAGCATTGGGTTTGTACATGTTACGAACAGTACTCTTCTAGATATTTAAAGGGAATGTACATCATTGGCTTTTGCTGTAATTTTCAGTAATGAACTTTTTGAGGGGTTAGTATAATAGATCAAATATTGTTACACTGACATGTTTGAAGTTTTGTGTTCAAAAATGCTGGAAAAACCAAGAAAAACTAAAATGTTCAAGTAGTCTGGGTCCCTGACTCCACAAAAGATGATATGGATCAATTTATAGATGCCAGAAAACTGTAAAGTAAGGGAACCAGTCTAGCTGGCCTGCACCCGTTCATGAACATGTAACCAATAGCAAACAAAATTTGGACTGAAAAAAAGATGGTAAATTTGGAGCAGTAGTTGAAAAATAGTTGGGTTTTTCCAACAGTGGTCGGCAAAACCACAGTTGGAAATTTACAATAAAATACCACTTTTTTTGAAAATGACTTCACACCAGGTGCCATAATTTTACAAGATGCTTAAGACCGTCATTTACCAACATCCTAGTAACGTGTTTTGAAAAAATTTGGTATTTTGTTTTTTCGATGTTTGCAAATGTTGTATATTCTCTTTAAAAATTCAAAGGTGGTTTTGGGGAATAAGTCTCTTACAAATGACGTTATTTCCTACAGACCAGCCACATGCATCGGCATTTTGAGCGTCAGCTTGCATAACGCGCATCGGCTGTATTTCGAACACATTTCGAGCAACAAGCGCGTGTGTTTGGAACATTTTCAACACAGCGCAATGCGTGCTGGATTGCGTAAAATACGCAGTTGCAGTTCTCCTACGGATATAGCCGTCTTTTAGAGAGACCTATAGAGCATGCCAGTCTCGCCAGCTCATGTTCTTGGTGCCATACACTGACTAGTCTTGTTACAGACTCACGTATTTGTATTTACCCAATAAGTATCAGAACGATCAAAATTGAACAGTTCAAAAAATTCACGGTAAAAAAAACGCTGTAGTTTGTCAAATGAGAAATAACATAGCTAGACCAGCAATTGCTAACCCTAACCCCCTAGGTCCTTTTGGGTAGAAACCATCCTCAATCCTGCAAAATCCTCCAATTGCTACCATGTCAAATTTCAATTCAGCCTCGATCCTCCAAAATCATCCGTTATTTCTTGAATTTGTTCAGTGGAGGGGTGACCACTGCCTCGATCCTTCAAAATCCTGTTGATGGGTTGAGGCAGTGCCAATGACATCCAGAAGCAGTGCGGATGATTTCAAGCATAATACAACGCTCAATTATGCATGACTGAACATAAACAATGCTGGGTGCAGCCTATGAACTCAACACAATACGTCCTCCAAAATCAACTGACACTTTCTTGCCGTTCAGCCTCATTCCTCTGAAATCCTCCAAAAACCGCCCGGAGGATTTTGGAGTATTGAGGAAGGTTAAGGTCAAGGATAAGAGGAACAGTACGCAGTCAACCTACTTGCACGCTAGTCTGTAGCCACTGATGATCGTCGTGGGGTGAATCTTCTGCTTGACCAGCTCGTCCGCATTCTTCAACAGCTCAGCTGCGATAATAACCTAGAGCAAAATGAGAAAGTCGTATATTTATTTTTTAGAAAGGAGCCGATGAAATTCAATACTGGATTTTTGCCCTCGATTGACGTAATTTCATAAGCACCATACAAAAATATGACGAAAGAGATTTTGTGATGTTGATTTCAGGATTATTGAACAAGCTTGTTCCAACGACTTGATGATTTTGCCTGGTATAATGATAACTTTTTCAGTTAACCAAACGCTATAGCTTTTGTGCACATTCAAAATAAAATTAGTCGCGATTACTTCAAGCTATATTCACGCGATGTGTCCTATCCACGGATTTCTTGGAAGAGGTAAAAAGCGCCCTCTCTGGTTCAGGCACAGAGCCATTCAAACCAGATAGTTCAGTCTGGACTGAGATGAATCTTCATATAAGTCTCTTACCACTGATGTAGTTCCGTCTCCCACTTCCTGGTCCTGCAGATCAGCCAGCTCCACCAGCACCTTGGCTGCTGGGTGCTCCACCTCAAGAAGCTTCAGGATTGTGGCGCCATCATTGGTCACCGTCACATCCTGAAAAGAAAAAAAAGTAATAATACAAAGCATTTATATCAATGTAGGCGATGTACAGTAACCAACTACTGCATGTCAATTTTTAACACCTGTAAGATTTTTTTTTTGAAAGAAACAGAGTGCTGTGGTGCTGTGGTCTTGAGCATTGAACTCAAGATCTTGTAAGTAATTCTGCAGGTTGGTGGTTCGAGCCCAGCCTGGGGATGTGGTCGGTGTGTCCTTGGGCATTGCACTTTGTCACTTATTGCTTCTCACTTATTGCTTCTCCCCCCCCCCCCCCAAAAAAAAGAACTGACCAAGAAGTAAATGAGTACCTGTGAGGGCAGAGGTGGAGGTTGTGTTTGATTTAAAGCCACTTGCATCTGTGTGGCAGCATGAAGCTGATTACTCCATAAGTGTTTAAGTGACCTTCGGATTGCTTTCATTCATTGGCCAGATGAACAAGGCTAAAATATTGATGTGCCGCACTGCGAGCACCTGTGTGTGCACTTCATAAATCCACATTATTAACCCTTACCCTACTTGACCCTCCAATGCATGCCAATATGTGCCTCAAGAAAATCTCCTATGTTTTTTGCATGGCCCTCCAATATCTGCCATGTCATTTCAAGGGTAACTGGACAGGCATTCCAATACATGCCACAGAGAACAATGAGAGTCCTCTGATAACAAAGTGAGTGCCCCCAGCTGGTCAGTATCAGGCACCCTCCAGGGCCTCCAACTCCTGCCAATTGGAGCCTTCACTGCTACATAGAAGTATCCTCCAATAAACTGCAGCTGGAGGGCATTGGCATAACCAACTGACATGCAGTAAACTACCCTCAGAGAGTAAGGGTTAAACAAGCTATTCAGTTCTTTACTAAAACAAAAACTTGTTATATTGGTAGCAGAAATAAATATGTGGGCCTTGGGCAATGGACCGATCCAGTAAGCACCGCCCCATGGTGTTCTGACCAATCACAGCCGTGATTTATGTCCGACGTGCGTGCACAAAAGTCCGACATGCGTGCACGCGCGTATGATGCGCGCGGCAGGAAAATGCAGCTTGGCATTGGAGAGGAGCACATGTTAATTTGCCCACGTGCGCACTGGGCGGAGCTTACTGGATCGGTCCATTGAAGGTAGCCTTGGTCTCATTTGATACTCACACCAACGTCATCCACCAGCATCTTGTCCAGTCCAACGGGCCCCAGGGAACTCTTGACGATGTTGGCCACAGCCGATGCTGCAGTAACTGTTGGAAAGGACAAAATAAGAATATAAGTAACATACAAAGTGTGTTGGATTGATTTTTTTCAGGACCTAGATAAGGCAGTATAAACTGAAATTATTGGGCAAGGACTCTGAATAATGCCTGGGCCACACTGCAAATTTACGTGGACACTTTGCTTTTTCTTGCTGTATAATTTAGTAGCTGCCTTCCAAAGTTATTTCTGGTTTAGAATTAGAAAAACACTAGGCCTACCTTCATCATTATTCATGACCTTCGTTACTGATTTCTTTTTGTAACTTTTGAAAGAAAATGCCTAGGCCTAGGCCTACTACAATTTTGTACAAAAATAGGTTTCCATTGAAATTTACATACAAACTTACTGTATTGTTTTAGACATTAAGCATGTCAAGGAATGCCACCCAAGTTTTCCGAAATGTATTCAATTTCCAAAATGATATTGGTAACAAAAATAGGCCTAGGCCTACCACTACCAGTTTTCTACATTTTTTTTTACCAACTGAATTAGAACTAAATTACCGCAATACCGGTACCATATTAAATTACAAGTTAGACATGTTAGACGATAAAATGTATTTTTGAAAGATGCATAAATATCTGATCAATATTCAACCATTTGTACCTCCATGATTAAACGAGTTAAATTCTGGCGGAAATAGGGGTCTTAACGCATTGATCATGCACAATTGCCCAAACAAACGGACAAAATCAAGTCAACTCGGTAATAAAAAAATCTTAGTTGTTTAATGAATACTATACCATTTTGATGTCTGACTGTGTCCCCAGAGGTCCTCTCACCAAATACCGATAACATCTTCGAAGTGGACATTTTGAATTTGTGTGTAATTCACAAGATTTTGGATTTATTTTGGACGACCGGCCAAAGACACCTAACCCTTTCTCTTCGCACGCGTGCTGCCTAGTGACGAATTATTATTACCATGTAGTTGAGGACTTGTGTGCAAATTACGCTTCTGACAAATCAAACAATGTTTTGCACATCAGTATTACATTTTAGGGGAAAATTACTCAATTATTTCAAAACAAGGACTTCAAATGATTGAAAATGGATATTTTAAACGAAAAATGCATCCGTAAGCTTGACAGCATGAACTATACGTTTGAAAGTGTATCTTCACCAGTGGAACATGCTAGAAGCTTGGATCGTACTAGTAATTAATTGAGTTTCTATTTAGGCCCTAATTGTTTTGCAAATTATCATTCAGAATTGAAATAGATATAATAACAATTCACAGAAAAAAATCCTATTATTTTGTTTGAGTTAGAAATTATTTGAGCAAATGATGTCAAAATAAGAAGGAATTGTTGAAAGCGGCTGAAATTATCATCAAAACCGGGTGAATCCATAAATTTAGTGACGGGGGTTTATATTTTCGACTTTTCATCTCCATTTCCATTTTTGACCGCAAGTTGAAATCTGAAATTCCATTTTTTTTCTGAGTGTAAAGAAGTACATTCTGTGTATTAAGTGCTTGCTATTTTCCGTATTATCTATTAAATATTTGTACAGAATCAGATCAATCAAATTAAATGTAGCATTGAGACCCTGCTCTTGAATGGAATGACCAATGTTTATATACCCTAGTCTGGTACCCCGCCATTAAATCAATATTTCACGTATTACACATCAGTAGCAGCACAGGCTCCCAGATCAAAGCTGTATTTTGGTTTTATTCCGAACTTTTTCAGCTGTAGGTTGTGCTTAAATGGCGAGTTTCACAAGACTTGGTGTTCTTTGTCGACATATTATTCCACAGAAAGGCACAAACAGGGTTCCTTGTGTCGTTAATACTGTACTGCAACGCCAAAATGTATCTTCGACCGCAGGAACAGGTCTGAAACAAGTTTAGTTGTCATTGCCATGCCATTGAACTTGAATGGCAATGCGAAGTGAACTGACTTTTTTTTAGCTTGCACAGCCATAGTAGAGCGCCCTCAATGACAGTGATTGTTAACATAGTTTTTGATAAAGTGAGGGCGTTCTGTGCAAACTTTTTGTACACTGGGTCATGGGTTTTTAATGGAACATAAAAAAACTTAACTCTGCAGAAAATTTTAAGTGAAAGAGGAGATAGCGAAATAAGTTCTACCATGCTATGGCATTTATAACAAACTTAAAAAAAATAAAGAAATATCTCCTAATAAATCCATGCTAGTACTAAGTACCGCAGGAAGGAAAGAGGGTGCCATTTCTCTTCCAACGATATACTAGATAATGATATCCATTGTCGGATTGGCCAAACGTTTGGTAGATCACCAAATTGCAAAAGCCATGTGTTTTGCAATATTCTAGTTCTATACAACCTACTCATTAATAATCATATTGTATTGTGGCAGTGAATTTGAAATGCATCCTAACTTTCAGAATATGTGGAATATGCAACTGTATTACTTGGGTTTTTTTATAAAATAGTTTGGCTTTTATGCAGCTAAGTATATTATTAAAAAAAATTATACTAAATTTAGTTAAATTTCATCAGTCATGTCAGTAACTTCTTTACATTTCAAAACTTTGAATTTCAGTCAACTTTGAATGACAACTTTGACTTTTATCCTTCCATGTTTCTTCAGAGGACACCGTTCTGACAGAGAAACGAGGAAATATATTGTTAATTGGATTGAACCGACCGGAGAATCGCAATGCGGTGAACCGCGAGACAGCACTGCGTCTGCGTCTCACATTTGAAAACTTCAACAAAGACACAGACTTGAGTGTCGCTGTGTTCTATGGAGTGGGTAAGGCAGTAATTGAAAAACAGAGGTGTAATTTTGTGTGGTTGGAAACATTTTTTGAAGATAGACTTTTGTGAAGAATCTTTTCACAAAATGTATCTTGAAAGTTCTTCACAGTTGTACTTTCCTACCATGTAAATCCTTAAGGATGCAGACCTGTATTAAATTAGGCCCAAAATTGCCTACTCTGGCAAAATCACGATTTGCATGCCCTCAAATTCACCGGTATTAGCATTTTGTTAACTTGAGGATTGTAAAAAAAGAAAGATGGAACCCATGCAGAGGACTGCAAGCTCATATTTCTGTGAAATTTCAATGAAATTAGGCTCTCAAATGGCTCAATTTTGCAATGGAGCGTAGGCGTCCATTTTCAAAATGACGATGGGCTTCCAGACTGCGTTTAGGGGTGATCATCTTTGGATGGAATTTTCTCCCAAAAGTCATCGGTTAACCCTCAACAGAAAATGAAAGATGATGAAATAAGCTTTAATTTGATTGGCGTCTCAAACACCCTGGAGAGTTGTGAGTATTTTTAATAATTCTGGGAAGTGTGCGTAATTATCACTGATGTCTATGGAAGTCTATTTACTGAGCTGCAACCTTAAATCACATTGTATCTTGAGATTGAAAGCTGTGGCAATTCAGCATAATTAGTCATGAATTTGTTTTCAGGTGGAACATTTTGCGCCGGCTTTGACCTCAAGGAACTGTCTTCTTATGCTCAGTACAACCTGAAGGAACTCAACCTGGATCCATTTGGACCCATGGTAATCATATGAGTGATAGCGTAAATTCATATCTGCAGGTGAAATAACTTTATTACAAGTGTCTAGTTATACTGATGAACTTAATCTTAGAAATTTTGACTTTAATTTATAATTAGGCTCAGTCCAACAAACTCAAAACTCCATAAGAGAAATAAGAAACAACAAAGACATTTCTAGTATAAAATTGTACACTGTGTTCACGTATAAAACCTGCAAGGAGCCTTTTCGTGATTTGTTGTCTTTTCCCCGACTCCCTGGTTAAACTCATTACTTCCCCCTGCCCCTCCCCCCCCCAAAAAAAATTGAAGCGTGGCCCTGTTCAGGCTGTTCTGTTATTTTCTCTCAAGAGACCAATTAGCTGACCCTCATAATAGAATGATTCACTTTTCACAGTCTTAATTTTAAATATCCGTCTGAACAAATATTTATAACTTTGCACTTCTTTACAATTTGTCTTATTGGGTTGAGAAACTTGGGTTCTTACTCAACGCAAATTTTGGAAGCAAGGTGATTTTTTTTTATTTCAGTTGAAGTAACAGGCTATTTCCAAGTCAGTTGAGGAGTCGCGTGTTTACTAAAGCTCATCTACTTGAAGCAATTTAAAGAAAGTTCAGCTTTGTTTTTGTTTTTATCATTAGGGTCCTAGTAAGATGCAGATTACCAAGCCAGTGATAGCGGCCGTCAGCGGCTACGCCGTGGCCGGGGGTCTGGAACTTGCCCTTATGTGTGACATGAGGGTCGCCGAGAAGAGCGCCACGTTCGGAGTCTTCTGCAGGAGATTTGGTAAAGTTTTGCTCAGCATCTTGTTAATTCCAAAATTAACGTAGAAATCTGTACATCGTAAGTGAGATGTCTCTAAAATATAAGATTGAACATAATCTTGCAACATTTACCATCGGTTCTCTCACCGTGCCTAGGTGTTCCCCTGATTGACGGTGGCACGGTCCGCCTGCCCAGGCTGATCGGCCTCTCGAGGGCGCTAGACATGATCCTGACTGGACGGCCCGTCAACGCAGAGGAGGCCCACAGCTTTGGGCTTGTCAATAGAGTGGTGCCCGACGGCCAGGGTGAGTGCAAATCATACAATGAGTATTGGCGCAAGATCGTTTTGTACAACTTATTGTTAATCAGTTGGTTTTAATAACGAAATCAACATGAAATTCCAGTGCTAATCTGTGGAGATATAAAGCAGGTGTAATCACAAAGGTGTAATTCAAAAAAAAATTGTAGGAATTTTTATTGGCTTTCTGGTATTTTTTCACAGCCCTTGAGCAGGCCATCAGTCTTGCCAGGCAGATAGCCAGTTTTCCTCAGGGCTGCATGCAGGCTGACAGGCAGTCAGCGTACTACAGCACCTATGACAGCAAGAGCTTTGACGACGCCGTGAACTACGAGTTTAAAACAGGTGAGCCTGCCCCACTTGCTTTTGCTGGTCCCAGAGAGCCAATGTCCATTTTGGACCTGACTGACTCCCTGACTCACTGGCACTTGTGAATTAGACTTGTTCAAGTCTCCCTTTGGCCCAAAAGTTTGAAATAGCATTACCCATAGCGCCAATGGATTGGCTAAATCCTGCCCATTGTGTAGACTACATGCATGAAAAGACTTCCAGTTTTGCTTTGTCTTGTTTTCAATTTCAGGTTCGGAAGTCCTGAGCGCTGAGTCCGTGCCGGGGGCAACCAGATTTGCCGAGGGGCAGGGCAGAGGTGGGACTTTTGAAACTTAGGAGCGAGCAACAACCACCTTCCACATAGCAATGAAATATTAAACTTATTAACCCAACCTATCCACAACCTTCAAAATCTGCGAAGAGGTTTTAGAGGAGTTTGTAGGATTTGGGAAGGTAGGGTTCAACTGCTATTTCTTTATATCGACTATATTCCCATCGGTATCAAAAACAAAACAAAAAATCAAAGAAACCACAAATGGAGACTTACTAGGTGCATTATGATAATTTTGAAGTGGAACAAGAAATTGGCAGGAAAGGGTTTGAACCTGCGGCCTCCGGATTGCCGCTCCGGTGCTCTACCAACTGAGCTATCACATATGTTGGTAGATCCCCTGTTTATCAGTGTCTTTGTTCAAGGGGCGTTATAATAATTTGAAGTGGAAGAAGAAGGAATTGGCAGGAGTCTGGTTTGAACCTGCAACCTCCGGATTGCCGCTCCGGTGCGCTACCAACTGAGCTATCACATATGTTGGTAGATCCCGTTTATCAGTGTCTTTGTTCAAGGGGCGCTAGTCACCATAAACCTGTATATGCCATGCAGCCAGGGATCACGCCCAAAGTCACGATGCTAGCAACATTAGCAATGCTGCAAACCCAGGAAATAGCAAACAGGATCGCTCAGAGAATACACAGCTTTTTAAAAGTAAAAGAACGACCCATTTGTTTCCTTCATAGTGGTGTATGTTGGAGGGTTCAACATCTTAACAATTTTGCCGAATGAAAAACACTTTTATACAGTTTGTTTTTAAGTATCTTATTGTTTGCAATCTCAAAGATATACATTAAGTCTGTGATTCTTATGTTAACTTTAGTCAGATATTAACAAAGATTACTAATGACAGGAATTTGTGAACTTTGTTTGAAAGACTTCTCTATGCTTGTATTTTGCAATGAATTTCATGTTCTAATATTGTTTAAAGCGGAGATATAACTTGAAGAGATATTACTGCTTGTATTCTTTATGTAAATCTTGAAGAAAAAAACTGGATTGTTAACGTTTTAATTTTTTGAAATAATCTGGTGTATATTTTTGTATGGCATCCTAATTTATCAAATTTCTATATAGTATTATACATAACATGTAGATGTCTTTTAGTTGATTTCACCAACCCGACTCTAACGATGGTCCGAGACAATACAATGACACGTTATCTTTACCCACCGAAAATTCAGGGAAAAAAGTGTACGACGCAAATTTGAAATTTAATAATACAATGTAGAATTGTGTGTATTAAGGGTGTACAGTTTTTGGTATCTATCACACCTTGAATTGGCCCAAGTTTACATTTGTACATGTATAGATGTTTGCGGGGTTCATTTTCTAAGAAATGAATTCGAAAACTCAACTTTATTACAATTTCAAATTGTCAACCCCAAAACCTCGTATGTGGTGCGATCAAGCTAAATGAGTCGTTTGTCGACCTCAGTCAAAAATTTTTTTATAACAGATTTGAAAAGAGCACAATCTCAGCATTACTGCTGTGAAAACCGCATGCTGATACCATTTTTAGTTCAAAAATTATGAAAGTCGGAACACCAAGAGATGTGATGAAGTGATGTGATGAGGTGGCCCTATTTTGGCCTGTATCTCCAAATGAATATTCCCGACAAACGACTCATGTAGCTTGATCGCATCATATATTGTTACTGAAAGTGCAACAACAGTGATATTCTTTGAACAGATTGAGCAATTTCAGTATTTTTTTTCATTTACATTTGTAAAAGTAGTTTCTGAAATTGGCTTTCCAGTCATTATTATTTTGGGGCTACATATTTTTTTAAAATATGAAATAGATTTGTTGGGGTTTGGACTCTGCTTTTTTTTTGGACTGGCCTTGTATAAGTCTAGATGTAAATTGAGAGTTTGAATTAAACGAAATAACACTGGAGACTTTATTGTAAACTTCTCATTTGATATTAAACTATACTTTATTTTAACAACACAAGGTGAGCAAAGACGAATACTAAGAAACTGACATTTTATATTTGTTATGAAATAAAGAAAATTATTATAATATGATTTTAAATGTTAACTCTTCAAAAATTCTTTCAAGTTCGCGGTCCGTCAAGCAAGCAACCAAGACATCATAGCTGAACAATACAGTTTTTAATATTTAAAAATAAATGCGTCATCACAATTTGATACACCACATATCTTTGGCCAATGTTTTAACGTAAAACAGTCATAATGCAAACAATGCCGTAAAGACGGTACATTTATTATCAATAAATAACAACAAAAAATGTACAGGATTCACAGGCAGTCTGGGTATCTTCCACGCCCGGTCATTTTCCTGGCAACTCGTTTCAGAAAAAGAAGGAAATTTTCACTGTGAGAAATAATCATCAGCAGTTGTTTCAAAATGTGGGCATGGCCCAATAGAACAGCTGACCATAAAAAAACAGCTGTTTGAAAAAGAAAAAAAACGCAGCTTTGGCAGTTATGAGTTTTACATTTTTCATAAGATAGGATTTTTTTTGTGTGTTGGGGTGATGTAAATCAAATTAGGTTTTGCCCTTCGCCGACGTATAAACACTGTATACTCAGTGTGTTACCTCCCGAATGAAAGTTGGAAAAATTACTCGGGTGGGACTCGAACCCATGACCTCCTGCTTTCTAGTGCAGATGTCTTACCACTTGACCAACGAGCTAACGGGATTGGTTGGCTGGTTCGAATCTGATGTCCACAGCAGCGGGTACCGCATAAACTATTCATAAGATGGAATTTTTGCAATTCAAAAGATGGATAGCAATTGGCCAAATGAGAGATGTTTTTGCTAGTCACAAAATGGCATTTAACACTACTAAACACATAAAACATCTACTTTTAGAAGAAAAAAAAAATCAGTGGAAAGAATGTTGCAACCTGACGCTGCTTTTTTCTTCATATATCATCTCAATGAATGTCTGTCATTGCAAAAATGACGATAAGACATGAATCTGTGACTGAGAAATATTTCCAATATTGATAGGAAATACTTAAAAAATTGTCTTGACTCTCCATAGACTTTGTACACAGCCGCTGATGTAGCGTCAGGTTGCAACATTCTTTCCAAATCACGAATTTGTTATAAATTTGCAGCTAGTTCATCGATTTCGAATATTATCTTTTACATGTACACATAGGCATATCTGTCCACATCATTGCGGTAGCTTAATTCTTGCAATACATTAATACAACTCAAATTGCATTTGGCAGTTTTTTAAGCTGCCTTCCCAAAATGTAAATCAGCATACATGTATTTCAGTCTGATCCGAGTCCAAGAATATTTACCACACAAATCCAACTGAATTTTACAGAATTTGATAAATTATTTGCAAACTCTTCATTACCAACGATACTGTACACAATATTTCACCCAATAATACTGTCGACCAATATTGAAAATTATGATATTGACAAAAATTATGTACATTTGACACAATACGGAATTCGGGCGATTCACAATGCAGTGCGCCACCAAGCGTTTGCCATGGAGAGTCAACTTTTCAAGTTTACAGTCGACAAAACATGGCCCATATGAATGAGTGTCAGTAGACAATTTGAGCTAATTTGTTATAGATTTGGGAATAGCGTTCTGCCGCCTTATCAAAAATCACCATATTGATACAAAGAAAAGAAAAGGGCAAACATATACTCGAATCATATGCTATATGAAACTACTGACCGGAAAAACGAACAATTTCAAATGTCCCGCGCTGTGAATTTGTCGACCATCTCCCACAATGCACTGGGAAAAATGAACTCTCTGTGGCAAACTCTTGGTGGCGCACTGCATTGTGAATCGCCCGAATTGGCAATATGTGAGAAACTATAAATCTAGTGTACATGCAATGTAACCTACTGATGTACTTTTCATCAACGATGGGCTTCGTGCACAAGTACCCCCTCAATGGTAAGAAATGGAGAGTTGGGGGAGACCACTGGAAGAGATATTTTCACGCATTGCGGATGACGCCCGACGCTCACGCGAAGACGCTATGGCTATGTGCACAATCGGAATAAAATGAGTCGTGCTACTTCGCGTAATGCAAGTACAAACCAGTACGCGAATGCAGTGTTACCCGCCCACTGGACTCTCAAAATTGGTCAAAAAGCGCCCTCTGTTGAGCATGCACAGACCCATTATGTCAATTACACATAGCTCATTTGATATCATGCAGCACAAACAAGTTAATTACTCAAAGTTTTCAGAAAAGTATTTTTCTTCAAAGCAACAATTTTCTTGTGGTTTCATGAGAATTTTGAAACACTCAGTATACAGGAGCAATGCCAGCGTTACGAAAGAAAGTGTAATGTCCGTGACAGAGCCAATTAACCATGATATCTAATGAATGATTCAGAGAAATGATCCCAAACTCCTAGTCTGTAATCTCCTTGACCATTACTAGATGATGGATGTATAAGATTTGAAAAATACATTTTCAGGTTTCTTAAAATGTCTTTCACAGACATTACATAACACTGGAATTTCCCACAAGACAATTTTGAAGCAGTCATGAACATGTAGTTCAAAAGAACTTTAGAAATCTGCATTAATTCTAAAAAAAAAAGATCAGTCGTAGTCTTGAATTGTCCACAAAATCCAACAATGATTAACATACTGATATGGCAGCTACTTGATAAGTTGATATAATTTTTTTTTAATCTAAATACAATACATACAAGTTTTTATAAACATTTTTACAGCACGTGCAGTTTCAAAAGTCACATTTACCCAGCATCAGTATCTGATTGGTATCTTAAATGAATATTAAACATGTAACAATCCAAAAATAGGACAATGGTACACCAAACTATGATCGGGTTTCTGCAAACTGTACACATCTAATCAGATCTGTACACAAGAACACCACATCTTCATTTCTACAGAAAATTCAAAAAATACTCTGAATATTAATTTTTATACATGTACACTGTTTTCACTATTGTATGGACAATATACATAACCCTGTAGGAACAAATTTGCACCATCTAATGTATTAATAATAATAATAATTTGGGAGGCTAATCATCCTTACTCGCAGCTGGTATGCTGAATTGCGAAGGACGCGGCTACAACGTAAAGGCGCCTATGGCTGCCGGCCACATCGACCCATATATGTCCACGGAGCACAGCCTGAGATCGAAAGTGTTTGATTTTTCCGGAGGGTGGAAAACCGGAGGGCCCGGAGAAAAACCCTCGTGGCACAGGAGAGAACCAACGCACAACTCTACTCACATGTGATCCGCGGCCAGGATTCGAACCGTGGTCACCTTGGTGAGAGGCGAGCGCTTTACGCACAAGCCACCATCTAATGTATTGCTACGTATGTAAACTTGTACAACCATGATCCACACTGTACAGGAACTACATGTGTACATGTACATGAAAGGACATTTTTGGTACAATAATAACGCCAACGTTATTTGCAAGGGAGAAAATTGTGTTCATTCCTTTCATTACTTTCAATACTGACTACCCATACAAATTGGACTACATGTACATGTATTTTAACCCTAACCGCCCTGAATCCTCCAAAATTCTTTTTGCAAATTGGAGGAATTTGCAGGATTGAGGTTACATGGCCAAAGTGCGTTGCTGATTTCGGAGTACGCACTGTGTCAAGGTCTTGGGTCGGACCTTGTGTTGTTTATGCTCAGCCGTGCATAAATTTAGTCCTTGATTATACTTGACATCCTCCACACTGCTCCAGGATGTCACTGCCTCTGCCTCAGCCTATTGACAGACATAGCCGGAGGATTTTGCAGGATTCAGGCAGTGGTCACCCCTCCATGGACCATATTCAAAAAACAACGGAGGAATTTGCAGGATTGAGGCTAAATGCTATTTTTCCATGAGGCCAATTGGAGGATTTTGCAGGATTGAGGCTACATCCTAGCAAAAAGGCCTAAATGTATGGCCGAACCGGGACTTTACTTTAACAAGCGGGATTTTTAAAATTATACCCTGAACAAAATTGTTACAGTGCCCTCGTAACTCACATTATATTCGGGTGATTCAGTAATAAAACAAAATTTGCAAAATTAAGCATAACTAAATGAGGTAACATTAACCCTGTAAGTACAGCAAAACAGAATTCCTGAACAATTTCAAAATATCACAAAATCACCAAATTCAAGAATCACAGTGATGAATGGCAAAATGTATAAATGTTACAAACAAGCTCCACCCTCCACCCTAAAAAAATGAGTTTTAACCAGACAGAAAAAAAACAAATTGAAAAATTGGTTCAACGGTAGAATCTGCCGGGTACCAGGTGACCTTATCAATCGCACTTATCCAATATGGGGCACCAGTGAAACTACCTTGTGTGTCTCAAGGTTTTGTAAAAAACCAATTGAACAATCTTTAAAAAAAAAATTGTGGGAAAAAATCTTGCTTCCTTTACAATGTTTGTACATGTAGCATTGCAATCTGTTCAAAGTAGCCTTCTGTCCAATGGAAGGAAAAAGTTGAACATATGAATCAAATTTGTATCACTTGTATCCACAAAAGTGATTCTGTACGTGCACAATTTTTAAAAGGTTAATTGGTCCAAAGAAATTCAGTCAATTTCGCAAGGTATATCGGTGTCCTAAGTAAAGAAACGATTTGAAAAAAAACAAAACAAGGAATACGAAGCTTTACCTTTTTTTCATTAAAAGCTTGAAAAAACCTTCAGACCAAGGACCCATTTTCTTCGTCTATCTCTCCATTTGCAGTCTGGCAGTTGACCTCTGAACACTGCTCTGACCTTTGGGTGACCTCTGACCTGTCGGCAGCAGTGACACGGTTGCTTTCCTCTGGGGACTGTTCCACACTGACGGCCGGGACATCCTGCAGTGTGATGATTGGCGACCTTTTGGTGAAGGGTGACCGTGGGGCGACCTGTGACCCTGGATTGACCTGTGACCCTGGGATGAGCTGTGACCCTTGGGTGACCTGTGACCCTTGGATGACCTGTGACCTCTCTGATGGCTCATCGCTGATGCTTTCCACCTGTAGTGGATGTTCTAAGCTGACAGTCGGGGTACTCTCTTGTTCTTGAATTGCTTCAGCAGCGATCGATGCTTCCAACATCTCCTTCCCGTTGAAGCTCGACTGGCGCGAGTGCCCTGGTGTTCCCAGTGCGCTGTCGCGGTCTGAAATATCGTCGTCAAGGTTATCGCAGGAGTAGCAACTAGCCGTGTCCGACATCTCGTCGAGCTTGTCGACAGACTCGAAGGCACGGAGTATGGAGTGCGGGTCCGGCGGCGACAGATCCGATTCTTGCAAACTCAGCGGCCGGCGCAGCATGCGCAGTTTCGGCGCGCGCACGTACGTGTCGTCGCGGCACAGCAACTCCGGCAGGAAGCCCTTAGGGGAGCTCGGCGTCTCTTGGCACTGGGCCAAGGGGATCAGGTCGAAGGGGTAGCTGTGGCGGTACTTGGTAGGGCTTTCCGGGGTCTCCGAAGGATGCATCGGGGTAGACTCGGCCCCCACGCCCGTTCCACGCTCGCCGAGCTTCGCAGCCTGGTAGCGCCGTTGTTCGTGGATCTCGTCGCTGATTTGCTCCAGGTTGTGCAGGGCGTTGGAGTAGGCCTCCTTGGATCGTGTCACTCTCTCCTGGAGCTCTTCGACTCTCTTCTTCTTATCCTACAACGACAACAAAACATCGACAAAATACCACAAATGATAACACCTTTCCAGAGTCTTTGCACTTCACAACACTTCAAGATTTGCAAAACCACTTTTGCCCATTCCAGTTGAAACATTCCATTTTGGAAGTAGCCCTAAGATGACTGACAGATCTAGTAATTTACATATTAAAGTAAAGCCTTTGTCACAGAAAAGCAAAACTCACCTCTAACTGTTGGTTAAGCTTGTTCTTCATCTCGAAGTAGGGCCTATGATAAAAAAAAGTGAAATAGTCAATGCATGGTACATTTTTTAGTCACTTACATCTTTAAAGCTAAAGTCCATCATTTGCAGCTATCCCAAAAGTAACTGATGTAATTATTGTTGAAAAACATACTTGGATTTAAAGATAACAATGGGACTAAACTCACTGTGAAATTATTCTTTCTGGCAAGCTGTCATTTTGAAGAAACCAACGAAAGAAGGCCTAAAGACGCACCGTTGGAAATTTCCGTTAGTAGTTCGTTTTGTTTATTCTGCGAAGCACGCGCAAGCGTTGACATGACACAAACGTGCGTGCCGCTGCTCTAATTCTTTGGATCAGTGCGCGACATCGCGTAGCTACAATCGGCTCAGTGAGAACGTGTCTCGGACACTGAATTCAGGCCCAATTCAAAACATGATTCAGCAACTTTTGAGTTGAAATCGAGATCCTAGAATGTTGTTTTCCTCGAAATATACAGCTGAAGCTGAGCTGAAACTTCATCAGGTTAGTTGTTCAGCACCCTTCTTTAGATTTTGAGCAGGTTTGTTGCTTCAAACGGACAAAATGCACAAATGACAGACTGTACCTTTAAACCGACTAATCTTTTCAACAATACATATAATTTCGTCAGTTACTTTTTGGAAAGCTGCAAATTATCTACTTTACTTTTAAGGACAATTTGGCTTCCAATGGCATATATTTTTCCAATGCAGATCAGAGATTGGCAGTGTCTTAACTACAATTGGCTACGGTTACGGCTATGCGAAGTGGCTTCAGTCAATGCCATAGACATATGCATGATCTCAAGCCGTAGTCATGTAATTTCGACGCAGCCACTGTTTTGGTATAGCAGTCTGGTACCTTGACTTGTTGATGGTCCGCCGCAATGATTTCTGGAGATGTTTGAGGTGTTGCTCCACTCTGTGAAACTCGCTGGCCGTGTTCATGTGCTCCTTCTCGCTCAGTCTCTTCTCGTGCTCCGCTTCTCCAACCTTCAGAAAAAAACCAAGAAACAGTTAAAATGTTTATATTATTTTTCCACAATCACTTTCTGAATGCCTTCTATCAGGGCCCAATTTCACAGCGTTGCTAAGCACAAAAATTTGCTTAGCACAAAAAGTCTGGCTTATAAAAGCAGTTTACCAGCCAAAACTCCAGGTGATTTTCATGCTAAGCAAACAACAGCTGAATACTAATCACAAGCAATATATATCACATGGAGTTTTGGCTGGTAACCTGCTTTTATAAGCCAGGCTTTTTTTTGTGCTAAGCAAATTTTTTGTTTCCATTATGGTTCCCATCATGCCTGGCACGATCTTAACCCCAGGAATTGTGTAAGTTAAATGTGCCAAAAAGTGCCACATTTAAATTAGGACTGCAGTCGACGTATCTAACGCGCGACGCAGTGCCTAAAATCTTGAAGATTTTTTTTTTTGTAGAATCGATCCTTTAAAACATGAGATTTCGACGTCGCGTCATTTAGCAAGGATATACATTAAATGCACATACCTGTCGTCCCTTTACAACACAAGATACAGATTTTTGGGGGGCGAAAAAAAACGAGGCTTCTATAAACCATATCATAAAGGCATTGCGCAGTCTTAAAAAAAATGTTCGTACGTCTTTGAAATACGTGCGCAGTATGCTCTGAATAGCCGGTCATTGTCGTTACGTATTCCCACAGCCAGGGGTTAGTGAAGGAATGCACACGCATCCATGGAGTCGAGGTTGTACTCAGACTCACCTTCATAGTAGCATGGTTCAGCATCTCCTGCCAGTTAGCGTCAAACTTCCTCCCTTCCTGTATGAGTCCTTGCTCGGCTAGGTCCACCATCTCCTTGGCAGCTGCCAGCATGCTGTTAGCTCTCTCAAACCGAACGGCTGCCTTCTGAGTCTCTTGCTGGCACTGGGTTTGCCAAAAAATTCAACGAAAAAGCCAACCAATTTGTTAGTTTCTGAGTGGCAATACTAAGCACCGTTGATATAAGAATTTTCAATAATGAATATATCGGAAATCCAATATCAAGAATATATCAATTAGCCCATGTAAAGGTTTAAAGACAATAAAGACGACACTTAGATCAAAAAGAAAATTTGAAGTCCCAATTTTCCACGGCTTTCTCTGGAGCATATAGACCATTATCATGTTGTGGCCATCTTGATTTTTCCCATTCAAATCAACGTAACCAAAGCGAGGCTGGAAGGAAAAATAGTCTGGTTCCTTTTTGCACAAAAAACATTTATCTTTCAGTACTGTTATTGGATACAGGGAACATGACCAAAATGGTGGCAGCATGATAAAGGTCTATTGCACAAACTGTTAGAAACAAATCTCAGCACTGAGAGTTTGTCAAGAACGGGCTTTTAAAAAAAAAAAAAAATTACATTGGGAGAGACCGCGAATTTCAGTGAACGCACAGCACAAAGCAACGCCGCTTGGCATTTTTTAAATTTTGAGTCACAAGACCAAGTAGCCGCCGAGTTTATATACCGCTGATATTTTGTGTTTAAGTATCCTACATGATCCAATTTATCAAATAACAATCTTATTTTTTTTTTGAATTCCAGTTAGCTAACCTCTTTAGCCTTCTGCCTGGCTTCATAGTAGGGCCTGGCCTTCTCTATGCAGCTGCCCAGTTTCTTGGAGATGGCGTTCAGGCTGTGGGTGGACTCGGTCAGGGACTGTCTGAACGAAGCCCTGGCCTCCTGAAAAATCCAAGTGGAATTTACAAAATTAGAACAACAGATAATCATATCCAATAAAATTAACTCTAACCTTCCCAAATCCTCTTTGCAAAATGGAGGATTTTGCAGGATTGAGGCAACATGGCAAAAGTGTGTTGCTGATTTCGGAGGATGCACCGTTTCAAAATCTTGGGCTGGACCTTGTGTTGTTTATGCTCAGCCATGCATACATTTAGGCCTAGATTATACTTGAAATCCTCCGCACTGCTCCAGGATGTCACTGGCTCTGCCTCAACATACATGTATTGACAGCGATTGCTGGAGGATTTTGCAGGATTGAGGCAGTGGTCACCTCTCCAAGGACCATATTCAAGAAAGAAAGAAGGATTTTGCAGGATTGAGGCTGTGTGCTATTTTTACGTGAAGGCAGTTGGAGGCAGTTGGAGGATTTTGCAGGATTGAGGTTGCATCCTAGCAAAAATGCCTAGGGAGTTAGGGTTAATCAAAAGCCAAAGTACTTGGCCAAAGGTTCTGAATGGGAAAAAGACTTGAATGAGAGGATAACTAAAGAGTAATTTATATCAGTTTCTTGAATCAGTTTTTTTGGGGGCGACTTACGTCCAGCTGCAATTCCATGGAGTTGATTTCATCTGTGGCAGTGTTTAACCTCTCCAACTCCAACTACATGGTGAAAAAGAAAAAAGAAAAATCAGCATGTTTTAATGCAACAACTCACACATATACCTGTAAATAATACATCCCAATGAAATTGGACATGCAGTTCACGTATAAAACAATCGTTCATCGGTAAAGACCATTGTCATGTTCGGCCATCTTGATTTTTTCCCCATTCAAATCAATGTAACCAAAGCGAGGCTTGAAGGAAAAATAGTCTGGTTCCTTTTTGCTCAAAAAACATTGCCATTCAGTACTGTTATTGGATACAGGGAACATGACTAAAATGGCGGCAGCATGATAAGGGTCTATGGTGCCTAGACTTCGATCATCAGCTTCATTGCAAGTAACCCTCCCTCTCTGGCAATTTCAACAAGGCCAGCCCAGCAGTCAAAATAAATCAAGTGACTGTTTTTAACAGTTGAGTGCTCCCTGCCTTCATAAAGCTTTGACTGGCTGCGATTGTTATGAAACCTGATACAGCTATGATTTGACCGTAGGAGATTGATAAGCCAGCTGTGCCTACCAGTCACCTCTTTTGTCTGCTGATGGAATTCGACTGTCACAGTGCCTACAAGAAATATGATCTGACTGTTGGTGACTAGCCTGTGTAAAAGGCATGGCAGGGGAACAGGATTGAAGTTTTGACTGTCTGTGACTGATCAAACAAAAGGAGGTTTTAAGAAAACGCATGTACAAAATGTAGCCTGGACCAATTGAACTTTCATGAAACAAACTTACATAAGTAAGTCTTACAGGTGTATTTGACAGATTCTGTAAATGATGACGCATCTTATTCTCAGGCTCACTTGATAAATTATTTCCGGACGGATTCATGACTAACATTTATATTTCACTTATTAAGTTTTAGCTTTTGAACAGTACATTGAGCAGGCATAAAGAGATGTTGCCATTTCAGGTAGACCTTTTTGATTTGTAAATTATTGTAAACCGGCCCTCAAAATTATTTTGCTACATTAGCAAAAAACACACTGAGTGCTAAGAAAGCAGTGTCACTATCAGGAGTCACAATATTACCAGTTGGCATTGATCATATTTCCAGACATATTGAATTACTTCCTAATCTGTTGGCAGCTTGGACTCATTTCGTGGAAATTTTGGAGAAGGAAGATTTCCTGTTGGCATTTATGTACAGTAGTGTGCAAAAGGAACAACTGAGTGTCATTTTATGAATGTTACAAATGGTTTGTCAATTGATATTCCAAGAAAACTTGCCAAACTTTTTTTTACCAAATTATTACTATTAATTATTTTTCTAGCAGACATAAATGCAACAAATCGCAAAACATGGAAATTGATATTTGTCTGACATTCAAAGTTCAAATTGCTGAACTGAAATTCATGATTAACTCTAATGGGTAAAAAATTATTTTTCCAGCAGACATAAATGCAACAAATCGCAAAACATGGAAACAGATATTTGTCTGACATTCAAAGTTCAAATGATTGAACTGGAATTTATGATTAACTCAAATGGACAAAAAAGTTACAATTCTGAGACAGAAAATCATTGCCTTTTAAAAAGAAAATGCCTTAAAATTAAAAATGTACAAGTCTGTGAAGTATAAAGTACCAAAAAAAAAAGAAACAAAGTCCCTAATTATGAAAACCTTCTTGCATACAATTGCATTCTAGTCAGTCAGTCTTGAGACGAAACACATATCAACACAGAACAACACTTTCTTCAGAAAAGTTATCTCCTAGAAGTTCCAGACATGACGATTCAAGTTATTTCTACGTCTCAGTAGGGGGTAATCTTTCTTCTCCTGCTACTGTAACCATAGAGCAAGCTGTAACTATGTAGCAAGCCAGCACTTTATAAAGTAACTCAACTGAACTTCTGGAACCTCCCACGAGAATTCCCGGATATTTGTGACCTAAGAAACCTTGACTTTGTAAACTTGGGGGGGGGGGGACGACTAGGTGAGGAAAGATTCAAGCTGTGAATGGGAATACTGAGATTTGCAATGCATGAAAAAGGAAATATCTTCATGTAGTGAAAAGGGTATCATTTTGTTGTTATACCACAACTTGAAAAAAGATTAAAATATTGAGGAAAAAAAAAATGACTGAACATTAAATTTGTGGGGGAGAGATGACAATAATTTCTCCTTAATAACCTGTGAAAATGTGAAACTTCTCGGTATCAACATGTAATTCGCCCTACAAAACAGTCCTGTATACAATAGTAAAAAGTAGTAAAGTCTGTCACGAGCCAATATGGCCCGTCAGGCCGGCATTTATCTCCGGTTTCCATGGCATGAAACAATCGAGAATATAAATTTCTATTCCCCTGGATGGGAGGCCAGTCCATTCCAGGTTACTCCCCAGCTAATGCTGGTACCCATTTATACTCCTGGGTGGAGAGAGGCAAGTGGGGGCGAAGTGGCTTGCCCAAGGACACAACACATGGCCAGCAGCTGGATTGGAACCCCTGACCCTTTGATCAGGATTCACAAATTCTAACCACTAGGCCACACTCCCCCTATACAGTAGGGCCTACATATGTTTACATCCCTTGGGCATTGCATCAGACTTGCTTGAAAATGTGTTCACAAACATGACAAAAGGGCAAGGCTGGAGCGAACCGATCCCTTGGGCACTTACACTGGAATAACCAGGACAATGTTCCACACATTGTGGGACATTGTGATCAAGCTAAGGATGATGAATGTTCTGAAGTATTTGTACACTTTACTTGAAGGCCATTTTTTCTTTTTAAAGAAAACCTTGCATATTCTGCACCATATGGTGTTTGTCCTTGTTGGGAAGGTTGTCTCTTACATGTATACATCAGTGAATAAATTTACATATATGAATAATAATGTGTTGCAGGAGCTTGGACAAAAATGGCTTTTAAATTTGAAATTCAGTTGTAGTAAAGAAATACACTGTATAATTTCGGTGTGGTTACTTGTTATGTAAATCTACAGATTACCGGTAGTTTAAAGGGAATGTACAACATTTGCTTTTGCTGCAATTTTCAGAAATAAATGGATTTGGAGGATTAGTATGATATAGCAAATATTGTTACACTGACTTGTTTCACGTTTTGGGTTCGTAGAAGCTGGAAAAAACAAATAAAAACAATCATATTTTTGTAGTCTGGTTCCCTGACGCCACTTAAGATGAAACGGATGAAATTGAAAATTGAAAAGATGAAATTTATAAACTTTGGGGAATTGTAAGGTCTGAGAATCAGTCTAGCAGGCTTGTAGTCTTCACAGGTATGTAATCAATTGCAAAGAAACTACAGACGAACTAAATATGAAAAATTCGGAGCACTTTTTGAAAAAAGCCAGTTTTCTCCAACGCTGGTGGGCCGACCAGTGCTGGAAAAATGCAGTTTTTCTTGAATATGTCAGCACACCAGGAGCTACAACTTTACTGGGTGCTTTGGACTGTCATTCCCTAATAATCCAGTAAGATATTTTGTGATAATATGATCATTTCGTTTTTTGAAGTTTGCAAATGTTGTATCTTCCCTTTAACTGAAAAGATTTTAATGTTTACATCTTTCCATGTAAGTTGGGGGTTTCAGTTTATTCATAAGATACCGGTACTGGTACATTGATGCAAAATACATTAAAGTGCAATAAATTTATATTATTACATGCATATATTCCACATTAATTTCCCCACCAATGAATATGAGGCCCATAATATGCAAAAGTTAGCGTTTTTTAAATTTTGAAATACAAAATATCAAAAATTACTTTCCAAAATTGCGTCAAATTGCAAAACAGCTTTAAAAAGCAGAGCGTTTTGCACTACAATTTTATAAACAAAGTCATGCACTACACAAATAGGGCTCCGATACAAGTACATGTGCAATGAATGAATGAAATAATGTCCTTATTTTTTGTTGTTCTTGGATTAGTTCAGGCAGCTTTTCGTTCCATATAGCCATACATGCATGTGTGCATGCTGCAACCTCTATCCCACAATGGAAGGTCATCCATTGTGGTACACATGCCAATGCTTTTGTTTGCTCTTTCATTCACACACTGAAAGTCCCCAGGGCATTTTTATGACTCATACACAAACTATTGGTGGATACCACATAAGCTGGGAAAATACCAGGAAGATTGTTTTTTTCAAATTAACTTCCTAAAATTCTATAACTGTAAAGAATATGTAAAATTGCGAAACGATAGGCCTTGAAGTTTCAATTTCGGCAGAATTTTTTTTGCGTTCTTGTATATTTGTACCTTTTCTTTTTCAGAATATACATAACTAATTCAATGAACACAAAAGTACATGACATATCACAAACTATAGGTGGAATTAGGACAAATCCAGGAAATTTCGGGGTTTTTTTTTCAATTCAACTTCCTCAAATTCTACTGAAGTACAGATTACAATTCTAGATTTAGTACCATAACATTGGACTTTGGACCACTCAAATCACTTTGGACGCAAACAAGTGGAAATTTATAAAATATAAAAATTCCCCTCCCGACTGTTTTTTTTTTTTTTTCAATCTCAGTGATGTAAACCTAAACGTTAATTTTAACTGGCCTTAAAGGGAAAATACAACATTTGCAAACATCAAAAAATAAAACTACCAAATCATTTTGAAATACCTTGCTGGACTGTTGGTGAATGAGTGTAAAGCATCCTGTAAAATCATGGCACCTGGTATACTGTCATTTTCAAGAAAAGTGGTATTTTTGTATCAATTTCCAACGCTGGTCGGCCGACCAGCGTTGGAAAAAAACTGGCTTTTTTCAAATACTGGCCCCAATTGACCATCGCACTTGTTTGCAATCAATTACACACCTATGAACGGGTACAAGCCAGCTAGACTGGTTCCCTGACCTTACAATTCCCCAATGTATGTAAACTGCTCTGTTTCTTCTTATATGGAGTCAGGGAACCAGACTACAGGAAAATGATTGTTTTTCTTGGTTTTTATAGCATTTTCGAACCCAAAACCTCAAAAAAGTCAGTGTAAAGTATTTGCTATATATTTCCAACCCCCCCAATTCCATCCATTTCTGAAAATTACAGCAAAAGCAAATGATATATATTCCCTTAAAGCAAACAATCTACGCAACAAATAGAAAATCGTTTGATGTCATTCTCAATTATACTTAAATGGCAAGTTACAAAGTTCAGTGGACAGGAAAAAATGTCACACTTTGAAACCAACATACATGTAGGCTAAATTTATAGAATGACCACATACATGTAGTTATGTGTTCACGCACATCTATGTACAAATACACCACTACGGAAGTTTGTTTACATGACGCCAACACAAGTGTACTTCAAGAATTCCAATTAACCATCCTACCATGTTGCTTTATTGTCAAAGAGTACAATGGCCTTGCTAAAAGCGGGTTCACTTTATGGTGAAGGACTATAACGGTTCACTGATTTCACAGCCAGAAAATTGCACTGTCAGTGTTACGCTGCCAAACTTTGCCCTGGATTGCTGCTGAACCATGGGGAACCGAAATCCATTGTTGCATTATTTTCCACAAAAAAAACGACTATCGTACGATACCAAACAGTACCAGCTGGTAGCATGACTTCATTATGTCATGCAGGAAACTAGTCCGACGGGAATTTCCCTGTGTGTTCTCCCAAAAGAGTTTTCGCAGGGTTTATTCCCCTCCCGTAATCAGAATTATTTCGTAACACTTTTAGCAAAAAAGCACGCCTTGTACCTGTACTGTGCATTCATATTTTTGTACTTCTGAGAATCTAAAATGCATTGCCCAAGTGATTAGGTAATCATTTTACAGCAAAAGGGAAAGCTAACATTTGCCATGTTCAGCGATTATTTAAATACAATTTTGGATTATTAAAATGCATGGTTAATTTTTCTTAATTTTTAAAGAAGGAAGCTTGATTGAATAAATAAAAATGGATAAACATGTAATGTGGTAAACAAATAATATGCATTTTCTTCTCGAAGAAAATTTCACAATGTATGCAAAATTGTAAAATTAATGTTAATAACATCCTTCGCCAGTATTTTTTTTATTTTCTCATCTTGTCAATTCAAATTATGAAGTTTGATTAATCTGGCCATCACTAATTTTTCCCTTCATATCAGCAATCAGAAAGTGATAATAATTAATATGTCCTAACATGTTAAATTTAGCAGGGAAAATATTGCAGTATTTACTAAGGAAACACTTAGAAATTTTCAGACCAGTCTCATAGGGTTTGTGCACAGGGTGTCAAGTGATGTCCAGATATGGGAATCTTTCCTTTTTCTTCAAACCAACATGAGCATAATGACTGACAATAATACAAAATTAATAACTGTAATTTGAAACATCATTCCTACCTCTAAATTATTCACACCCTGAATTTGTTTTATGGGCGTGTGCTGCATTTGGCGACATTTAAATGCCGCATCATGTCCCAAACATGGTAACAATGCCCGGCGTTGTGTGCATTGAATGCCCGCCATTCAACCCCGTATCGATCCGCTAACGTACACGCGAAGGAAAGCCATAAAAAAATATTTCGGATGCACACACATATTTCAAATGTAAATTTCTCAACGAATTCAGTGCTGTCAATTCATAACAATCAAATGCACAATACATAGTGACCGAATGAATAATTTTCCAGCAGGAATCGAGTAAATTTATTGTTTAAAAGGGTGAAATCCTACCTTAATTCTGGGGTCAATTTCCTCTTCTTCCGTGCAAGTCGATGCCATGTTGGTGCGTTGACGTTGCGACGTCAAATGAATTAATTAAGTACAAGTGTTGATTTCAAACACGAGAGGGCGCTGTTTGTGATAACCACAAATTTCCCCATCATCGCCGCGCCGCATCCCGCATTTTTGCGGGTGGCTTTAGGAAAAATATGTCCTTGCTCTATGGTGCGGCTTTGGTGGGACACGAAAACAACCTTTCCGCGACTAAAAATAAACTTATATAACTATAATTCTGTACAATTCCCTAAGTTTCTGTGTTCATCATGCCTGAAATGATTTTATTTGCCAACTCCGTTTTCTATTTCTATTTTTCCACAACAGAATTTTAACGAAATGTCCCGTAAGTTTATCTAAGGAAAAAAAACATTGTCTTGTTAAACTTTTACATCAGCTCATCGTAATTTTGACCAGCGAATGTCACCAAAAATCTTCGCTTTTCAACTCGAAACTTGTCCGTGAACAATTTATGTGCCTTAATTTATTTCCACCACTATTTTTAAATAGCGCCACCACTCGACAGTTGAAGGTCACTTGACGCCATAATTTTTCTGCTGGTGAGTACGAATTTTCGCGCCGTCTCTATTTTCTGTGTAATCAACAACTGAGATTACTACATTATATGCTTGATGTAGATAGTTAATTGTCTGTCTGTCCTTCTTTGTTTTGTATATTTGCTGATACTTGATTTGGGTATTTCGTATTGTTTTGGGGGGAGAAATCAGGATGCAAGTTATTGTCCGGATACTGGGCAGGCATGCCGTTGTTGTGTGCAGCATAGTCATAGCATAGACATCGCCATTGTGAAAGTGTTGGGCGCGATCGGTGGATCTGCGCGATCGGTCGATCGCGCTGCGCTATATTTCATTTGCAAACTTGAATTAAGTTTGTATTTAAAAAAAAATTCTATAGGGCCTAATCACCTAATTTAACAGCTTAACTCAACTCAAGTAAACAAGGTAAAGCAGTGCCCTGCCAGTCATGCCAGTGGATATTTTGCCGTGACCGGCAATCATGGTAAAGTAATATAAGCTCGACTGCATCTGGCCGTACAGTACTATCGCAAGCTCTGTAGTACAGCCAGACAGCCAAAAGCTAAACTCTGACTCCTAGCCAGATGCAGTCGGGCTGAAGTAATACTTCCTAATGCAATTTTGCTATGAATGAGTCCTGATTGACTGTCCCCTAATGACTTGTGAACACCACCAGAAAAAAAAATGAGATTTGCCTGTGGCTACCGGCTGGACTAATGACTTAAATTGTCACTTACATATATCCTATTCTAATCTTTCCTTTATCAGTGGAATGTGATAACTGAACGAGGGGGACGCAGAAGTAACAAGGAAAATGGAGGAAGAATCAGGGGTATTGGGAGCTAGCGGGATGCTGAGACAATCTCCAAAAGACGAGGATGATGAAAAGACTGCAACATCGGAGAAGACATCCGAGGAGATCGATGTGGAAGGAGACTCTGATGACGAAGTCCAAGACGTCAGACCACCAAGCCAAGAACCTCAAGAACTTGAAGAAAAGCTTGAAGAGGCTGACAGGAGTTGTCCTACTCAAGAAGTTGCTGTTGATGAGAACTTTGGATCGGGTTCAGTGGAGAAACGCTCGGAGTCCGGATCCCCAACTGATCGACAAATTGAGAAACAAGTGTGCAGTCCTGTCGAAGAGTTACAAGCAGATGCATCGGACAAGAAACTAGCGAGTGGAAAAACTGAACAGAGTGTGGCATCCGAAGCTAAAAAAACCGAGGTTGAAAAGGATCACATACCAGAAAGCAAAACAACAGAGTTTTCAGAGAAGGTTCCTGAGTCGAGTTCGGGAGAAACTTTGAAGAATCCAGGTGATCAGCAAGATGTTGCTAAACCAGATAGTGATGTACTGACTATTCAGGAAGCACCAACTGTGGCTCAGGCTTCAGAAAAGATTGCTGAACGTAAAACAACTCACGTTCCTGAAAGCAAAACAACAGAGTTTCCAGAGAAGGTTCCTGAGTCGAGTTTGGGGGAAACTTTGAAGAGTCCCGATGATCAACAAGTTGTTGTTGCTAAAACAGAAAGCGATGTAAAGACTGTTCAGAAAGAACCAACTGTGGTTCAGGCCAAAGAAACGATTGCTGAACTTGAAACGAAGCAAATTGCCAAGACGCAGAAACTAAAGTCTTTCGAGGATGCTTTTAAAGCAAGTCTGGGAAAATTGAATATCGAAGTTCCTCGTCGGAAGACACTAATCAAGAGACCAGGAATTACCTTGAAGCCAGTTGATAGTGCTTCTCAAAGACCTCCGAGTGAGACCCAGCAGCAGCGCCCTAAAGACAGTGAAAGAATCACCGGTTTGACAGATAAAGGATTGAATGTGATGGTTCCTGAAAAGAATGAAACAGGTCCAAGTTCAAGCTCCAGTTCGGAAAAGATTCCAGGCGGCCGACCAAATGCTTCTCTAGATCTGACCAGCAGCCAGAAACCAGCCAGAGATAATCAGAAAATCGAGGAAGACACGTCCGACGATGAAGGTGATAACTCCAGGGATGTTGACAATTTCAGCTCTGACTCCTCATCAACCATCATCGACATCGAGATGGCCACCAAGGAATCCACAGAAGAGGAGATCCCAGGAAACCTGAACAAGTCTAGGTCAACGTTGCAAGATCAAAGCAGCAAAGAAGTCCTCACAGATGAGGTAGAGAAGGCCAAGAGCCGGGAATCCAATCCCACTTCTGACACCAGATCAAGACGTGAAGCCTCAGACAAACGGATGAGCTCATCAACAGTTCCTTCAAGAGATCACACACGTACGCGTACCATCCACAGAACACATAGAACAGGCGTTCCAACAAGTGTAGCTGACAAAAAGCAGGAGATAGGCTCCCCAAGCAACACATACCCAGAGAAGACCCGAGAGTTTTCAAGATTGAAAAGTGCCGCCAGGCTGCGTGAAAGATCCAAGAGCGACGAAAGCCAGAATGTCCTGGGCAAGAAGTACCGCATCTCCAAGCATGGGATCGTCCTGCAGCCTGGGATCAAACTGGAGGCCATGGACTATTCCAAAAAATGGTAAGAGCACTTAAAATTTGTACAGTTTGATGTAGTTATTACGAAGTAGTTACTCTGAGGTCTTGAAAATTCGATCTAAAATACGTAAGCCTGCGGCAGATTTTAACAACCTGCGACCTCTAACAGGTACCTTGCGAGGATCGTGAGCGTAGACGAGACAGATAGCACCGTCTTGATCCACTTTGCTGGCTGGAATTCCCGCTTTGACGAGTGGCTGGAGTTTGACAGCGACAGGCTGCGACCGATGGCCCGGGTCTCCGCCCGCCGGGAGACGGCTAAAGAAGTCAAAGCACTAGGGGTAAGGTCTTCAGAATCATCTCAAAATTATCGCAGGCAACAACATCTGAGGCGTCTATTGAGTAACCAGAACTGCTCAGGCAGGTTGGGGCCATGATAAAGTTATCCCGCAAGATTTGCCGGAAGTAAAGACCCTGTTAGTTCCTCATGCAAATTTCAGTGCAAAGTGAATTTGTTAGGCTAATGGCAAACATGACAATAAAACTCTAATTGTTGATGTCATAAAAGTCCGTTTACATTCATGTAAACTGAGCTAAATAGAGTTTCCCTAAGACAAGATGAATCTTTTGGGGAAAATGTCTCCACAACTTTTCTAGAGATTGTTATTGAGATGTCTGCTTCACATAATCCCATAGGGTTACAAAGTTGGCGATGAAGTTTTGGCCCGTTGGTCGGACTGCCGCTACTACCCAGCCAAGATCCTGGGAATCAAGACCAACGGCTCGTATCGGGTGCTGTTCTATGACGGGATTGAGAAGATTGTGATGGGAATCAACGTACGAGACATGCCCGACTCACTCAAATCACAGGTGAAATTTCTCTTTAGTTTTAGTATGTTGGTTTCGTATTAAAGCTACAGTCCATCAGCTATCCAAAATGTAACTGACAAAATTATTGTTGAAAGCGTACTTGGTTTAAAGATAGTAATGGGACTACACTCCCTGTGAAATGATTCTCTCTGGCAAGCTGTCATGTTGAAGAAAACAAGGAAAGAAGGAAATTTCCAACGATGTGTCTAAAGACGCATCGTTGGATATTTTCATTAGTAGTTCGTTTTTAATTTGGCAAAGTGCACTGAAGCATTGATATAATGCACATGCACGCGGTTGCTATAATTCGTCAGTTTAGTGCCCCGACATCGTGTAGCTGCATTCGGCTGAATGAGAACGTGTTCCTGATGCTGAATTGTGGTAGCTTCAATTTTGGTAGCACATGTATTTAAAATAAATCATTTTGGTTTTGTTTTCCTGTTTCAGCAATTCTTCAGCAACTTGGAGCACCAGTTCCGTGCCCTGCTGAACAAGAAGCGACGAGGCTCCAAGGATGCTGAGGGTAAATCTAAGGGAGGTCGATTATCCAAAGGTATCGATCGATATCATTATCGATGGACACACCATCAGGTCATTCCATAGACGCATCTTTAAATTCATCAGCTTTAGTCCATTGAGCTCCAATTTGGAAATTCTCGAGCTAAAGTTCAGTTGTGCGAAGACTGTTATTTTGAAAGACTTCTTACGAATTGCATGAAGATTTCGGAAACAATTTGCAGTGCGTAATTTGAGGATGCAAGGACTCCTAATAAATTCGGGCGATTCACAATGCAGTGCGCCACCAAGAGTTTGCCACGGAGAGTTCATTTTTCCTAGTGTATTTAGGGAGGTGGTCGACAAATTCGCAGCGCAGGACATGCAGAATTTTTTGTTTTTCTGGTCAGTAGTTTCATAAGTGCATAATTTGAGTACCTGTTTGCCTTTTCTTTTCTTTTTATCAATATGGTGTTTTTTGTAAGGCGGCAGAACGCGATGCCCCAATCTAAAAACAAAAATAGCTGTCTACGGACTACAAAAAGTTGTCTACGGACACTCATTTAAATGGGCCATGTTTTGTTGACCGTAAACTTGAAAATAAGGACTCTCCACGGCAAACTCTTGGTGGCGCACTGCATCGTGAATCGCCCGAATTGATTACCAGAGGAGTGAGCTTTTCATGTGCTGTTGCTCATTCGTGTAGTAAGCCATTGCAGCAAACATGGGACTTTCGCTTCAAGGGAATATACAACATTTGCTTTTGCGAAATGATTTGGGGAGATAGCATTTTATAGCAAATATTGTTACACTGACTTGTTGTACGACGTAGTAGAGCAAGGGTTAAACTCAAAGAATTTCTTTGTTTGATGCTTGTTTAGAATCGCCATCGAGTAGCAGGCCTGCCAGCCCCGTGCAGCAGCCCCAGAAGCGACGGCACCCATCAGCCTCCCAGACGCCAGCAACACAGCCGGCCAAGCGCAGTCGGCAGGACTCAGGCCGGCCCCAGAAACTACAGAAGGTAATAAACGTGTAGGAAGTTGATGCATTTGTTACTGGAATACTCTTCTGCCTTACAGTTTTGCTAGAAACCCTGCAACATGCCACACTTGTCAAAACGACAAGCCTTGCCCAGTGTAGCAAGATTTACCAGGTCAAAAGTCTCAAGGCCAAACTGCGTCAGAGTCTGTGGTCACCAAATGCAAACCTACGCCCTTTGCGGCGTTTGATATTTTATGGCACTAATTTCCAGTGTCTCAGAATTGGCCGTTTGTGCACTGGTGTTGATGCTCAGTGCAGCAAGGTTCCTCAGACTTTTGAACTTTTGAACGTTTGCAAAGTTTACATCAACTTATCTCAAGTCAATCACAAGATATTGACTAAAATCAAACGTCATCGAGATGAACTTTTACAGAGCTGTTTTTATCGTTTCGGTTTACAGTAACACCATGCGGTAATAACTACTGGTGCTCAGTAGATATTTAGTTCTGATAAGAACTTGTCCTGCTTATTATAAACTTTCGCTAAGTAGTTTTTAGTTCAGTCCAGTTCTAAAAGACAAGTTCTTAGAACTAAGCAGGACTGTTCTTATCCGAACTAAAAAGTACTTAGCGAAAGTTGATTATAAGCAGGACAACTTCTTATCAGAACTAAGTATCTGCTGAGCGACAGAAGTTTACCACATGGTGTTATCGCAAACCGAAACGATACTGATACTCCACCATGCAAAGCCTAAAGTCTTACAAAGCTGTTCTTGTTTTCACTTTTCATTCCTTATGTCTTGTGATCTAACTGCGATTTCTTAATAACATTTTGTTGGCCCAGGGGTATGTCATGACCACAGAGCCCATACCCCCCTCCCCCACCCTCCCCCAGGAACCGACAGACCTTCTCCCCTCCCCTACCTCGTCCGAGGCCAGCGAGTTGATGTCTGCCCTGGAGCACGGCTTAATGGGCAACAAGAAACGCTACCGTGAACCATGTAAGTTTCGCGACTTCATTACTCCCAAAGTCTCACTTACGTCTAACACCCACTACCATATAAACCTGCGACATAATAATGTCACGCTTTGTTATCATGAACGCTCGGCAAGTATACCGCTGGGCGGGTAACTCGATTACTCAAGTACCTTCGAGTAGTTTATGCTACTAGTTGTTCTACTCGTGGTTTTTCATCTACTCGAGTACTCGTCCTGGCGAGTACTCGAGTTTTATTTACTTTTGTTTCATTTTTCGTTTTCGATAACTGTATCCTGTAGTTTTTGTCGTTGTCTATATTTTTTTTACGAATACTTTTGAATTGTTTGCTGTTGATTCTGTTACATGAACCGAAAAAAAATTATCGGTTTTAAAATATTTACATTCGAAATTATACTAATCCAAAATATAATACAGTGTGTTTTAAAATGAATTTGACTTTAATAATATGGCTACAACATGCATTTATTTTTGGCGTGGATTTTTAATTAACATTCATGTTTTTGTGCACAATATGATATTTTTATAATCATTTGGACAATCATCCCATGATATTTTATTTTCAAAAATGTACTCATGACAAATTTGTTTTCATATTTTGTTTCTGCACTTTTTCCAATGCTGTGGTTTTTACTTGCAATTTCAAGGCTTCATAATGTTGCAAATAACAAGTTCGTTGGTTTGTGTATTAATTTTTAATTCATGATTCAGTAACCTTACACTCTTTTTTTGTACCGGGGTGTACGCCATTAATTATTTATAATAAGGATGGAGAGGACCAATTTGGAATGAGTACCCAAGTGCAGTTTTTACAATTTGGATCGATAGGCTTCTTGCCGCAATTTAACCAAAAGCAGGAAATTTTCAAGAATTACAACAAAACATGCAGAAGTATCACTGCACTTTTGTGAAAATATTCTTTTAAAATTTGGCGTCGAGCAAAAGAAGTAATAACACAAAGAGAATCGCAGAAGCATTTTCATCTTCATTTTAAAAGAAAAAGAACATTTTTGTTTTGCTTTTTTCAGTGATATTCGACAAAACCTCGGGACTCATCCGAGACCCCAGACGCAGTAAGTTGATTGGCTGTTTTTGATCACATGACAAGTAGTCTTGGAATAAACACACATTTATAGAAATGAATATTTCGACAAAAAGTAAAAATATCTTTGGTGGTAAATTAATTAGATTGGTCATAGGTGTAGCTGGAATTTAGTGTCAAAACCAGAAGTGTGAAGATTTTGGGGGAGATATTTTTAGTTTTCAGTTAAAATTAGGAAGTTGATGTCATTGCGTAATTATTTCTTGATTTATTTTTGCATGCTTGCATGAAATGTTATTTTGTTTATTTTGTTGCAAGGGAAGAATTGTTTTTTGCATGCCGTATTTAAATTGAAATATTTGCCCAAAAAAATGAGCTTGAGCTTTAAAAAAAAAAGACATTAAATGTCCCCTACTGTTACGCACAGCCTTATATAGTTTGCAACAACGTCAAGTACCCGGAGGCATGAGGTATTGGCCTGCATGACGGTTATAGATAGGCACCTGACTATTTTATAGGCAAGCCACATAGCCACATAGCGTGTTTGAGGCTATGGCCATGATTGTTGCCATTAGTGCTGCACTGTAACTAGCCAAAGCCAAAACACATGTGTGCTCACTTTTATACATTTCGCCTGGTTTTTGTCAAGAATACTTTAAAAAAATGGCTATGCATGATATACAGTAATATCCTTTCAAAGGCATTATCGTAACAGAAATAGTACCCAACCCAAGCGATATTACTTAATTTATGAAATTTCATGAAATTTTGAAACAGTAACTACATTAGTATGATTTTTACTATATTCTCAGATGAATAATATACTCCCTCCAACTAGTGGTAATCCCAAAAGAGCTTGGCATAGACCTGGACAACAAAACATGCCATAGTTAAGCACTAGTGCCCTCATAGCTGGTCAATATATAAATCACATGTTTTCGGAAATTACTATATTCCTTCCGACCAGTGGTAGCTCCAAAACAGCTAGGCAAGACCTGGACAACAAAACATGCCATAGTTAGGCACTAGTGCCCTCATAGCTGGTCAATATATAAATCATATATTTTCACACATAACTATATTCCTTCCAACCAGTGGTAACCCAAAGAGCTTGTAATAGACCTACGTAGACCATACAACAAATGCCATAGATGAGCACTAATGCCCTCATAGCTGGTCAATATATAAATCACTTTAACACATTACTATATTCCTTCCTACCAGTGGTAACCCCTAAAGAGTTTGTAATAGACCTTGACCACAACAATGCAATAGGTGACCACTAGTGCCCTCATTCCCAGTCAATATAAATAATGACTTCACACGGCGTATTTTTTCACACATTACTATATTCCTTCCCGTCAGTGGTAGCCCCCTAAGAGTTTGTCATAGACCTTGACCACAACAAATACAATAGATGACCACTAGTGCCCTCATTTCCGGGCAATATAGATAATGACTTCACAAGGCGTAATTTTTCACACATAACTATATTCCTCCCATCATTAGTAGCTCCCAAAGAGCTTGTCATAGACCTTGACCACAACAATGCAATAGATGACCACTAGTGCCCTCATTCCCGGTTAATATAAATAATGACTTCACAAGGAGTAATTATTCACACATAACTATATTCCTCCCATCATTAGTAGCTCCCAAAGAGCTTGTCATATATCTTGACCACAACAAATGCAATAGATGACCACTAGTGCCCTCATTCCCGGTCAATAAAAATAAAACTTCATCAGGCGTATTTCGTTCACACATTACTCTATTCCTCCCATCAGTTGTAGCTCCCAAGGAGCTCGTTATCGACTTGGACCACAACAAGTACAAGTGCGAGGTCCCAGATTGTGGCAAGGCCTTCCGCAAAGCTAGCCTGCTGGAGTACCACAACAAGTACTACCACATCAACAAACCGGCAACTAGCACCTCAGCGATGACTGCCGCAAAGAACGCTGTGACCCGAAGCCGTAAGAGACTCTCGACGTGTAAGCGGACATTTTAAGAAAACCAAAATGGCATAGCATAAATTCTTCACTTTTGGATCATTTTCTCCAGTTTTTTTATCGTGCTATCTATCTTGATTGAACATAAGGGTGTAGAATTCCTATAATTGCAAGATGTCCTTTTTTCAATTTTTAATTTTTTTAAATTTTTTTTATATATTTTAAAATTGCAACAAACATTTCTGACCCGCATTCCATGTATACTTTGCTTGCATTTTCTCAAATATCCTTCCAAAATGTCATAACCCACTTTAATTATACACCTGTGGAAAATAGCAGAATGTTTGGAATATCCGAAAATATGAATGTTTAATGCACTATTGATATTCATATGCTCTTTATATGGATATTCCAAAATGCAGTTCAATTGAATTAAAAGTATGCTTTTTAGTTGCGATAGTTCAATGTATTAAATTTCATGTGACACTGATTGTCAGTGTTGTGGTACTCGTACTCGAGTAAATATTTTGGTACTCATGTACTCTCGTACTTATGGGGAAAAATATTGCCTCATGACAAAATAGTCATACTCGTACTCATACTCATGGCAAAGTACTCATACTTGTACTCACTGAAATGTACTACAACACTGCTGATTGTGACTAAGTATCAGAAGCTTGTGCTAAACACATTTTTTTTTAAAGCAGCTCCATCTAATTTGTCCAGGACTTGATTTAAACCCCAAGCTTATTTTTGTCTACGTTTGTTACTTTTTTATATGCCGTAGCTGCCATGGCACCCGGCAGTAGCAAGATGCGACGCACGGAGAGCTTGGACGTGTCGCCGGCCAAAATCACCAGCCGCCCCATGCGCGCATCGGCCCCCAGCATCATGACCGCTAGCTACAAGCGCCCCCTACCCTCGCCGAAGCTGGAGAGTCCAGCAGAAACCGCACGGCCTCCGAAGACCATCCCCATGAGCAGTCAGTTTCTGAAGAAACCAGAGGTCAAACAGCCTTTGCCGACTCTCCGGAGCGAGCGGCCGGCTGTCAAGCTGGATCCTGCGCCACCGCCGCCGATGGCGCCAACGTTGCCTGCGCCCAAGACCCAGGGGTCAGAAGTCATAGCAAAGGTCGTAGAGAGGTCACGGAGGGTCTCGGGGTCGTCGGTGAGCAAAGAGGACAAGCCAAGTACAAGCAAGGTAAATTTAGACATGTTAATCCTTGAGCTGCTATCCGCTCCGTTCACAAGTACCCCCTCACTGGCAAAGAAAGTACAGTTGGGGGTGACCGACCGACGCCATCTTGCCTGACTGCAATTTTGCCGCTACGCGCGGCCGTACCACTGCGTGTACATAGTACAAATCCCCTGGTGTACGTGCATCACACTCAAGGAACGGTGCACGTCAACCAGCTAAATGTCCTGCCCATGGGACGTCATTGCTAGGTTAAAGGGCGCCCTCTTTGGTTGGCACACGGAGCCCATACCTTTCAAAACACTTTAAACCCTCCTAAGTGGGAAGTCAATACTCGGAACGAATTATGTAAAACCCTGCAGGTTAGTTTCAGGTGAAGGGATATGAAGTGTTCAAGTAACTGTGTCACACACAGAGAGTCACTCCACAGAAAACAGCACTGTGGAGAGCAGTGAAGCGTGACCGAATCTGCCTGCTTGCCCTGAGCTTAACCACGCAAACGAATTGTGCAGGGATTTGAAAAGTTATCCGTGCTCCACAGAAGATTAACACCACAAGTGTGGGTACGAACTCAAACTCAAAATTGCTTTTCAAAAACTCTTAACTCAAAATTAGTTTTGCAAAACTTGGAGGTTTGTGAAGTGCAGAAGACTAGAAGGGTTAACCAAACCCTCCTCAATCCTCCAAAATTCTCTTGGCGGTTTTGGAGGATTTTTGAGGATTAAGGATGAATGGTGTTTGAGAAACATGAGGATTTTGGAGGATTGAGGATGAATGGTGGTTGACCCTGAGGATTTTGGAGGATTGGAGATGAATGGTGTTTGAAGATGAGGATGATTTTGGAAGATTGAGGATGAATGCATTTTTTTGAGGCAGGACTGTCTGATGATTTTGAACGATTGAGGCGCTGGGTATCCTTCATTTGAACATGAGTGCAAAATTTTGGAGGATTTTGGAGGATTGAGGATGGTTTTTAGCAAAAAGGCCCTAGGGGGTTAGAGTTTTGCCAAGGAGAATGCCCATGTTTACTGCATGTACATTACTTCAAGGTTGAGCAGCCACACACGCCAAGAAATGCTGAGCTAATTCTATGATAAGCAAATAAACAATCACCCTCTAGATCGTCTAGATCGATTTTCCAAAAGCTTGTCTCTTAGGGAGACCCGTTAAAAGTTACAGTTCTTCAGTTTTTTCCTCAAAATCTGGTTTTTTTTCAGTGGGAGGTTGTCACAACTACCATCGTAGAGAAACCCGAAGCCCCGCCAAAAGCAGCAACTCCAACACCGGAAGTGAAAATTAAAACCGAGCCTGGGGTTGCGCCGCCCGCTCAGAAACCAGAGACCAAATTGGAGGAGAGTGGCACAACAAACAAAAACACTGAGGTCAAAGGGCAAATACAAGCTCCGACAGAGGTCACAGAGGTCGCGGCCGTGAAGGCGGAGGTCCCGAAGAAAGCGCGGCGAAACAAGCCGCACAAGAAGCACAAGCGGCACAAGGCGCGGGGCCGGGACCGGCGCTCGCGGGAGCAGAGCCGTAGCGAGCGGCGACGCGCGGCCGAGCGAGCCAAGCAGCGGCGGCTGGAGCAGAGGCAGTTGAAGGAACAGTTTGAGGCATCGGCAGCCGCGGCGCAGAAGCCAGAAGACGTGACGGAATGGACGGCTAAATATCTACCCATCACCAGTAAGTTGAACTCTAATGCTTGATTGAATCCTGTTGCTAGAAATCTGACATGTATAATTGAGATCGACCTGGTACCAGTCATTTTTATAAGCAGTATTTAACACAGGACATTTTGGTTGGTTACCCGTATTTTCTTAACCAGTCTTTAAAAGCTATGTGGAGCAACTTTCAGCACTTTTTGAAGGGGAAAATTTCAATAGCCCTGCTATGCACAGAATTCTTTGAATGTTATTCAGTCTTTACAGCGCCTGTGCAAAAAAATCTGCGCTAACCATGTAAGAACAGTATCCGCTCCGTTCACAAGTACCCCCTCACCGGCAGAGGAAGTACAGTTGGGGGTGACCGACCAACGCCATCTTGCCTGACTGCAATTCATTTGCCGCAAAGCGCGGCCACTGCGTGTACATAGTACAAATCCCCTGGTGTATGTGCGTCACACACAAGGAACGGTGCGCGTCAACCAGCGAAATGTCCCGCCCATGGGACGTCGTTGCTAGGTAAAAAGGCGCCCTCTTTGGTCGGCGCACGGAGCCCAAACTAGGTTTGATCCACAGTTATATTAAAAAGCTAGAGAGCAGACTCGCTATATGTAGACGCGCAGACAGGGACTCGCAGCGGCCATTTCCTAAGTTGGCAAAAACGCATAGAGTTGTAATTGGAACATCCTACAACGATTGTAAATACCCGGATGTACCCACTTTCAGTGCATTTTGTTTTGCCCACTTAGAATTAGGCCAAAATAAATAATAGTTCTGCTTCCGGTTTCCCTACCTACCCTATTCTATTTGTTTATGGGAAAAATGAAGAAAAAACACCCGAAACCATCAATTTCTACCTTTTACCCTTGACTACACGCGGACGCCTCCATGTGATCGTACACACACAAAATTGGCGAAAATATATATTTTTTTGGCCTTATTAACCATTTTGCACTTACCGGTACATACATGTTCAAACAAAGGATACCCACTGCCTGAGTCCTTTAAAGTCCTTCAAAAACAGCCTTGCCTCGCAAAATGCATTCAGCCTCAATCCTCCAAAATCAACCGATACTGAATGTCCCTGTGCCCTAAATCCTCCACAATCCTCCAGAATTGTATGTTGCATTCAGCCTCAATCCTCCAAAATCCTCCAAAACCACCCAGAGGACTTTGGAGGATTAAGGAAGGTTAGTGCTAATTTTTGTAACAGAGTATTTTTTTTAAAATTATATTTTGTATACATTTCATCTGTTAACAAATGTTCTTTTATTTTTTATTTTATTTTTTTAGCTGGCAAAAACGTCACCCAGTCCCCGGCCCAAAGTTCAGACGACCCCGCTGCCAAGCCAGAAGCGGTGGACTCTTCCACTACAGAGGATGGGGGTCCCCGAGACATGATCAGCTGCATCTGTCGCAACCAGGAGGAGGAAGGGTTCATGATCCAGTGCGAGACGTGCTACGGTTGGCAGCACGGCCGCTGCGTGGGGCTGACCGAGCACACCGTACCCAAGCAGTACATCTGCAGCTTTTGCATCTACCCGGAAAGTAAGTCTGTTTTCCTTGAAATGTGCGAGGGATCTTCCTGTCGAGGAGATGTTGGTTTTATTCTTCAATAGAATTTGACGAGTAGTTTTCTCTACAAAACCGGAACCTTTAAAGGGAATGTACATCATTGGCTTTCACTGTAATTTTCAGAAATGAACTATTTGAGGGGTTAGTATAATAGATCAAAATATTGTTACACTGACGTGTTTGAAGTTTTGTGTCCGAAAATGCTAAAAAAAACCAAGAAAAACAAAACTGTTCAAGTAGTCTGGTTCCCTGACTCCACTAAAGATGAAATGGATCAATTTATAGATGCCGGAAAATTGTAAGGTACCGGTAAGGGAACCTGTCTAGATGGCCTGCACTTATTCATGAACATGTAACCAATAGCAAACACAATTTGAACTGAAACAAATGGTAAATATGAAGCAGTAGTTGAACAATAATTAGGTGTTTCCAACGGTGGTCGGCCGACCACCGTTGGAAATGTATACAAAAATACCATTTTCTTGAAAATGACTTCACACCAGGTGCCGTAATTTTACAGAATGCTTGTGACTGTCACTTACCAACATCCTAGTAAGGTATTTCGTAAAAACTTGGTAGTTTTATTTTTCGATGTTTGCAAATGTTGCATATTCCCTTTAACCATCTTCTTCCATTTTACAGATCTGCGGACGCACGCCAGACACCGCTACGACCAGGAGTGGTTCCGCACAGGCAGGCTGCCTACCCTCACCCAGCCCGCGCAGCCTGAGGAGGAGTCCAGCGACCTGACCGACTCCATGCTGAAGACACACCAGCTCATGGCCGACATGATCAACGTGACAGAGGCGCTGGACGGACTGCAACGCAAACTGGAGATTCTCAAGTAAGTTAAAATTCAGTTTTCCAAAGGTTTACCACATTCTGAATAAAGTTATTCTACATGGTTTGAATGTAACTGTTTTTGAATGAACACCACTTGTTGAATTAAAAGTGTTGAATTAAAATGTTTTTAGTTGAGTTAAATTTGTGAGTTAATAAGCCGGAAGTCTAGAATTTTTTTTATCCAAAATTTGAGAAGAATCATCAATTCACAGTCTTAGTCAAGTCCTCATGAGTAGCCGAAAGTCAAATATGAGGCATCGCAAATCATCATGCCATTGTAAGTTGTCACAAGTCAATCACAAGCTAACCAGTACAAGCCAATCACAAGTCAATTTACATGTCTATAACATGCAAACACGAGTCATACCAAGCCAATCACAAGTCATCATAAGCCAATCAGAAGTCAATTACATGTCCATCACATGCAAACACAAGTCATCACAAGCCAATCACAAGTCATCACAAGCCAATCACAAGTCATCATAAGCCAATCACAAGTCATCACAAGCCAATCACAAGTCATCACAAGCCAATCACAAGTCATCACAAGCCAATCACAAGTCATCACAAGCCAATCACAAGTCAATAACATGTCTGTCACATGCAAACACAAGTCATCACAAGCCAATCACAAGCCAATCATAAGCTTATCACAATCACTTCGTCTCAAGTCAAGTGACAATCTACTGATAGGAATTGTGAAAAGGCATTAAGACTATACAATTTGCACAATTATGTTCAGGAGTGACAACCACCCCGACCTGAAGCTGTGGTCCCACCACTGGGGACTGAAGGACGAGAGCACCCCCCTGGATGACTCCGCCCACTCCCAGCAGCTCCAGACCAGCCTGGAGGAATCGGACATCCACCTAACGTCGGCCGACACAAGCGCCCTCACAGAGTCCATGCGAAGCGACGTCGTCATTGACAGCATTGCCGCGGAGGAAGTGGTCATGGAAGTCGCGGGCACGGGTACCAGTGATGCCAACGTGGAGAGTGGTAGCTCTGCTGTCGGTAACCGGCCAGATGGTGGAGTCGCTTGCGAGATGGGTCAGCCACAAGAGGGCGACAAACCAATGGACGGACCAAATTCCCCCGGCGCTTCTATCCAAACCTCGATCCCGGAAACCAGAAATCAGGACCCACAAAAGTTCGGCTCAGACTCTGTTGACACTGAAGCAAGCCCAATGGAAGTTGATACTGATAAACCACTGGAAACAAGTCTATCAATGCAAGCTACCAAATCGAAAACGGAACAAAATATCGAAGTCGGTGGCGGTGTGCCTATCGTCCCAGACAACAGCGCCCCCATGAGTTCAAAACCACAGGAATCACAAGCAGAAAGCGCACCCGCTGAAAAATCAACAGCGTGCATTGTCCCAGACCCAGAACCCTCCACCACCCAAGGAGCAAAGGGTGGGGTCACCAATGAAGGCGGGAAACCGGGGATACCGGTGCATGATGGCAAACTGGACAGTACAGCAAAGAATGTGATAAATGATAAGACCGATTTGGCGAAGAACGCACCCACCATTGACGAAAGCGGCATTCCGATTCAGACCACAGAAAAGAAAGACTCAGTTACCGGTGAACAAGGGGAACTGGGCGCACCAAAGCATCATGGGAAGGCAGACGGCGTTGCCAAGCAGCAGGCACGAACTGATGGGAATTCCTCGGATGACGAACCTCTCATCAAGTACTCCAAAAAAACAGCTACATCCAGCGAGACAGAAAGTGAAAGTACATCGACGGCTGCTAAGGTTCGTAAATGGCGCCCTCCGTTGCTCGGATTTCACTAGTTAAGTTATCCAACGCAGTTATAACTTTTGTATCTCGCACATCTGAGCCCTATGTCATGGGCCAAATTTCATAGAGCTGCTTAAGCAGAAAATTTGCTTAAGCACGAAAAAACATTGCTTAGTAAAATTAGGTTACCAGCCAAAACTCCATGTGATGTACATTGCTTGTGACTGGTATTTAGCTGTTGTTTACTTAGCATAACAATCGCATGGAGATTTGGCCGGTAACCTGATTTTATTAAGCAAGACGTTTTTGTGCTTAAGCAAATTTTGTGCTTAAGCAGCTCTATGAAATTGGCCCATGGAGTTGATTGGCAGTATATACTGCTTAGAAAATTTTGTTGGTAAGCAGGAACTGGATGGGAACCAGCCACAAGAGATATATGTCACGCAGCATTCTGGCTGGTAACCTGTTGTTGCTATACTTTACTGTGCTTAGCAGATTTATGTGCTCACCAACTTAGCACACTTTTCTGCTGACAGAAGTTTTGTCATTTTCGAAGAAATCGTCAGACGAAAAGCACACTTACGTGCGCTTTTTACACTTCATTTTCAGAATGTGCTTTAAATTACCGCGCAAGTTCATTATGCTACACTGTTATAAACATATTTTTTCTGCTATATAGTTGGTTTTACAATTTTCACAAATTTCTTCCAACTTAAACAGCCAAAATTGGTTTCGTCTCTTGCAACAGGACTATCACTTGCCTTTTTCTGTGTTGAGTAGTATTATGAAGGATAGTGCCAACAAATTGTGAGCGCTATAAACACTTTACATGTATTTTATGTTTTCTTTTGCTACAGACCACGACACCGCCTCTGCCCCAGCCAAGCCCGGCGGCAGTGCCTGTTTTGGTAGACATCTCCTCTAGTGGTCAAACCGTGCCAGCCAGCATCTGCAAGCTGAATCTCTTCAACCACATCGTGTGCGTGGAGGAGGAACTCAAACGCCGCATGGACTATGTGGAGGAACAAATTGAAGGTATGAACGACCAATTTCACAAATCTGGGCTTTGCATTCAGCTTCGGATCTCTCCCTGGCTCCAGAATCGCTCAGAGGCCTTCACTGTCCAAACCAATTATACCTCGAATTTTGATCACATAAAGGATAAATAGGATTAACCCTAACAGTCCTGAATCCTCCAATTTCAATATAATTTTGCACACCCCCTAGTGAGTTAGGGTTAAATGTTTTAGAAGCGGAAACTTGGACCCGTTTTTAAGCTGGAATCTCGAATAATGAGTCCTTAAAATCATAAATTGCTGGGGCAATTTTGGGCGGCTCAGGGAGTAACAGGCAGGGCAGTTTGGGATGGTAAAAGGGACTAGTGGTACAGCAGAATAGCGACTTGTAAACTCTCCCGGATCCGAAGCTGAAATAAACCCTAGGTTTAGACAAAGCCACACTACTCCCCATAGACTGTGTGCTGACCCATTTAGGACACTTTATCAACTATCCGGCCAAATTCACATGCAGTAGACCTTTATTGTGCTGCCGCCATTCCAGTCATGTTCCCTGTATCCGATAACAGTACTGAATGATAATGTTTTTTGTGCAAAACGGAACCAGACTATTTTTCCTTCCAGCCTCGTTTTGGTTACGCTGATTTGAATGGGAAACAAAATCAAGATGGCCGCAACATGATTATGGTCTATTTTATCAAGAGAGCCCACTGGCAAAATAAAAATGATAATGTACATAATAAACAATGCAAGCACTTCACTTCGGCTGTAATGAGCCGGAAGTCGTGAAATGAAGTCCAACCAAGAATTTTTTTTTTTCCAGCACTTAGTTCATTGTGCTTTACTAAAATTGTTGAAGTAAAAAAAGTTACATTAGGCCAAAAAAATAAATAAGTCAGTCTCTGGTCAGCGCGCGCATCGATCTTTTTTTTTCCAAAATGTTCCGCGGTAGCTCCAACAGCGCCCTCTATTTCCGCACCTCCTCAATTTTTTTTACCAAAGAGCACCAAGGAATGGGAAATTGCACCAAGGCAAATGGTCGAAAGCCCGCGTGGCCGCGTCAATTCCGGAACTTTGGTCTGACCAGAGACCAAATATATATTTTTTTTGGCCTTAAAGTGTTACCCACTCTGATCCATATAATATTCATGAAAAAAAGTAAGACTGCTGCAAACTGCTTACTGACTGGGTGGACCTGAAATATATAAATCTTAAAATTAATGTGGCCTGACGTTGCGAACTTAGCAAGTTCTTCTTCAGAGGCTAAAACAGAAATGACAGAGGCACATACATTAACAAGGGGGTGCACACAAACATGCAGGGCTGAAAGAAGAAACACAAAAGGAGGATTAGGTGTGAAAGGTGTGGAAAGATGCAGGGGAGGGTGGATGAGAGAACAAAGAAACAAAGGGAGATGGCAAACCACAAGGGGTCTGGTGTGAACAGGGGAGGGACCAGAAAGGGGAAGGATCAAAGGTCACAGGGAGTGGGAACGGACAAAAGAGTGTGGGAGTATAATATTCATTTGATGTTTGTTTTAAGAGTTCATCATCCAGATTAACACTAAAATAGCTGTTCAGTTTTCAAACTGTATAATGTTTCCATTTTCAGCACTGGAGCTCGCATTCAACCAATCAGCTGGCAGCAAGGATTCACCTTACGTCCCACCAGACTCCCTGAAGATGAAACAAACCATCAGCACCCTCATGGTCGATCTCGAGCGAGTCAACAAACTGGTATCGATTTGAAAAAAAAAAAAAGACTGTTCCTTTGGGTTAAGCAGAAGAAATTTACAAGCAAAAGAGACTAGACAAGTCTAGTAAAACTGGTCCAGACCAGTTTGGTCCTAGGGATCTAGGTAGTCGAGTGAAAATTTTAGGCCGGGGGAGACTTATACAAGTCTAATTCACAAGCGACAGTGAGTCGGTGAGATATGTACAAAGAGAACTGTAGGCCAGCCCTCTGGGACCAGCAAAGTGAAACATTTGGGCTAACGTGAGACTTATGCAAGTTTATTTCACAAGTGACAGTCAGTTAGCCAGTCAGCCAGTCAGGTACACAAAGTGATGTAGGCTCGCCCTTTCTGGGACTAGGAAAAACACTACAATCAGTTCAGCTCCTACATCAGAAGACAGATTACAGTTGGTCACTGGACGTTTTACCTACTATTTACCATTTTTGTGCATACAATTTAGAACTGTTTGTTGGTTGTGCTTCATCTTTTGCCAGAGCAGTTTTTGTATCAATATTTTCACCCTCCATATATTTAATAGTCACATCAGCTGTAAATGTCATATTTCAAAGTCATACATGAACAGAAAGACAATGTATTCATTGTATGTTTTATTGAAACAAATATTTATTTGGTTGTTCCAGGCGTTGGTCATACTAAAAAAATACTGTCATGTCATTAATATTCATCATGGGAGCATAGATATATGAATATGCATGAGGCTGCTTTGAATAGATTCAACACATTATTACCAAAATGAACATTAACAAGTCAAGTATCTTTTACAGAGACAAAACAGTTGTAATTATCCTGAAATATTTAACAGATCTGATTTTTGTTGTGCGGCTTTTCAGTTTCAGGAATATAGAAAAAAGTCCCCTGAACTACCAATGGAACATTCCAGATTTGGTTATAAGCCCCGCCCACCCTTGGTTTGTCCATGGTGACCTGATTGAAAGTCTTGACCTGATTGGTCAATGCACACGGTTTGATTGACAGACAGGAAGGGTCCATTGATACACAAAATTCAAAACAGAAAACTCTCAGAAAGTTTGTTATACCGTATTTAGACAAGTTTAGGTACAGCTTATCTTTACCACTTACGATGTTCTTGCAGATCTATGCATGTATACGAAAACGTTGAATGCTCTATGTACCGACACCCCTATGTTCCGACGACCTGCACATAAGATTGTGTTACTCCCGGTTAGGGTTAGGGATAGGAATATGTGCAGTCAAAACATAGGGGTGTCCGAACATAGGTGTGTCGGAACATTGGTGTGTCTTACCCACAAAAACTATGTTATTTACAAGTAGTTGTTCACTCAAGTTATTTGAAAGTTTACATGTAAATATTTAAAAAGGTGTTAATTTCTTGTTTTGGGGATATGGAGTAATATACAGGTAAATATGAGCATTAGGTTTTTGTAAAATACATGATATACATGTAATGTACAATCATGGTAATAACAAGGGGTTCAATAAAAAGACTTTGTTCTTTCGAAAACAAATAGTCTAAATTTGTTCTTATTGACTGTGATATGTGGTTATTTATCATGTGACCCACACGTGACAATGCCTTACTTTGCATTCCAACTCATGCAAATTTTCCACTTTTTTTATCAATGAAAGTATCAGAAATGTTGCTAATGGTAAAAGCCCCATGCTGAATGATTTCAATGTTTCACCTTAAAACCTACTTTTAAAATGCCACAAGCTGACAAAAAGCTGCATCCCGAAATTAAACAAAATTGCATCAACATGGCCAATGAATCTGGCAAGCACAACGAGTAAAAACGAGTCATTTCAAAATATGAGAAAAAGCAAGATGTATAATTCTGTCTAGAAAGATGCAGCAAAACGCAACAAAGTTTTATGCGTACGAACATAAAAGCTTGCTTATTGAGAAAATCTTGTCATAGTTTTAGCACAGGTCTTTTATGTTCCCCTTCAAATTAACTCCAGTAATAATATCTTAAAACGGATAGAAAAATGTACCCTGATTTAGGGTACCGTATACTTCCCAATCTTTCCTGTAGGACACCAAAACAAAATACACCAGATTCAGTGTTATAATATACCCTGATCTAGGGTCATGTATCCTTCCCCAAATCAACTCTCATTTTATCTTAAACGGGATAGAAAAATGTACCCTGATCTAGGGTAGTGTATATACTTCCCAATTACAATATCTTTCTTATAGGATATCAAAACAAAATACACAAAATTCTGGGTATTATTTGCGTTTCACGATAACTTTCCTTCCCTTTAACTACTCTCATTGGGGAGTAATTACCCCAATTGGGTATGAGAATATACCCAATTACAGGAAAATATACCCAATACAGGGTAATATTTATTCTCTTCCCTTTACATGTAACCCGTGCTGAGGCTGTAGCTAGGCGGCGGTGAGTCGCTGTAGGCTGGTGGTAGCTCTGGCTCGTTTGCATGGCTTTCATCTGGGCTCCTTAAATAATCTGTCAGAAAACGGGGGAAAATGTGTTTAAAAAAATTAAGATTAAAGTGTAAGTTTGTACTTATGTTCATTTTAATAGGAAACATCTGGGTCAAATTGCAACTTTTCCCATGATGCACTGCGGTGATTGTAAAATTTGCGCGCCAACGCGGCAGCTTTTTTGTACAGCGTGAATGGAACGGATTTGGCTTAAGCTCCGCCCACATTTCCTCAGTGTTGCGACCGCAACCTCGTCCCCAGGGTGTCGAGCAGTACATGCCCACCACTACCTGCTCTCTCTATTGGAAACAAGGGTGGAAATAAAGTAAGCACTGGGGACGAAGTTGTTGCGACCGAGTTTGACAATTGTGGTCACGTGACTAAAAGTCGTGATCTAATTGGTCACTGTGCCGTGCGTGATATGCAGGCAGGATCCATTTTGCATAGGTAACTTTCTATTACATGTATTTGACTTACCGCTGACACTGTTGGGATGTGCAGGCTGTGTGTCCCCGGGTGCGCTCTGCAGTGGCACAATGCCCTGGGCACGGTATGCGGGTACCTGCCGTTGCTGTAGCATCGTAAACTGCTGCTGCTGCCGTTGCTGATGCTGGTATGGCATGGGTGGCTGCATGTTGTGGGTGTGTGGAGATGCGTAACGGACTGGAGTTGTAACCTGAACCTACACAATGTGTATAGGTAAGGACAAGTCATATCTATTTATTGGAGCTCAACCACTGGCATTTTTGTATGGTGTAAGGTGTTTTCAGTCGCTACAGGCTAGGCCTACTTCCGCCGGCCGTTGCTTAAACGCGGGTTAACATCGCTGCCTGTTTGATAGTACGACTGCCTATTTTGGCGCATATTCCTTCGCCGTAAGGCCAAGTAAGTTCTCGTCTCCGGCTTCCCGCGTTTCCTTTTTCTCGCCGGCGTCTGTATTTTTCCTGTTTCTAATCATAGTAGGGCCTATAGTGCACATCATTAATTGCTAGGCTATATATATTTTGTCCTATATTTGTTTGAAAGTAAACTTGAAGCCATGCATGTGTGCAAGTTCAAAAAACGGTAGAAACATTAATGGCGGCTTGTTATGTTCACCCCTGGCAGTGTGAGTTGCGATATCGTAGTATTGCGCCCTCTCGTGGTCATTGTAGTTTTTCGCTCAAGTTACACAATTGTTCAGTCACGCCAAGTTTTAGTCCATTTTAGTGCCCATTTTTCCATCTTTTTGAGACCACTCTATACCGATAGCCTTACACCAGAAGACCACTGGTGAGTTTAAGATTCCATTTATACTTGTGTCAGTGATTATTGATTGTTATTTGATGAGTAATTTGTATCGTAATTTTCAGTCACATTTTGCCACCATGATTTTCTGTATCGTATCGATAATTTTCTTGTGCCTTGCGAAAACTTTCCCTGATTTTGTGCCTTAGAATTTCCCTCAATATCGAGGCCGGTTTCTCAGATGAACTGACTGAAATGTTCAGTATTGTTTTCTGGTCAAGAAACAGTGGATATTTGGTCATTTTATGTTTTCATATCGACGATGTTGGAATGTTATATAAGGTTAGGAACTTAGTTTTGTGTGCACACGAGGCCTGCCTAAGCACATGCTCTCGCCATTTTTTCCGATGTTATGAATATTCATGAGCTGGATTCCATATTTGGGATGAGCGTATCCTTATTTGGAAATTGCAGTAGTGCTGCAAGGTTTACAGTGTATTTAGGAACTATGCAATTTTTCTTTGTTTTAGGTTGATGATTTCAGTATTCCAGACCCATAGGAAGTTTGAGGATACTTCATCTTTTGGAGAGCACAGTTCTGTAGGTTAATTTTCATAGATTATCTAATGTGAATGTACTATCCCTTGGAATTTTTGAGATGATATTATGCACTTACCTTTGTGATGTTTCCTATACATGTATCAGTTCGACATATTACTTTTTGATCTTTCAATATTTCATTTATATTTTTATGTCTGGTAGTGTTAAATCTCTTGCCAACCTGTGTAAATTTGTGCACATTGTTAATTGTACTTAGTGTATTTTCCTTGTATTTCTTGCTTTCAGTTTTACCTCATGTGGTCCACCCACGACACAGGAATGAGAATAAAGCAGTCAAAGTTCACAAATCCTGTATTAGTCAGAGGTTAACTTGTCGGAGAGAGGGCGCCCTCGGCGCTCCATGTTCGTCATAGTAAAAAGAACTATTCAAGATGATCGAAGTACTTGACTCAGACGACGCAAACAGTGCCAGTTCTCAACGAACACGGGCATCACACAAAACCAGCAGAAGTTCCCTGAAGTCAAACATGAGCTCAGCAGCCATTCTGGCTCGTGCTAAAGCCAAGTCGTTGAAAGCAAAGGTGGAATTCACCCAGAAAGAGGCAGGTCTTCGTCGGCAAGAACAAGACGTTGCCAATGCTCTTCTTCTATTGAGTGCAGAAAAGGAGTATGCAATGGCAGAAGCAGAAGCAGAATTTTTAGAGTCAGTCGCCTTGAAGGAAGGTTCGGCCAGTATCCAAGAAGATTTGCAGTTGCCAGTCGTTGACTCCGCTGTCCGCACCAGCGACTATATATCCCACCACTTTAAGGAACCTGAGACAGAGTTGCCTGAAAAAGAAAAACCAGCAATCAAGATCGAAGAAAAGTCCCCACCAGAAGTTCAGCCTGTGATACGAGTCAAAAAGGATGATGCTGAAACCAAGCCAGCACTGCCGTCACAGTATATCCCCAAAGATGGCAAGCTACCGGAACCCCCTAGCCCACCCATCAAGGAGAGTCTCAACTCCATCAGTAACATGTTGGTGAAGAAAGAGCTGGTAAAGAGTGGAATCAGAAAATTCAAATGCAGTGCGGGCAACTACCGGGCCTGGAAGTGCAGCTTCCAACAAGCAACGAAGGACCTTGAGCTTAAACCATATGAGGAGTTAAACCTGGTCCTGGGTTCCCTTGAGGGCGAGACAGAATCGTTCGTCCAAAGGATCTATTCCATCCACATTGACAGACCAGAAGAGGGCCTCAAGCGAACCTGGGAGTATCTGGAGCAAAAACATGGCTCCCCTGAGGCAGTGGAACGAGAACTCACAGGCCGACTAGAGCAGTTCCAAAAGATCTCGCCAAAGGGCAGCACCAAGCTGGAAGAGTTCGGATATCTTCTCCTTGAGGTCCAATACCTGAAGGAGTCAGAGAAGTTTCCAGGGTTGCTGGCGTTGGATTCCTCGAGAGGATTGCAGCCCCTAGTGCAGAAATTGCCAGAGTGGCTTCAGAACAAGTGGCGAGAGAAGGGGTCAGAATACAAGAAGAAGCATGCAGTCCTCTTCCCGCCTTTTGAGGAATTTGTAAAGTTCATCCAGCACCATGCCAGAGTGCAAAGCGACCCGAGCTTCCAGTTTACTGATGCTGTCAAGAGTGCAGCTGAACGCTCTTCGTCAAGGCCTTCTTTCACAGTAAGAAAGACGGGGGTGGAGGAAGGGTCTGCAGCAAAGGAGACATCCCGTTGCCCGGTACACAACACAGCACACAAGCTGCAGGATTGCCGGGTCTTCTGTCAGAAATCCATAGATGAGAAGATATCATTTGTGAAAGAGAATCGCCTGTGTTTCCGATGTTTGAGGGCCAACCACATCATTAAGAACTGTAAGACCCCAGTGAGATGCGACATCTGTGGCAAGTCCCATGTCACAGTCATGCACAGGCCTGCACCCAGTCAAGAAGTTCCACCAGCGTCAAATCAGACACCCCCTACCATGAAGTATGACAACCGGCCCCAGATAATCGTCACACCTAAATGCACCAGAGTATGTGGCAACGGTAAAGAAGGCCGGTCATGCGCCAAAATTTGTTTGGCAAAAGCCTACCTGGAAGAAAAGCCGGACCATGTTATCACCACATACGTCATCATCGACGACCAGAGTGATGGTTCCCTCATCAACGAAAATCTTCTTGAGAGATTAGGAGTCGAACAGAATAAGTCAACGTATGCTGTCAAGACGGTTAATGGCCTCCAGGAAGTCCATGGTAGAAAACTTTCTGGCCTAGTCATCGAGAGCATGGACGGCACAGTTTCCGCTCCAACGCCTACACTGTTCGAGTGCAACAACATTCCTGGAGATGTGGCGGAGATACCCACACCGGAGGTGGCAGCAGCCTTTGATCACCTAAAGCCAATTGCCCCGATGATACCACCCCTGAACAAAGATGCCGAAATAGCAGTGCTACTTGGCAGAGATGCTCTGCAGTTCCACAAAGTGAGAGAGGTGATCAACGGCAAAGATGACCAGCCATGGGCACACCGTCTCGATCTAGGCTGGGTCGTTGTCGGCGAGGTTTGTTTGAACGGTGCCCACATCCGGACAGACATCTCCTACCTGCAGCAAGACGTAATCAGCACCTACTTTACGCAGGTCTTGAGAAACGGTCGCCATTCCGCCCAATTCCAGCCATGTGACAAGGCAGTGAAGGTCTTTCATACCAGGCCTAAAGCAGCTGAATTGGGGGAAGAAGTGTTCATCAGCACTAGTGCTGATGAACGTCTTGGGCCATCCTCCGACGACAGAGAGTTCATGGAGCTGATCGCTGGCAAGATGAAGAAAGATCAAGATGGGAACTGGTGCCCACCTTTGCCCCTCAGAAAGAATAGAAGAAGACTGCCAAACAACAAGACCCAAGCGGTATCCAGGATGAAAGCCCTGGCCAGCTCCCTGGCTAAGGATGAAAAGAAAAGGCAGCACTACATTGAGTTCATGAGAAAGATTCTGGAGAAGGGACTTGCTAAGCAGGTTCTGGATGAGGCGACTAGTGCTAGTGAAGAAGTTTGGTACCTCCCACACTTCGGAGTATACCACCCCCAGAAGCCTGACAAGCTGAGGGTGGTGTTCGACTCAAGTGCCGTCTTCTCAGGCGTTTCCCTGAATGATGTCTTGTTAAGTGGACCTGATATGATGAACCAGCTCCTGGGCGTCCTGATCAGGTTCCGAGAGGAGCCAGTTGCAGTCACCGCAGACATCGAGCAGATGTTTTATGCTTTCAGAGTCCGAGAAGACCACACAAGATTCCTACGTTTCCTGTGGTATGAGGACAACAACCCGAATGCAGCCATTGTCACTTACTGCATGACAGTGCATGTCTTTGGCAACAAGCCATCCCCTGCTGTGGCCATCAGTGGCCTAAGAAAGACCGCTGAAGAAGGTGAAGCAGAGTTTGGCACCGATGTGAGGGAGCTGATAGAAAGAAATTTCTACATGGACGACCTTCTGAAGTCTTTTCCAACCAAGGAAGAGGCAGTCGACATGCTGAAGAGAACGAAGGATCTCCTGTCCACTGCGAATATCCGTCTGCACAAGTTCGCTTCCAGCGATGCTGGTGTCCTGGCAGCATTTGAGCCAAGCGAGTTGGCCCCGAACCTGGCTGAAGCTGACCTCTCCAACAAAGATGAAAGCACCATACGGCGTACATTGGGAGTATCCTGGGATTTAGAGGCAGACTCCTTTACTTTCCAAATAGCAGAACCGAATGCCAACGCATGTACCAAGAGGACAGTGTTGTCGGAAGTCAATGGAGTCTTTGACCCGATTGGGTTGGCAGCACCTGTGATCATCAAGGGGAAGATGCTGCTGCGAGAGATGACTCGAGATGGCGGTGGCTGGGATGATCCACTTCCAAAGGACCTGCTCCAAGACTGGGTGATGTGGAGAAAGTCCCTGATCGCCTTGACAGATGTGCGAGTTCCACGCTCATTTGCGCCATTCTCAACCACAGAAGTAGTGAGAAGAGAACTACATACTTTTGGGGACTCTTCAAACAAGGCCATAGGCGCAGTCTGCTACTTGAGGACGGTTGGCAGCAACGATGAAGTCCATGTCCAGTTGGTGATGGGTAAAGCAAAGCTCGCACCTAAGGCAGCCGTCACCATCCCACGCCTTGAGCTCTGTGCATCAGTTCTGGCCACAGAAATGGAAGACTACGTCACCCAGGAACTACAGATTAAAGTTGACGAATCAAACTTCTACACTGATAGCAAAGTAGTCCTGGGGTACATCACCAACAGAAAACGTCGCTTCCGCACTTATGTGTGCAACCGAGTAAACAGGTTACTCAAAACCTCCGAGCCTGAGCAGTGGGCGTATGTCCCATCAGAGAGAAACCCAGCTGACCTAGCTTTGAGGTCCATTCTGGCAGCAGAGTTAAGTGGTTCCATGTGGATTGCCGGACCAGAGTTCCTGAGGCTAAAGGACCTGCCCTCGAGCCACAAGCAGAGAGAGATAGAAATACTTCAGGATGACCCAGAAGTGTCTCCAGAGAAGATAAGCTGCAACAAGATTGTCTTGCCCGATGCATCCTTCGGCAGTGAGAGGTTCACCAGATTCTCAAGTTGGGATTCAGCAATGAGAGCCACTACAAACTTGTTCCACATTGCCAACTCATTCAGAGCAGAATTTGACTGCAAGGGTTGGCATGTCTGTGAGAAGGCGAAGTCCATCAGAGAGTGTCTCAAAGCCGAGACCGTCATAATAAAGAGTGTGCAGAGTGAAGCCTTTGCTACCGAGTTAGCCGAATTAAGAAGTGGGAAGTTGACCAAGAAGAACAAGCTGGCTTCGCTCAACCCCTACCTTGACAGCAACAGGGTACTCAGAGGCAGATTGCAGAAAGCTCAACTGTCAGAGAGAGCAACACACCCAGCTGTACTACCAAAAAACAACAACTATGTCACAAAGCTCATCATCAAGCACTTCCATCAGCAGTGCAGCCACCAAGGTCGACACATTACCTTGGGTACAATAAGGAACGAAGGCTACTGGGTTCTTGATGGCCAGAGGCACATCAGGAAAGCCAGCGTGGAGATGGTAGCCGCGGACCAGAGGAGCCTGTTTCTACAACCAGCCCGTGAGTTGACGAAGAAGACGTTGTTGCGGCCAATAAGCGACTTGGTTCTTCTGATTCCCTCGGAGTGACTGATCACCATGGTCCAGCGGAAATCATGAAGCTTGGACTCTACCAGATGCTGCTTAGACATGTAGGCACCGCGTTTAAAGTGTTTACTCGCTGTTTTCAAATTTACTGCAGTTCTGCTTGTTATTAACCGTTTTTACTGTTTTAGTGTAACCTTATTACATGTATTGTATTGTATTCACATTGTGATGATGGTATCACCACGGGGGGAGTGTTATGTTCACCCCTGGCAGTGTGAGTTGCGATATCGTAGTATTGCGCCCTCTCGTGGTCATTGTAGTTTTTCGCTCAAGTTACACAATTGTTCAGTCACGCCAAGTTTTAGTCCATTTTAGTGCCCATTTTTCCATCTTTTTGAGACCACTCTATACCGATAGCCTTACACCAGAAGACCACTGGTGAGTTTAAGATTCCATTTATACTTGTGTCAGTGATTATTGATTGTTATTTGATGAGTAATTTGTATCGTAATTTTCAGTCACATTTTGCCACCATGATTTTCTGTATCGTATCGATAATTTTCTTGTGCCTTGCGAAAACTTTCCCTGATTTTGTGCCTTAGAATTTCCCTCAATATCGAGGCCGGTTTCTCAGATGAACTGACTGAAATGTTCAGTATTGTTTTCTGGTCAAGAAACAGTGGATATTTGGTCATTTTATGTTTTCATATCGACGATGTTGGAATGTTATATAAGGTTAGGAACTTAGTTTTGTGTGCACACGAGGCCTGCCTAAGCACATGCTCTCGCCATTTTTTCCGATGTTATGAATATTCATGAGCTGGATTCCATATTTGGGATGAGCGTATCCTTATTTGGAAATTGCAGTAGTGCTGCAAGGTTTACAGTGTATTTAGGAACTATGCAATTTTTCTTTGTTTTAGGTTGATGATTTCAGTATTCCAGACCCATAGGAAGTTTGAGGATACTTCATCTTTTGGAGAGCACAGTTCTGTAGGTTAATTTTCATAGATTATCTAATGTGAATGTACTATCCCTTGGAATTTTTGAGATGATATTATGCACTTACCTTTGTGATGTTTCCTATACATGTATCAGTTCGACATATTACTTTTTGATCTTTCAATATTTCATTTATATTTTTATGTCTGGTAGTGTTAAATCTCTTGCCAACCTGTGTAAATTTGTGCACATTGTTAATTGTACTTAGTGTATTTTCCTTGTATTTCTTGCTTTCAGTTTTACCTCATGTGGTCCACCCACGACACAGGAATGAGAATAAAGCAGTCAAAGTTCACAAATCCTGTATTAGTCAGAGGTTAACTTGTCGGAGAGAGGGCGCCCTCGGCGCTCCATGTTCGTCATACGGCTCATTCGGACGCAAGCATCAGCAACATTCGGGAAAAATAGAAGAATGCATCCGCCATTTTGGAAAATGTCATGTTCTGAGTTCGGTGTCCTGGTGTCATCATGGTTTTCGAAGGGTTATATAACGGGAAAATTATTGTCACCGCAGCTTGTGCAATATAACAGTCCAATTACTACAAATGGACGCGGAACAACGCGCAAAATCCGAGACAAACAAAACTCTGAACGTGAATTCCATAGGGTGTCTATATGTTATTTTCTACGATCCAAATTCGTCCTGATACGCTACTGTAGTCATGCACGGAACATCATGGTCCGGTACCGTACGTAGGCCGTAGTCACTGGTTCCTGGCCCACATCATAATAGCTTCGATTCTGTGAGCATGCGATGGGAACCAACGAATACTGATGGCACTGCTGCCGCACGGAACATCGTACAGCGGCATGGCTTCGACGACGTGCATCACAAATGCGTCAGAATTATAGGCCCTTTCGTCAAGATTTAGCGTGTCAAGATGAAATAATATCGTGTAAACGATTATGTTATGCATGCAAATGGCGTGTGTAATATTACTGAGCGTATCGGTGGCTGAAAATGTGATCGGCAATTTGTTTTCTGCGTACGGTGAGTCATTATACTGACACTGTGACAGCTCGGTTACTTCTCCCACGCGGTCGGGGTAAAATTTCCCGTGTCGAAAGTCCAAGTGCGGACAGTGGTCACATTTGACCATTTTTCATTTTACCAACGTCTCGGTAAAACCTTCCAAAAAAAAAGTCCAGTGCGGACACGGCTTAAGGGGCAAGGCTTACTCGCAAACGGCAATAGGTCAGATACGCATGAGTGGACACTATATGTGCTTTCATAACTCCAAAATTAAATTTAATGAAAACAACCCTCATTATTCTAGAATCCTTACCGCTTGATTTGGCTTGTTGCAGCAAGCGCATCGGTATTTGCAACAGAAGGCAGACTGCGTAATTGCAACCAATACCTCTGTGAACGCAACAAAGGCAAGTATGGCGTCCATTATCGTGTTACCAACCTGCCAATGACAATGAAAAAGATATTCCATGAATATGTTACAGTACTACCTAAGTCTCCACCTTTGTCCAAAGTAAATCTGGGCGAGGCGAGTAAAAAAAACCACGAAACCCAAACGTCGGGACCATTGTTTTAGTGAAGTTCTGCATGTAGCACTTTCAAAATCTAGGATCTGAAAGCCCAATTCATAAGCTTTCTATATCAGTACAAGAATCATTCAAACCACTCATGTACTTTTCATGGTTACGGAATTTTAAACACAACCACCGTTTTAAAGTTCTGTCCAATGTGTTTGTAAGGATATATTATTATCTACTCTGTACTCACATTCAGGACCGGATAGTACGAATAGTAATCGTACTCACTGGTAGCTGCGATACACGACATAATAAAGCTAGTGCCTGCTGCTAATGACGAGAGGATAGACATGGTCATGCAGGAGGTTATCTGCGGAGAGATATAGGAATTAGTATACAATATAACATGGAATCCTTGCGCGCGCGCTTGGTAAAAAGGCAGCAAAAATAACATGGCACGTCACGCCTATGGATGGTGAATTGACCAGTGAGAGTTCGGCTCTCGATCAAAAATATTCATTGTCGTCAACATCGATGCTTTCTCTGCGAAATCAAGGACATCATTATCTGTTCAAGATGGAATTTTGCGTCGAGGTGATGTAAATGAAAAAAAAAACACTGTATACTCAGTGATTACATCAGATTCGAACCAGCTAACAGATCTCGTTAGCTCAGTGGTCGAGTGGTAAGACATCTGCACTCGAAAACAGGAGGTCGTGGGTTCGAGTCCCACCCACCGAGTGAGTTTTTTTCTCCAACTTTCACTCGGAAGGTAAACTGAGTATACAGTGTTTATACGTCGGTGAAGGGCAAAACCAAATTTGATTGACATCAGTCATCGACAACACCATAATGCTTGTTTTTTTTGGAAACCATGACAATTAAGATATTTTAGTGACTTGAAAAATAGTGATGTTTGTATAGTGAGTATCATCGCGACATAAATTTGTTTAGCCTTATATATCATGATACGAACGATGCTTTAGGCTGCATGGTAAAGAGTTCGATCTTATTTTTGTTAGTTGTTTCCTAACTAAGTATGGCGTTTTTTTAGTTACAACCGTCCCGGTTAATTTGTCTGCTGTGTAACTTGTGCCGTATGCCCGATATGCGTTTGTTGTGTTTGCATTGTTTTTTATCTGAACATTTTATCTTTGAAACGTCCAATAAATAGTTATACTGAAAACGACATTTGACACTCACCACACAATTCTGCATGTTCGTTGGCTTTGTGGACAAAACACCTAGTATTCCGGCCGGTAGGTAAAACTGAGAATGTAAAACAAATCATTAAAGGAAAACTGGTTCACTGATGATAATGTACGGTTCACAGCAAAACATAGTATAATGGTGGAGTTTTTACTTGAGCTATATCAGTGGCTTTAATGATGGAGTACCGTGGCCTCGTGATTTGGAAAATTGAATTCTGCAGGTTCGAGTCCAGCCTGAGGTTATGGTGAGTGGGCCCGGACCTTGGTCAAGGCATTGTCACTCATTGCTTCATGTGTTAATGAAAAGATCCAAAAGCCGCAGCCAGTAAAGTACCAGATTCATGTACCAAGTCCTAGTATACATGATAAACATTTGAAGTAACTTACACAGATACCACCCCAGATTGGTACGCCAATGGCCGCTCCCCATGCGCCAATGGCAGCCGTGATGATACCGAGCACCAACGACACGATGGCGAGGACGATCTGCAGGATGCCCAGGGACTTGGCCGTTTTTGCCCGATATCGTCTCGCCGGCGACGGAGGGACGACTTGGCCGAGACATGCGGCTGCCTGCCGGGGCGAGAGTTGGGCCTGGTACGGTTGTACCCGGATGCTCCGTTGGCTTGAAGTTGTTGTTGTTGCTGTCGCAGTTGCTGTTGCTCCAACTGCAACTGGTACTGCTGCTGCTGCAGTTGTTGCATCCTTAGTTGATACTGTTGTTGCTGTCGTTGCTGCAATTGCTGCTGTTGGTCGAACTGATACGGGGGCGGGGCCTGTTGGTGTGTGGGCGGGGCCTGTTGGTGTGTGGGCGGAGCCTGTTGGTGTGTGGGCGGAGCCTGTTGGTGTGTTGGCGGGGCATGTTGGTTGGTAGGCGTAACTTGCCGATTCTGCTCGAGTCTGGCAGTCTGTTCGATTCTCGCGTCTCTTTTGATCATCTTTGCCGTGTCCACTCCGTGCTTATAATGGAACAATCCCTTAAAAAGCAATTAACGCACGATAAAGAATATTCGTAGAATTGACATGTCTGAACTCACGGAGGAGTGTTACTTAGATGTTTGAATGTTAATGTAATACTTTTGTGTCTACATATGTGATGTTATTGATTGATTGGTAAAAAGATAAATTTAAACTGTTAATTTTCAACCAGACCTCACTTACACCCATGAAGTATCACTGCGTGATTCGTAATTTAACTTAGATGAACCCAACGTTTTTATAGATCATTTACTTCAAGGCCCCTTATGTCATAATATTACAGTTTCTAATGCTGCCAATGAAGTATAAAAAGACGTCATTCTAAAATACCTAATTGCAGGTACAGTGACAATTAATACTTGCACGGGGGAAAAATCAACACATGAGTTCGAGAGTAGAAAAACCCAATCCTACTGAAAATTGAAAAAGAAATCTTCGCCATTGAACGACAAATTACTTTGACTTTGGAAACGAGTGATTTTCCTTCATTTTTTATTCTTCTTAAATTGTCCCTTTTCAAACGAATCCCGAACTGCTTTTAATAAAAACACATTGCTGTCACTTACCTTATATTTTTAAACGTCTGAGACTCAGGAGAACTTTTCAAAGCCTAGAATATTCCCAATCCTGGATTGAAGGAACTTATACCTTTCAGTCTTTGTGGAAGTAAAAAATACGCTAGATATATCCTGTAATAACTTGGTAATTCATACGCATTCGAACCGCACAGTATGATAAAAACCACACAGAAACGGCGGACTTTGCACCACTCATCACCGGTCACAAGTTTTCGTGTCACGCACAGGCCACTTTTAGGTCGCAATGTAAAACTGCCTCTCTGTATCCAGTATCGAAATAATCATGATTTAATGGCACGGTATGCTTGTGTAGCAGATAGTCCAAAGTTTGACAAGATATCTGCATGCCTATAAAACTATTCTGACACTAAGCAGAAATCATTGAGAAATAAAGGGTTACAGATATGAAACGCAAGTTTTCGAGCATAAACAAGCTAAAATTCATAGCGAGCATTTTCGAAAATCCGTTCCTGAAAGTAACTAATACACAGGGTGTCCCCCAAAAATGTGTGCCAGCAGATGTCCTTTTAAAACTACTCAACATGAGTATTTCATCTTGATGGTGACATTATGCATGACAGCTACTTTGAGTGGCAATGTGGAAACGAACGAAACATCTACCATCGATGGTCTCCTTTTAACAAAAAAGAGAGAAATTTCACCTAAGACAATTGCACATTATGGTACATGTATAACAAAAGGGGCATCAGGCGCGGATCCAGAGGGGAGTTTTGGGGTCATCCCCCCAGCTCTGTCCAAAAAAAAAATCCATAGAAATTCATGAACAAAATTGCGAACCCCCCCCCCCCCCCCCCTCCGACACCAATTTTTTTTAATAATGTAATAATGTCCGCCTTGCACAAAATACGTACAGAGTCAGCTTGGCTACGGGGTATACGTACATTATTCTGTGCTATATATTACCCCCCCCCCGCCCCCCCCCGCCCCCCCCCCCCACCTTTTGACTTTCAGGCGGAGGCAAAGTGTCCCGAGAAAAAAAGGGTCTACATTTCAGAAATTTTTTTGCCGATGAACCCCCCCCCCCCCCGCGAAAATTCCTGGATCCGCCCCTGGGCATAGCTTCAGTTCTGGTCATGGATTATCAAACATACAGACACATTTTGAGGCAAAGGTAAAACGCAAACGATTCTTTATTTTATTTTAGTTTTGATAAATTTGCTTCCCCGCGCAATTTTTTTTCTCGCAAAGAACAAAAATATACATGAACCTTATAATTGTGTCTAATCGTTCCAGAACAATATTATACAAACGTCTTTTGGTGGACACAAAAAGCAGTGTATACAAAAGTATTGTATACTTGCCTGACAAAATTCATATAACTTTCTTATTAGAATATCTGTATCAACATTTTTTTTGACAGTCCTTTTTTTACAGCACACACTGAACAAAATATTAACTTTGCACTAAAAATTTCAGTTACTTACTATATACGTTTCTCAAACCAAGATTCACAGAAGCCTGTACTTAGACATTCAAGTTTATCTATTAGGAATATTTACTAAAATAAATATAAATACTATTTTCTCTTATTTCCTTAATATCACTTCTCTCTTTTAATGTGTATGGTCTTTTCAAAAATTATTATCATAAGCTTTGCAGATGCAACCTATTTTACACTAGGATTCGCCAGTTAATCCAGAAACCTTTTACAAATAATATAATTGAAGGTATTATTATTTTTACACGTTCTGATATAATTCAACAGTATTTAAACACCAAATTGAAGCATTAATGTACCCTTATCTAATAGGCATGATATCCTTCTATATCAACACACTGTATTTATTTAATTGAAGGTATTATTATTTTTTACATGTTCCGATATAATTCAACAGTATTTAAACACCAAATTGAAGCATAAATGTACCTTTATCTAATAGACATAATATCCTTCTATATCAACACAATGTTTCTATATTATGTTTAAAAATATTTGCTCTTTTTTACATTTTATTTACAGCTTTTAGTTGCACTTTATCAAAGAATCTGATTATTTTCTTCATAACTAATTTATGTTATTGTTTTACCTTTTCCATCGAGGGATTTGTAAAATATACACAGACAGAAGATATTAATCCCCAATCGGGTGAGTTTGTTTACAGTAACCTTCATTCTGGGTATTTTGACGGACCTAATTTGTATATACTGTGGATTTTCGATGAGTCGGGGTCGTATCTCCGATCGGGATAAATACAGTGTAGGTCAAATAAACATTATACACTTTTTAAATTGGCCATAGTTTTATTCTGTAGCAATATAGATAAGATATTTACATATGTACTTTTTAGAGTAACTCGTTCTGCTTCATTTGGCGACATTTTTACTGGATTATTTTTCATGCATGACTGCACAGAAGATAATTACAGGGTTCGGGTGAAATCTGACAGCACCAACTGTGCATTGAACGAGATGGTGGCCATGTTAAGGACTAAGACACCGTGGAATTTGATTGCCTTTTTTTAATTTAATTTAAATGTTTGAAATAAACACGAAGCTTAAAAGTTAATGAAATCTTGTTTTGTCTCTTTGTTAGACAATGGTTGTGTTCTTTTAAATTGTCTCTTTCGTATCCATCGCCCTGACCACAGGGCGCAAGTCAGATTTCACCCGACCCCTTTAATTGTCTCCTCTGCATGAAATCTAATCCAGTGAAAATGTCACCAAAAGAAGCAGGAAGAGGTACTCTAAAAAAAATATTTTATCTATATTGCTACAGCAGAAACTATGGCCAATTTTAAAAGTGTATAGTTTTTTTGACAAAACTGTGGTTGGTGATTTAAAAATTATTTTCAAGGGTATAACTGGGTGGTGGTGAGTTGCTGTATTTTGGCAGAGCAATAGCTTCATCGGGAGCAGTGGCATTATCTGTAAACAGAAAGGACAGATAAAGAACGAAATCAGCAACCATTCAACAATACAGGGTGAATAAAAAAAAACGAAGCCCAAATGTCGGGACCAGTTTTAGTAAAGTTCTGCATGCTGAGCACTTTCAAAATCTAGGATATGAAGCCCGATTCATAAGCCTTCTTTTAGTACAAGAATCATTCAAATCACTCATATAGTTTTAAAGTTACGAAATTTTAAACACAACCACCGTTTTTAACTTCTGTCTCGTTCCTTGCTCTATGGTCACTCGTACAAACTGCAAAAATGGTCTTGAGGTAAATGTGATTTAAAAGAAAATCCGGGCATAAAATTGGGAAAAGGTCAATGGTCTTGTATGTGTAAGAGAACCATTGTACATGTACATCATTGTCATGGCCAACGTTTAGCCTGATATTTGAGATAAATATGGCGGACACACGGGGGCGCTCTCAGTTTCGTTCGGTAAATATGAGTAAACAACGGATTTACCCCAATCAGATAACGCACTATTGACTCCACCATTATTTGAAAAAGGCTCACTTGGCCGTGTGTAAAAAAAAAATGGTAGAATGTATCATCCACGTAGGCCTATACTTACCAGATTTGCCTTTGTCCTGTGCACTTTGTTCATCAGGGGGTGCGCTCTGCACCATTGTCACATTATGGACACCGTAGCGTGGAATCGGCTGCTGCGGCTGCTGCGGCATAATCTGCTGTTGCTGCTGCTGTGACATCATCTGCTGCTGCAGTTGCTGTTGCTGCTGCATTGGGTAGGCCGCTTGTGATTGGCCTTGGGCGTTCTGCTGTTGTGGGACCAGATAGTGAATCTGGGGTGCATAGCGGACCTAATTTGAAAAAGAAAAAAACAAAACTTTGAGAAAGTGACAATGTTTTCATAGTAATTAAGTAAGTAATAACAATGACTGTCGTCTTCAAATTAATTAAGTCTAGCACCTTACAGAAATTCGCACCGCTTTATAAGCCCATTTGAAACATGCATGGAAGACAAGGGCGCTCCATGGCGGTTTCCAAACCACGGTTACTTCTTGGGCTCTGGCTTCATCTTCGGCTTAGAACTCTTCAATCCCAGAGGGGCCCCGTAGCCGAGCGGTTAGAGCGTGGAGCTACGGAGTTGAAGGTTAGCGGTTCGAATCCCATTCGGACCAAAAACTGGAAAACTCTCTCTGACGACCCAACAGTAAAACCCGATTCGTTCAGGGAAGGTAAGACGGCGAGAGGAGAGGACTGGGCACCGCCACTCATATGCCGCGCCCAAGACACAGTGGACCTCTAACATCCCACTGCGATGGCCATTGGACCTTCATACCTTAACCAATATCACGACCCGAAACGAAACACTCTAAACGTCGGCCAAAACAAAAATTGGATGTTTCTGAGACAGAACATTTTCTGAGCTGTCCCAAAGTCGCTGTCGTCAAAATCTTTTACGGACGATGGCGGAGGCGAACCCGTTGTTCGGAACAGTCTAGCCAAGAAAAAAAGACTCTTCAAAATGGAGTGATGGGTAAAGCGCCCTCAAGAGCTAAATAATAGTCATATGTATCAACGAGACTGGTTCCCGCCCCCCCCCTCCCGGCCCCTATAGTCTTTTAGAGGGAACCAGTCTATTGAAACAACGAGGCAACTTTATGAGAAATGTTGCAAGCTTGTACAAAGGTCCTAGTGTGCAGCCGCAAGACGTACGTTTGTACCTTGCTGGGTCTCAGCTCTTCGGTTGTCAGTACAAGGTATGTTTGTTGTTCTATTAATATGATAAGTTGCTACATAAACTGTACAAACTTAAGGGCATGGTACAAAAGAAAGTAGCGACTGCCATATTACCCAAAATGACGGTCGGTGCGCTACGGCCATGACGGCGAGTCATAATGCAACGTGCATGAGACTGGTTACCTATCTCACTGACTGTCACTTCGGAGACCTTTCGTTTGTTTGTAAACATTGTTAGCGCCAATATCTGTACGCTGCATGCCACAAGACATACATTTAAGAAATGGTTGGCAACACATTTTGCCAATAATTGCATAATTTCAGCCCCATCACTTTTTTTATACATGTGTGTACTAATTAACATTGTATAGATTGGTAGCGTTTGTTGGTTACTTTGTACTTTCAACTGTCAACGATAATGTCTGAAAATTAACTATTCTCTTTTTTTTGCAAAGTTGACATTCCATAATTTGTCATCCACAGTTTGGCATAATACGATCGAGGTCAATTTGTGTATGCCATAATTATGTAGATCTCGTCTGGCGCCGCTTGTAATACATGTGTATAACATACATTAAGTCAAGTTTCCATGCGAACGGCCCGATGTTTCAATGTCATCATCACACTACCACTACACAGCTTATTTTACGATGTTTGTGGCCATGCCTGCTCAATCAATCGAATGAGATTTGGGACCAGCTTTACTGTAGGCTAGCCTAGTCTTGTTTCAAGTTACCCTGACGGTGTCCGTTGACTTGCGGCAGCAGGTACACGAGGCGTTGCAGCAGTAGGCCGCCTGAACAATGGAGACTATGAACTCTCCAAAAGAAACAATGGCAAGCACGGACCAGAATGCAACTCGGTTGGTCTGTAAGTAAAAAGATAAAGTACTAATTTTTACAACAGGCTGGTGCAAAAGACTTCACGAGTCGGCCATATTTAATCGAAAGCGAGGTCAACTCTTCCTTTTTTTGAACTTGGGAGTGGAAATGAAAGTTTTGAAATAAAAGTTCATTACACATTAATACCGGTTTGCTCGGATGAATTTTTGTGATTAAAATTAATGTACCCTCGAGTTTTAGCCACATTTAAAAAAAAAATTGAAAGTGAGGCTTGAAACGCACTAGTAATCATAACATAGTCTGGCACCATCCCTTTCAACAGTTTAGAATTTATTGAATAGATTCAGGGAACACGATCGAAAATGTCTTCCTCGTGAGTATGGTCTTTTGGGGTGAGAGAGGGCGCTGTAACGACGATGTTTTTGGGGGGACAAGACCAGCTATGGTTGCAGACCAGTAAATATTAGCGATAAGTGTTACTGGGTTCGCACACGGGACCTACGGCTTTACGTCCCATCCGAAGGACGAGGCAATAATGGTAAAGTGCCTTGCTCAAGAGCACAAGCACCATGTTCCCACAGTCAGGATTCGAACCCATGTACCAAGGTACATTTGACCACAGGCCTTATGTAGCGCCCGAAACCGCCCTTCCTATACTCCCCGCACGCAGCGCCCGAAACCGCCCGGGCTCTATATGGGATACTTATAAAAGTTAATATGAAATCGATTATTGTGTGTACTCACAGGCATATAGTAGTAATGATATGCGTAGTCATAATACCTCTCGCTTGCACAACATATGCTGGAATAGATGACACATCCAGCCGCAAGAAGAGACGACAGAATGGACATGACCATGCACGAGTTTATCTGTCAGAGAAATGAAATACATAAACGTAGTTAAAATTTAATATTAAGCAAAAATTATTACACGTCCAAATCGCAAAAAGAGAAATAAATAAACACTTAGCGGATCAAATCAGAGAGGCGCACTTTAAGTAGGGCACAAGAGGGCGCTATTTTAAAGGACAGACACCATCTTGAAAAATGAGTACGGCGCACAAGCGATCGCTTTTATGAACACTAATTATTTCTGTGGATCCCAAGATGTTCGTTATAGCAGCGTTCCACAGTTCCTTTTACATGTGTAAAAGATACGGAACAGACTACAGGAATTAATTTCGTCTTACCAAACAAACTTGCATGTTCACTGGCTTGGTGCTCACAATTCCCAATATTCCGGCCGGCAGGTAGAACTGGGGGAAGAAATAGCAAAATAACAGTGATTTGGTGACTTGTATTCCAATTGGCGTAAAAACACTATACTAGCGATTGTGTTAAAGTTTTTTTTACCACGTCTGGTTGAAGAGCTTTAGGCCTACTTACATTATAAAAAAAAACATTTCAAATAAGTTAGTATCGTTTCGGTTTGTGGTAACATCATGGGGTAATAACTATTTAGTTCTGATGAGAACAGTCCTGCTTAGTAAGTTCTAAAAGAACTTTTTCTTTTGCCTTTAAAACTTAAAGCAGGACTGGACTTAAAGCAGGATCGTTATTATCGGAACTAAAACTCCTTTTAGCGGAAGTTTATATCAAGC